CGAGTCCCACCCCAAGCTTGCAAGTCTACAGAAAGCTGTGCATGCCATGCATGATGTAGTGCTAACCCATTAGAAACTGTACTGTATTGTATTTCATCGAGTGTTCGGGTATTTTGAGCACTAGGGAGTACTATAAATAGGCAGGATGGTGTAGGGTGCTGCAAGTACATGTATGTAGCGAGCAATGGCTTATAAAGTTAGACAGTGAAGGGCAAAGCCAAATATTGATTTAAATTGTTCTAGCCTTTAGGCACATTTCAAAATGTCCATCAGTTGTGATTGATGGAAGTTGGATTAAAGCTTATGTGCATGTTTTTACATTAATTAGTCATGTATTAAAAAAAAAAGGAGTTATTTACATAATATCAATGTAAATGTACCAGTACAGTAAATGTACATTATACATGTATTCACCATGTATACATTATGTACATGTACAATGTACACTTCTCTCAGTTTCGTGGAATAGCTTCCCTCGATGTCAAATTAGTTGGTCACTGTGTGCATATTTTTTCCCTGGTGGACTCGACTTTGGCCCGCAGCTGTTCTTTTGTTGTTGAGAAGTTTGATAAGGCTTTTATGCCAGTGTTTATGTTTGGTGTTCAAAGATCAAGGTTCAATTGTATGGACTTTGCTAAGCACAATATAAAAATGTTGCTTAGCAGTAATGTGCTTATACACCATACAATGTAAATTATTGCTTTTTGACTGTTCTTGACTGATTGTTGCTGAGCGTATCAGTTTACTGAGCAATATCATTTAGCCGGTGACAAATGTTCTAAGTGATGGGGCCGAAAGTTATCAATGGAGTGCTGAAGTTCCTAAATTTATTATCAAATTGCCTAAGAATGCAGGAGAAAGCATCCTACATGTAGATTTCAACATTTTCCAGGGGCCCTCCCCCCCCCCCCCCGACCCCCTAAGGAGGGTGTGCCGGCCTTCACCTGAACCCCCTCCCAATTTCCTGAAAGCTAGATCCACCCCTACCCTGGGCACTTGCAGAAAAGTCATAAATTTATAAATGACATCTGTGTACATACGTACAACCCTATTTACAATTCGCAGGAACACAGCTACGTCCTTTGGGACTTTAACAATTCTTCATGTAGCTGTTGACCTAGGGTTCACCCAAGTTCACGGTGCTCGTAACTCAAGGGACTAGAATAAATTGGACTAGATTTGTTTGTCTGGTTTACCATACCAGTACAATGTACATTTATGGGGAGGGTTATGTGTTGACTTGGCATTCAAATTGTGTTGCATGATAGTGTGGTATGATTTTTGGGAGGAAAACCTGTGCAGTCACTTATTGATTTTTTGTACCGTTGGAGGCAGTGTCCACAAGCATACCGGTCAAAACCCGGAAGGGGAAGTTCCTGTTATTGCTACCTTCATTATTGGTGTTTCCTGAAGTTACGACTAAACTGAATGTTGTGTAAAATTGACAAATTGACAACATGCGGTTGTGCTTAGCAAGCAGTACATGCGATCTGGTAGATTTGACCGTCGGGATGACTTCAGAAGCTCGCTGGATCCTGTATCATTTTGTAAGGGACATAGATATCGCTGGCCTGTCGCAAAGATAGATTTTTCAAGAGAGGAATCGCTGTGATCAATTTGCTCGAAACCACCTCCCGGAACCTGCAGTTTGTTTTTCACAGACAAACTATACAGTCCACCTGCCAATTGCTGGAATCCCTCAGTCACCTGAAAACAGGCAGAGTATTATACTCTTCCAAACATTGAGTTTCCTCTGGTTCTTTTTTCAGAAACACACAAAGCCTCGTGGTTCTCCAAGATATTTCTCACATATGGTGCAATCACAAATTTGCTATTGTACAATATCCAAACCTCCCGGAACTGTTCCTGCATCACTGTGCCAGCCTCGGTCTATACTCTGCTGTAATTGACAACGATTCCGAGGATTTTAGAAGCATCCTGTTCATAACAATGTTTGTGAAACTTTCGGATCATTTATTGATAAAGGAGAACACAAACTGTCCAGTTGTTGCCCAGGTTGAGAAACTAGCTTCGTATTGTCCACATATTTATTTGCAGGTCTGCATGAACTTGCCGAACTGTAGTGAAACTGGATATTGCCAGTAGTGCTCTGGGCAACATACATGTAAAGACGAATGTTCCTGGTATGCATGCCTATAACTTAAAAAATAGCTGCCATCCTAATACAGAGGATGCTGCAATGTAGTGACTGTCAATGCACTGCAATGGTCCTGTTCATGTACGATCAGTTATCATGTTGCTAGGACCCACAGAAAGCATTATCTCTAGATGTATTTAGAATAGATAATTTTGCAGTGGTCGAGAATGCATCAACCGTTACTAGCACTTCCAAAATGACACCAACTATATGCGACCAGTACACAGATGTGGTTCATCGGGTTGTTCAGCTACCGGTACATGTCTGTACAGTCTAGTGTACTCTTGTATGTCTGGGAGGATTTCTGCAAACTGATGTCAATGTACTTTATTCGTGTATCAATGAATCACATGTATTTGCATCTGAAGTATTCAGTGAACTTGTACAGTGCGTCCTCCCGAATTGGTGAGGGTGGATTTTTGACTGAGGATCTGGATGCTCTCTGTTTCAAGAAGTAACTGGTAATTAGCCAGCTGTAGTCGTTAAGTAGCGTCATGGAGTGAGTGGTTTCAGAGACTTGGAAACAAGGCAAGGCATTCAACATATACAAGGAAGCTAGTGGAATAAGAGACTGTTTTGAAGATTGTTAGCTACATATACATGTATGTACATGTTCTTGTACTTGCTGGCTGTGAAAAGTGAATGCTTCACATCATCGGTATGGAATTTTATCAGGTACATGTATGGGTATTGACCGTTGGCCCTAGCGACCTAAATCTCCAAAATGCAATTACCTGGTTTTGCAGTATTATTATGAATTTTATAGAACCATGCAGTTGGGCCTGCATGCTACACAATATGAATGGAGCCATATCCAACAAATTCTCCTTTTTTGTCTGAGTAATGAATCCAGCTGTGCCTTTTATTGGCTTTCCTTGAGCTTTGTGAATGAGGCCAAATAAAAAAATAAACCAGTTTCTCATTCCCGCCTGCTTTCTGTTTTGCGCCTGCCTGCTAGAAACTAAAGGCTGACGGCTTATGTGGACACAAAAGTATCAAAACCCTGTAATCTTGAGGGAGGGGGGAAATATGGCTGGTTGCATCCTTCCTTTTTTCAACAAGTCCAGATGAGAAACAATTTGTTTTCCTCTGCCTTATAGAAAGTTGGGGAATAAGGAGCAGTGAGGCATTCTCACAATTTAAGAACATATCTTGAAATAATTTGCTGCTGCATTTTTGTAACATTGCATCCTCTGCGGTCAGTTTCTTATTTTGATTCTGAGCAGTTTTACGTGACATCTTATGGGCAAACTGGAGAAAGTTGTAAACATTTAAAACATAAAGAGTATAACTGTATAATGCAGGCAAATATACATTACTGCATCGTTAATAGTGTTTGTACTACGTGTAAAAAAAAATGTCTTACGTCGAGATTTAAACGCCATACCAAAAAATACTCGCTTTCAGAATCTGTCACTTTCGACTTACATTGTATTTGTAGTGTCCTCCAATGTTGATAAAGCACTGGAGACGGTGGCGGAAGGCGCGTGGTGTGGCCGAAAGCTTTTGAAGGAATGCAGGATCAGCTCTGATGTCATTGCACACCTTCATCTTTTGGCGCAACACACAACCAAGGAGGTGTGCAATGACATCAGGGATGATCCTGCATTCCTTCAAAAGCTTTCGGCCGCAGCGTGCGCCTTCCACCACTGTCTCCAACGCTGTGTCGACATTCTGAAAGTGAGTATTTTTCTCGTATGGCGTTTAAATCTCACCCTCTGTACAAGGCTGATGAAAGTCGCTCTATAAAATGTTGTCATGCCGCGTTTACATGATCTGAAATTTTTGTTTAATTCCATTGGTGAACAACAGAGTTAGTTAGGATCAAAAGTAGGATATTTTTTTTTTTTACAAGTACTTAGTTGTATCGTCCATTGCTCTAGTGGTACATGGCACATTACAGTCACGTAGTGTAATAACTCTTTCAGCATTTTTTATTGCATTATTTAAGTTGCATTCCCTGTGCTACGGTATTTTGAGTTTCATCCCCAAAAATATAGATTCTTTTTCTAAATTGCTATTTTTCTAGCAATACAAAAGTTATTGACTTGTGAAAGACTTGGCTCTGCTAGATTAGTTGTTACAAAGTTAACAAATTTATGCCCAAAATCGGTAGGCTGGAAATAATTAAATTCACGAATAATTTTTTTGTCTCTGTCTGTATTTCACTCATTTTTTTAACAACAAAAATTCTATTAATCAGATTAAACTACAAATGGAAACTGACTGGGTTTCTATTGTAAATAAATAAAAAAAAGTTCATCTTCAAATACAGATTGATTTGAAAATGAAATGACTACAAATAATTTTGAAATAAGTCATAAACGGAAACTGAATACTGCCAAAACATACGGCTGGCTAGCTCAGTTGGTAGAGCACTGGAACGACAATCCGGATGCCATGGGTTCAAATTCCGCTCCAGTCAATTTTTTTGGTAAAATTAATAATAATTTTGGTACAAAAGGAGAAACAAAAATTTCATTTACCCAAAATATGCAAACTTAGCTCGGACGACTTTAGTTGCCATATCGATAAGGCCAAAAAAAAAAATAGTTCTGCTTCCGGTTTCCCTACGTACCGGTACCCTATTCTGACAGCCCCTACCCTAATTTTTTTATTGGAAAAATGAGAAAAAATCACCCCAAACCATCAATTTCTACCTTTTACCCTTGACAACACACAGACGCCTCCAAATGATCATACACAAAAAAAATTTGCCCAAAAAAAAAAAATTCCCTACCTACCTACCCTATTTTCAAATGCCATGTAATCGGAAGCAGAACTATTTTTTTGTTGGCCTAATTGCTCAAATTAAATCTTGATCTTTTGATTTTCTCCGCAGTCCCGGCCGCCGTCCGCCTATCAGAATCGCTACGCGAGGAAGACACTGTACCAGAGGAGGCGAGGGTTGGACCATGAGTCACACGGAGTCTGTAAACACTGCCTCATGTTCCCTTACAAGGTAGCCGGAGTACTGCTCAGGCAAATGAGAAGGATGAGACGTAAGTAAATAACACCCACCCTCACACCCCCCCGACCGATCCCCACACCCCTCCTCCCACCCCCTCCTCCCCCCCCAAAAAATTGCATTCTACATGTATATCGTGTATAGAGCAAGAAATTTTATTTGATATTTGACATTTTCAAACTGTTTTAAACAGGTAGAAAATATAAAATATCATATTTTTTTGATGTGCTCAGTCATTTTGTATGATGAATCTATTTGAAATTAATGAAGAATCAGCACATAACAGTGATGAATTTTGGAGGATTAGCCCTAACCCTCAACCCGCCAAAATCCTTCAGGCAGTTTTGGGGGATTTTGGAGGATTGAGGCTGAATGGCAAAAAAAATGTTGGTTGATTTTGGAGGATGCATTGTGTCGAGTTTATAGGCGGAATCCTGCATTGTTGAAATGTTAAGCCATGCATAATTGAGGCCTGTATTACATGTACATGATGTATGCTTGGTATCATCCGCATCATCAATTAACAGGTCTTGTTGGAGGATTTTGAAGGATTGAGGCAATGGCCGCCCCTCCACTGAACAAATTCATGAAATAACGGATGATTCTGTAGGATTGAGGCTATTGAAATCCAATTTAGTAGAGTTAATGGCAGCTGGTCAATCTGTTTCATGTGCAAGTAAAATAGAATGAATTTGCCCATGGCATAATGGTGATAACAATTGACATTTACAGGTCTGAATTGTCCAACAATCCTGTACTGAATCATTAACAGTTTTAGACTCGCAGACTAGAGGTGTTGTACCTTGTACCTTGTGCATGTTGTAGAATATGCATGTACCTCAAAATAACTGGAGGCTTGACAAGCTTGATGAGGGTGGTATGCTACCTAGTACTGTAGTAGGACTTGTTTACTCTGCTGGTTAAGGCCCCCCAAAAAAGTCTCCGGTTTCTGGTATGGAGCTTGCCCAAAAAGTGGTGCGGCGACGCGGCTTTTTTTTTTTTTTACCTAATTTTTTTGCTTCAAATGTCGGCTGATGACTGCAAATGGTGCCCAACTAAACTTAGTGCAAATATATGGGAGTCCAGAGAGGCCACATAAAGCTTAAAGCTAAAGCTCGACCATAACCCAATCTAAAAACACGTTAAAATTGTGCAGCAGCAGGAGGAAATAGACGTTGCACATGTACGCAGGCATGTATATGTTCATTTTTATATTAATTACATATTTAAGAGGAACTACGGGGACCCCCCCCCCCCCCCACACACACACACACCGTCGTTTTTTGCTATGCTTCCGAGGATTGGCTTTGTGTTTTCCTTTGTTCCCTGATCTAAACCTTTTCCATAGACTTAGTGCACAAACCTGCGTTCGAGGACAATAGGCACCGTCGTTCGAGGATGAATGGCCCCTTTGTGCTCCTTTTGTTGTCTGTCCTCGAGCGTAATACAATACAGGAACACACAGACACAAATCATGAACATCATGAAAATTGCTTCTAGATACCGGTAGATCACACATTTTTCTTTATGCTTTTCCCCTGAACTACACGTAGTTCATTGTACATTTTATGGTGCCACTTGAACTTTGCTGCCAGTGTCTGTTTTAACAGCAGCTGTTATTTTTACAAGCTGAAAGGTAGTTTAATTTTTATTTGTCTGGCTTATGAAAAGACAGTGCCTGTAATAGAAAAGAAATTGTGCGTGTGTCATGTACAATAGAATGATCTTGCTTGTTGCACTAAGACATCAAGTGTTGACATCATCTTCTTAGTAATGTCAAATGTGGTGTGACAGCTAGTCCAACTGACATTTAATTCAAGCAGGGGAGTTGTTTTTCAGAGAGATTACATTTCAAGTTCTTGCCAAGAAATTGGGACAACGATCATAGCTCTTTAACTGGACAATTTGTCTGGATGCAAGCCAAGGAATGTGTATCATTTCATTGCAGACATGGACAAGCAGGATATGTCAGTGTGCATGTAAATGTTTAAAGGGGGAAAAATCCCAGCTCTAGAGTAACCCTAACTCCCTAGGCATTTTGGCTAGGATGTAACCTCAATCCTGCAAAATCCTCCAACTGCCTCCATGTAAAAAATAGCGTACAACCTCAAGCCTCTCAAATCCCCCCTTATTTCTTGAATGTGGTCCTTGGAGGGGTGACCACTGCCTCAATCTTGCAAAATCCTCCATGTTCAAATGTTGAGGCAGAGCCAGTGACATCCTGGAGCAGTGCAGAGGATTTCAAGTATAAGGCCTAAATTTATCATGCAAGGCTGGGCATAAACAACACAAGATCCAGCCTAAGACCTTACAACCTCCAAAAACAGCCACACATTTTTGCCATATATATAGCCTCAATCCTGCAAAATCCTACATTTTGCAAAGAGGATTTGGGAAGGTTAGGGTTAAAGGAAATGTGAAACATTACCGGTAGTAACGTTATCAGTTTGTCACCTATCCAATGCCGTGTTCACATTGGATTTTAAAGGGAGCAAAACTAGGGGAGACTGCTGTCAACTTTACAGAGAATTACCAACTTTACCAAATTACATGTAAGTCCAGTGCAGACAGCCAGCTAACCTCCAGTTCCCAAACTGTCAAGTTTCAGCTGTTGGTTGTAAGTTTTACCGTCTGCAGTGGTAACTTTTACAGGGCCAACTAGGTCGCGGGAGAAATACAATTTTTATAGAAATATGTAACGAATGACTTTCCCACAGGCTGAAATTAATTAATAATTAAGTACGGACGCATAGTAGAATTAACCACAACAGAATGTTAACAATTAATTACAGGCTAACGTTTTACAAAATTTACTCCAATGTGAACCCGGCCCAAGTCTCCCTTAACCCCAATTGCTTAGGCTCTCTTGCCAGAATAGCCTCCTGAATCCTGCAAAATATCCACTTTGCAGGAACCCAGTGACATGTTCTTTGCAGTTCCACCTTCTAGAAGCATACAATTCCATGTAAAGAAATAATACACTGAACTTTACCTTCCCCAATCCTTCCAAATCATATTGAAGGACCTATGAGGGTCAGAGTTCATCCAATTTGGTTGATTGGTATACATTTCCAGTATTATTTGTTTTGGGTTGTGTTTCAGTTCAGTACCAAGTGCTTATTCTGCTTGCCATTGGCCTGGCGTATCTGTGCGTGTCCCGGGTCTTGACAGGGTCGGCAATGGAAGAGGACCAACATTTGGAGATGCAGAGGCACATCCATCAGGCGCAGGCGCAGTCGCATTCCGCCACAGCCGGTAGGTCAAATTTCGCTTGATTCTGTGCTTGAACTGTACATGGTGCTTGGTTACCGCTCACATGAGCACCAGTGGGAGGGACACACCTAAGGTGCACTGTTTGCAGGTGGATGGCACAAAATTCATGCAACTGATTTTTTTTTTTCAGTATTCGAAACCTATCATGTCTATCCAGTTGAAATGCTTAAAATTTGCCTACGTGGAGACACTGGCGATTTTGCCTACTCGTTACGATATAGAGTGAGTTTTTTTTTTATAGCCGCGTGTTCAAACAGCATCCTCGCACTGAGCTGTCAGCGTCATTTAAAAATAAAAGATGATGTTGAGCACGCACAGAGGTGATCCAATCAATGCTTTAAATGGGAACTAGCTACTGGTCCCCATATTTTAAGGGGGGGGGGGGCAAGGGACAAGTCTAAGGTTTTCCCAATGTCCTCATTGTAACCATTGAGCGACTACTTGTGCTCAAAAGTCCGTACCATAAGAGGTTTTGTTCAGCTCCTCCTCTTGCTCAAGAGCATGATCTCATGAGTGCAGAGCCTATGTCATGGTGATGCTTAGCAACAAATTTGCCAAGCACAGGAAATATTTGCTTACCATGACTGCAACTCGGTCAGCATGCCCAAACCGAAATAGGGGGAGGGGGAGGGTGGACAGCAGTTTACAGTAGGCAAATGGTAGGGAGTGCTTGTCATTCTTAACACACAAACATGACAAATAGGCTAATATACCGGTATGTGATGCGATCAAGCTAAATATATGTGATGCGATCAAGCTAAATGATTCGTTTGTCAGGAATTTTTATTTGGAGATTCAGGCCAAAATAGGGCCACTTCATCACATCACTTCATCACATGTTTTGGTGTTCCGACTTCCATAATTTTTGAACTAAAGATGGTATCAGCATGTGGTTTTCACAGCAGTAATGCTGAGATTGTGTTCCTTTCATATAGTAAATTTTTTTTTTACCTGGGTCGCCAAACGACTTATTTAGCTCGATTGCATCACATATGTGTTGTACCCGGGTGAGCGACATCTGATTTGAAAATCCTATTGGTGTAAGGAATTCTGAGTGCGAGTGCCAGTGGCGTAGCCATCTTGAAGATTCAGATTTCCTATTTCTTCATTTGCGTATTTCTCAGGGGCAAAGGTCGTTTACGAGAAATCGACGGTCTGCAGCAACCGTCGGGCATGTCGGGTTGGTCAAGTGGGCTTCCATTTAATGTCTGGGTTTGAGAACGCAAAGAAGCCCTACATGTGTCTTAACAACAAAATGTAAGTGCTATAATGAAATATGTCGCATATTTTCCCGTCCCAAACAAGCTACAAAGGCTGCTCTACGTGTTGTAGTCGAGTCAATCACAAATCTACACAAGTCTATCCCAAGTTGAAATATACCTTACATGTATGTTATAAGGAGCGCTGTCGTCCAATGGTTATGGCGTTTGACTCATGTGCTGTGGTACATGTATGTTGGTTTGAACCCTGACGGGGGGCATGATGCTTGTGTTCTTGGGCAAGACACTTACATGTACATGTAAACTACTTTTGCCTCCCTCCACCCAGGAGTATAAATGGGTACCTGTGAGGCTAGAGACCAGAATGCGCTGATCTCAAGCTGCTGCAAAAACTGGTCTCATGGCCTGATGCAGTGTTTCCCCGGGCTAATGAACTGAGCGAGGTGGTAAAAATTCAAATTGATGATTGAAACAAAATTTACGCAGTCTGCAAACTGAAAAGAATGCAGCGCTCACAAAAAAATACGTGATGATTCCATATCTACACATCCAAATTGTGAGTTCTTGATACATAGAGTCTAGGATTCAAGGAAAAGGCTCATAAATTACACAAAATGAAAATTTTTTGATTAGTATTTCCTTTATTGCAAATCTTCACAGCGAGGTGGTGATATTGGCAAAAATTGAGCGAGGTGGTCACTGAAAGTAGCGAGGTGGGCCGCCTCACGTTTGAATGGGCAGGGGAAACACTGGCCTGATGAACAGGGGTAATAGTTGTGAAGCGCTCTGAGACCTGTAGCATAAGCGCTATAGGCCTATACATTGAAAGCACCACATTACAGGAAATCCTCCCCATACAAGATGTGCAAGCAGATATCCTTAAATTTCTCAGAAACTACTTAACATGAGTACTTTTTGAAACTTTTAACAATATTGGAACTGCTTTTCTTGTTAGAGTTTTGAAGGATGAAGTTTCGGGCAGAGGACTGAACATGGTAGTCTTAGACGGTAAGAAGTTTGATATTCTAAAATTTACTTCATATGTTTTGATACACATGAGCCTGAACAAACGTGCATAATAGTTCCTATGGCATAACAGTTCTTAGGTTTTAATGTTATATTAAATTGTTTGTTTTGCAGGAAATATCAAAGAAGTTGTTGTTAGTTGGCATGCAGATACATATTTAGAATGTGAGTAGCTAAGTAATTTTTATTTACTTCCTGCGCTCAAATCTATCATATCCAATACCCACCTTGGATTGATTTTAAGGAATATAAGAATTATAGCACTGTTGCTCTGCCATCGCAAATTTAGGACTTTTGTCATGGCCACTTTTTTTTTAGTTCAGTGCTTCATGCCCAAGTCCCAATTTCATGGCGCTGCTTAACAGTTAGCAGAAAAGTTTTGCTTATCGTAGAAAAATTGTGCTAACATTAGGCATGGATGTGCTAAGAGTTGCGCACGCATGGATATTTCTATTGTTACGCCACTGATTTAAGCAATTTTTCTCCTCTGGGGTAAGCATGCCTTTTGCTGTTCATGCTGCATACTGTCTCCATTAAATAGACACGAGCTCGGTTATCATGAAATTTGGCCGAGAGATTTTCTGAAGTGAGGACAATTTTGTGACTTTTTTTCGGTTTGAAACTGCGCTAAAAAATAACACATGTAAAATGCTGTTCATAATTTTAACAGCCGCTCATATTAAACCTTCAACTTTACTTTAGTTTTGTTTACAAAGTGGGAGGTTGACAATCTGTGTCAGGAAAAGTACAACAAAATATCCAGATTCAGTTGACTCTAAGTATTCCAATCAGGGGTAACAGTATCCTGTGGAAGACACACTTCTATTGTTATTTTTATTCCAGCGCCACCAGCACTGATAAACTTCCTTAAGAAAATTGCTCCCAAGGACGTGCTCATCATCACCACCTTTGACGACGCATTCCGTAAGTTGTCCAAAGAAGTCAAAGACATGTTGGCCAACGACTTCAAAAGTCAGTATATCAACCAGATGGCTTACCGGTCTTCCTGGGTGTTCGTTGGACAGAAAGGGGTCAAAACTTCAGCCGGAATTGAAAAGGTGAGATTGTGCTGTCTTTGGATTATGTTAATGGCGATTACTTTAGCTCAAATTTTTAGTCCGAAAAAATTAAATTAATGTATCCTCTCTGAGTGATCCCCCTTTGCTCTATCCGAGGTTTGCAGTTTTTTTAGAATCTCAGAATGTTGACTGGACATCGCCGCTAGGCATCATCATCCAGTTTGACTTCACGCCGGTGCCGTGCAAGCGTGAGATTAAGGTTGTGATGAAAGATGTTTTCCTAGGGTTGTCTTAAATTGGGATGATGATGTTTGATGGATAAGTTCATCAGGGAGCTTGTTCCAGTCTACAAGCATTTTTGAAAAAAAAATTGGGGGTACGCTTGCGTGCGGCATTGCAAGGAAGCGTAGCACTGATTATGTCTATTTCTTTGTGATCTTTCTACTGACGTGATGTACAAAAATGTAATAAGGGATGTCAATGGCAATTTCTTTATGGGTTGAGCATTAAAGCATAGATAGCTCAGATGGTAGATTACCAGAACGGCAATCCGGAGGTTGCAGGTTCAAACCCTGCTCCAGTCAATTTCTTTGTTCAAACCTTGTTGTTAACAATACAGATTTGTGAGTCAACTGAATGCAAATACGCCAATGAGAATGTCATACGACTAGTAAAAAATTACAGTAAAGTTAATGACTGCAGAAGGCACATTGTGCTTGCAACAAGCTTTCAGTTAAGAAATATTTAGATACCTTTTTGGAATAAGAAATATTGCAGCGACGTAGCTTTCGATGTCATCTCGACATCTTCATTCCCTGCTGGTTTGTGATTGCCCAAAAGACGGTCACATGACCGGAGTGGTTTAATACGGGCGATTCCCAATAGTGCGCCTCCAAGAGTTTGCAACGCGTTGGCCAATCACAATGCGCAAAATCTGTCGACCCAATGCGCGTTTGGAAAAGGTCGACTGATTTCGCGCATTGTGATTGGTCAACGCGTTGCAAACTCTTGGAGGCGCACTATTGGGAATCGCCCGTATTCACTACGCTGAATGAAGATGTCGCAATGACATCGAAAGCTAAGTCGCTGCAATATTTTTGATTCCAAAAAGGTATCTAAATATTTCTCATCAACGTGATGGAATTCAATATCAGTATACATGCTGCTAAGCTTTCAGTTAACTGTGCACAAACATATGGCAGGAATGCGTGTTAGTGTGGCCCTACAACTAAATTTCATTTCAGTGTCTGTCAGTTAAGCCAAAAAAAAAATAATACTCGGTCTCTGGTCAGACCAAAGTTCCAGAATTGATGCGGCGACGCGGCTTTTTTTTTTTTTTTTTTTTTTTTTTTTCAAGCTTGGATTGTACAGACAAAATGGGGTACTATTTTGCTTTTTTTGGTGTCCTCATGTACATTGGTGTCCTGCATAATTTGCCTTAGTGCCCTCAACCATTTGCCGTGGTGCAATTTCCCATTCCTTGGTGCTCTTTGGTAAAAAAAATTGAGGAGGTGTGGCAATAGAGGGCACTGTTGGAGCTACCGTGGAACATTTTGGGAAAAAAAAAAGATTGACGCGCATGGTTAAAATCGACGCGCGCGCTGACCAGAGACCGACTATTTTATTTTTTTTTGCCTTACAGTAACATCTTTTTATATCACTGCCGAGGCTGTTTTTATGCACGGTGCCCATATTAATATATGTCTTGTATGAAATCGTCATGCCTGTGTTTTTGTTTTAACCACACGAGCATGTCTACACTACTTGTTCGTTTTTTTTCTTTTCCTTCAGTTGAATTTGATACATGGGCAGTGGGCTGATAAAATTGAACTTCGCGGATGCTTGTCCTTACCAAGTAAGCTTGAAACAAGCCTCAAAATCATTTTGCTGTCATGCTCAACCACTTTTTTTGTATTGAGCACAACTGATAATGTCCATTTTATCCCCTAGAAACTTAACATAAAAGCTAATAAAACCCACTAACTTATTGAAGAAATGTGTAGCATTTGTTGTTTTAACTCTTTCAGTGCCCGCAAAATTTGAAAAGTTTAACCCTAAAGTGCCCAACTTCGAGCGCTTTTGTTAATTGTTCAAAATTCTGTAAAAAAAAAAGTAAATAAGTTTTACTCACTAAATTTGTTGTTGTTGCTCTCTGGTATATCCTTGGTATATTGGAAAGTCAATAGTAGTCACGTACATAGTGATACACCCTGAAACACTATCCTGCACACAGGGGAATTCAGTGTCAGTGCTGTGCCCTCTCGCAAGAACTCGAATGAAACAATTAGAAAGAGCGAGAGCGCCCCATTGTGATAACATGCTTACTCTACCTCGTACATGTACGAGGTTTGGCAATTTTAAGTATGAACATAATACCTCGTACATGTACGAGGTTGGCGATTTCGAACTAACAAATATACCTCATACATGTACGACTTTGGCACTGAAAGAGTTAAAAAGATAGAGCTGTAATATTTACCTGCAACACTTTCGCAGATAATTTTTGTTAAAAATCCCAGTTTTTATTAGACTAACCCATTTTTATTTGACACAGTTTTCGCAGATAGTTGGTTTCACATGTTTGCATTTTCTTGTCATTGTTTTCATACGCATTCTGTGGAGTTCAACATGTTCAGCAATATTTAGTGGTTGGATTTACATCTGGATTTCTTAAAATTTGGTTTGCATTCCACTATTCAATTTCAAGTTTGGAAACCAGATATTCGAAACCAACCCTAAAAAAAAATTAAGCCTTCCATTTTTTTGATAACTCAGGCTAAAGAAAACAACTGAAACATCCCCCAAATAACTCCAGGGTCTCTGGTTTTAACTGCATTCTTCTTGGTACCTGTATGAATAGCTTGCCGTCATTTTTTTAATTAACATTACAGCTCCGGAGTGTAAAAGGCCCAGTGGTCATTGAATCCCGCAAACCAACTACACATTCATTGGGAGGGCATTTCATGCGGCACCCTATTTGTCACTTATTGTTGGCGTGACTGATCAAAAAAAATTAAAATTATAATGGGAGCTTCCAGTGATATCAAATAACCGTTACTTGGTTTGAAAAAAAATAGGATAACCAGATTCTAAACTCTCCAATTTCTCCCACCACTAGCAAAATACTAACTTCCAAAGTAATTTTTTTTTAATTATAAGTTTTGTCTAATTAACTTCTCTTTAAAAACTCCCTTGCCCTTTATATGCTTTATTTCAAATTTCATTCCACTCCTAGTGAGCACCAACACCAGCACCATAGAGCCAGGGCGGGACTTATCCAGTAACTGCAACCAGCCAGAGTGTGCCAACAACATGTTCCCTGTCACTGTCCAAGCAGGCGTCACTGTCAAGAAGGTCCAGCAACCCCCAAGCGTCTGTATCGATGGACAGCAGTAAGTTCAGGCATCGGATGACTCGGTGGAAAGTCTCTTATCTTTGTGTGAATCTTAAATGCAGAGGGTGAACTTGGACCAAACGAGATGGGGCTGAAAGTCGCAGTTGGGGAAATTTCTTATACTCAGTGACTTGGTCAATCAGTCCTACAGTGACTCGGGGAGTCAGTCAGTCGGGGAGTCAGGGAGTCAGTCAGGGAGTGACAGGGGGAGTCAGTCAGTCAGATAGTCAGTTAGAGGACAATGGACTGGTCCTTCGTTTCTGGCAAAAACAGAAGTTCATTATCATCTTGACGTGTTTCCTTTATCGTAGAGTGATGGGTCCAGTGAGGATCAAACAATATGATCCGGGCTCCCGAGGACTGAACTGCATCATCTATGACCCTGTGCAGATGAAAGTTGTCAAAATTGGCCGTTTTGACACGTACAACTCAGGTAGTGAAAAGAAATCCCACTTGATGTTAAAAAAAAAAACGCTAGTGAGATCGCTAGAAAAAGATGGGAGAGAACACATGACAAGTCTCTTGATTGAGCGCATTACTTGTGGCACCTGACGCTCATGAGAAGACGATATGGGTTTGTGCACATTTAGAATAAATTTGTTGTACGTACCTTGTGCCATAGGCACAGTGAAGTTGTACGTACATGTGATGTGTCCCTCCCACTGGGGCTTAAATGGGAACCTAAAACACCATCATGTGTTCTTACATGGAGTACATATCAGCCTACGTTGCAGTGTGCAACATTGGTATGTGTAGCCCAAACCGTCCCACAATGCAACAGGATATGGGCTCCGTGCGCCAACAAAAGAGGGCGCGTTTCTACCACTTTTGAGAGCACAATGGGCAGGACTCACAGCGTGTGCATACTGTACTGTACTGGTTCGCGCACGAAGTACATGTACGCACGATTTCCTGAATGTGCCAAAGCTATTAGCCACAGCATCTTCGCGTGAGCGTCGGGCGTCCTTGGCGCGCGAATTCGTTCAGATTTAACTTGCGATGGTCTCCCAGACTAATCCCCGCCCCCAACTACTTTGGATCATTCGAAATACGCAGTGGATGAACCGGGAACCAGTCTAGGTCTCCCCCAACTCTCCTAATTTTCTGGCCGTTGAAGGAATACTTGTGCACTGAGCCCATATGCTTCTATTGCACATTTTCGGTCTGGTAGCGATCTATTGAAGGGTTAACACTGATGTTTTGATCTTGTTTGTTTCTTTCAGCTGTTGATGACAACTTAATTCAGACATTCTTGGGGAGTTTAGAGGTCGGACAGATCATCATTATAGCTTCACATGATGAGGCGTCCAGAAAGTGAGTAATAATCTGTTCAATAAAACTAGTAGTTCAATAAAAACCATTAGAAACCATTTCCATTGCAATTCCGATTGGTTCCATTATTTGAATTGAAAGGATGTATCGCGAGTGTTCAGGAGATGTCTGACTAAAAAAAGAACCCATATTTGGTTTAATGTTGAACACTCTCGATTGGAAATAGCTTGGAATCTGAGGGCCAACGAATTCGTGTCCGTGCATGATTAATGTGATTGTGCCATGTAATTTCTGGAAGTAGTAGTGTTTTGAGTAAAAATTAATCAGGCTTTTGAGCCCAGTGACCCCAAGATGACTTTTGACCCCAGTTTGGTCATGTGACAGGTTGGGGCTGGGCTACTGATACTTTTGACAAAGTTTGGTTGAGATCGGTCAACATATGTAGGAGCAATAGACAATGTCAACGTTTGTTAATAACTAACAGATGGAGAGACATGATGATTTGTTGAGCTGCTATCCCATAGCATGAGGAGCTGTGGTCCAATGGTTACGGTGTTGGACTCTTGTGCCGTGGTACATGGGTTGGAATACTGACGGGGAACATGGTCCTTGTGCTCTTGAGCAAGGGATTTTACCATTATTGCTTCGTTGTTCGGATGAGATGTAAAGCCGTAGGTCCCGTGTGTTGTGTAATGCACGTCAAAAAAACCAGTTACACTTATCGCTAAGAGAAGGGGTTAGCCCCGGGGTTTCTGGCAGTGGCTGCAATATGCGCCGCAGCATCTTGTATACCCTTTATAAAAGGTGCTACTTCATTTCCTGTCTAAAAACAGACATAATTACCAGCGCCTTGAGTACCTAATTGTTGGTATATATGTGCGCTATGTAAGACTCTGCTACTGTTATTATTATTATTAGCTAAAAACTACACTGTTTAACTAATTTGACTTTGCTGTTGCTGATTTTGTGATTTTTTTCCCCTTTACTTGGCATTCCCAAATTCTCTCGAATTTGGAATTTGAAAAGTTGAAAGCATGCAACGAGCATCAACTTTTATTTGTAAATATGAACATTTGGACTTGTTAAAGAAGCAATTCCAATTGGAACATTTGATGTAACATAACACTTTTTCCTAATTTAGATGTTTTGTTTTCCCCCAGGTTATCCTTCAATACAAAAACTGTCCTCAAAGTCCTGGGCAGCAGCCAGATTGAGGAGTTGAATTTCCGAGACACGTGGGTCTTTGTGGGCCAGCGGGGGAGCCAAGGCTTCTCTCCCTATGAGAAGATTGGCTTCAGGGAAGGGACCGGATGGGGACCCAAGGTGGAAATCAAGGAGTGCATCCCGCTCAAAAGTAAGACGCTTCAAAACACTCGTTTTAGAGTGGTCTACATGTACGGCTTTACGATAGAGGACAGACACACAAAGGGAGAACAGAAGATCCTTTCAGTCCGTGAGCATTGGGTCTTTTGTTGAAAATGGCCCTCAATCGTACGGTTACGTGCTTAGTCTATGGGAGAGTGTTATATTACAGGGACAAAGGGAAACACAAAGCATTGTCCTCGAGCATATAGAAAAACATGATTGTGTGCTCCAGAGTCTGTGTTCCAGCTGAATACAATCATTCTGATGATTTCAATGAAATCTATGGAATTTTCAGATCAACTCACAATGGAAAGCAAAGTTGAACAAAGAAATTGACGAGAGGAGTTTGAACCTGTGACCTCCGGATTGCTGTTCCGGTGCTCTTCCAACTGAGCTAGCCAGTTGGCAATTCCCCATTTTGTCAATGATGGGTTATGGCTTCTGATTAGTGCCCCTTGAACAAAATACATTAACAAAATGGAGAACCACCAACATAGGGCTGGATAGCTGAGTTGGTAGAGCACTAGAACAGCAATCCGGAGGTCTCGGGTGCAAACCCCGCTTTAGTCAATAATTTTTGGGAACTTTAAAATAAAGTACATCAAATGTTTGACGTTTGAAACGGGAGCAGAAGATTGAGGGTTGCAGTCATTTGTTAACATTTCTAAAGCCTCTTTATTCAAATGATGCTCTCTGAATCCAATACTTATTTGACTTGATTGAAGTCGCTCCTAATATTTGGTATGGTGCAACTGTAGATAACCGGTGTGAAATAGATGTTAACATTGTATTATTGTTTTCGTAGCAGATCTGGATGTTGTTTCTGTTTTGATATTTGGTTTGCTGTTTATCCCCCAGTTGAAGGGGTAGCTGTTCCCTCAGCCCTCGGCAATCGAAAGAGGAGAGACTTCTGCAAACAGTACGACAATTACCCTGATTTGTGTTCTGGTGAGTTGAGTTTTCATCCAGTCTTGCATTTCTTAAGGATTTGTTTTCATCATTTTTATAGCGTATTCCTTCTGTGTGCAGGGGTGTGAAATCTCAGCTTTAAAGCTGATTTCAGCTTCTTTTTTTTTGGATTTCAGCTTTTTTTGTTTTGGATTTCAGCTTGTTTTTCCTCACTTGCTGTATACAAAGGTATAGCAGATTTCCAAAGTTCAGCTTTTTTACACCTTTTTCAGCTGTTTTCAGCTATTTTTATCTGTGGTCATTCACATTCCTGTGTCTGTCTGTCTGTATGTATGCGTTTGTTTATGGTGTAAATCGAGGACACACACGTGCAACATCATCAATGAATTGAGGACAGGAACCAAATCAAGGTGGACTCGGTTAGAAAACGTGTACAAAACCAATGAGAGCTGTTGCAATGAGAGTATAAACAAAGGAAAAGGGAAGAGGAACAATAGAAAATCCTCGATTTACACCGTGAACAAATGTGCTAGTATGTGTGAGTTTGTCTTACATACGCAGTGTGGACTTCCGAACAAAAGACGTCCACATAATGTAGGTAGCACCGACGTTGTGTGGACTTACCCCACGTCCACACAGTGTTTCCCCATTTCTGGAAAACAGGTTTAGAGGCATTTTTGGGTTAGGTTTATCTGTAGCAGAATGAAGAGAAACACTAAAGGGAATCATAGAAAAAAAATTGGGTTGAAAGAGTTTTCACAGTTTGAGAAAAATGAGTTTTTTCACTGGTTTTTCTTAACTACACGAAAGCAATGGAAAGTCCACCCAAGTCATGTGAAACAAGTATGGGTGTGCGTGTGTGTGTTCCATTTTGGTTTGGTTCACTGTAGGCTCAGTCATCAATCTCAACCAAACTTGATATGTGGTTATTGTTCATGGTATCTGTTAAAGAGATTAGATGCAGGCAACAGGTCATGACCTCCAGGGTTACTCTGCAGGCCTTGGTCTTAGGTAGCCCATGGTTTATGTCACTTTCTTTCTCTGGTGTTGTGAATGTTATTGCTTTGTAAGTAAATGGCCCCTTTATAGCTTCACAGTTGTGGACTGTATATTGATTCCATTTTGGTTAGGTACACTGGCGGTATACAAACTGCCTGCATGCCAGGGGGATCGCGCAAGTTTCACTTGCGGTATTTTTAAGTTTTCCATTCACTTGCCCTTATAATCAGTGTAGGATACATTAGGTAGGCATACACCACGTTATGGGGAAGTTTTTTATTGTTAGGGAAATTAGGACCGAGTTATGGGGACTTTCTGCTGTCCCCATAGCATTTTCGATCCCCACAAATACCTCGTGGGGACAAGTGTAAGTCCCTACAACTACGAAACAAGAACTTACATTCTTACTCACTGGCTAACAATAATAATAATAGTGTGTATCGTCCCCCCAAAGTGAGGTCTCAAAGCGCCTCACATTTATTACCCCTCTTCATCAGGACTTGAGACCCCTTTCTTACAGCCGAGATCAGCGCAATCTGCAGCCGAGATCAGTGCTCCACCGATATGTGCACACAGATGATGTAGAGTCATGTGACTAATTTGAATTTGAATTTGAACCAATTAGTCACACCTCTGCAGAGGAACGCACCTTAGTGTGGACATGTGGCGCTCAAACGTCCTTCCACACAGTTTTTCACAGTTCAGGGGGTACCCATAAACAGTCCATCTAAGCAAGAAGACATCATAACAAAATTAAAATACCGAAAATTAATTTTAATACCATTCTATTTGTACAGATTGATGTTTCTGTATTCCTGACATTGTTTGATTTTTTTGCAGGAGAAAATGTCAACAAAACCCTGCGCCCTTTGCCCCTGGACGACCCGACACTGACCAGCAATCCTGCTTACAATCTACCCATTGTTGTTGTACCTGGTGAGTCAGAAAAATAAACCCCAAGAAACCTCTTCCCTCAAAAGAAATTTAGCAACATCTTGTGCTACTTCTGTATGCCCTCCTCAGACAATGTGTATAACTTTCTTTACTCTACAGGGTGAGTAAAAAAAACAACGAAACCCAAATGTTGGGACCATTGTTTTAGTGAAGTTCTACATGTAGCACTTTCAAATTCTAGGATATAAAAGCCCAATTCATAAACTTTCTTTTAGTACAAGAATCATTCAAATCACTCGTGTACTTTTCAGGTTACGGAATTTTAAACACAACCACCATTTTAAGGTTCTGTCCACAGATCACAAAAGGTTCAGTGTTCTTTCAGCAAACGAAAACAAAGCACATAGGGATGTGTGTGAATTGTTTTCGTTTTGCTGAAAGACTACACACCTTTTTTTGTGATCCATGGACAGAACTTTAAAATGGTGGTTGTGTTTAAAACTCTGTAACTTGAAAAGTACATGAGTGACTTGAATGATTCTTGTGCTAAAAGAAAGCTTTCATATCCTGGATTTTGAAAGTGCTACATGCAGAGCTTCACTAAAACAATAGTCCCGACATTTGGGTTTTTTTTTTCTCACCTTGTAAACTGTAAGCCTACAAGAGTGTGTGTGTATTTCTGTCTGTATAACTTTTGAAATAAGTTGAAAATAATTTGAACTAGGGACCTCAGAAAGGTTGATTGGATTTCGGTCAAAATAATTCCTGAAGACAATTATTTTCCTGATCAAATCTTTCTTGATTGGTACACAGTTTGCAGCTGTGCAGTACTCAGCAGTAGCCCTTCGTGCTTTGAGTCAATATGAAAAAAAAGTTAACTTACAAATGTTCAACTTGGCATAACTCTTCAAGCAATATTTTTTTAATCCTACATAGAACGTTCCTGGGCATTTTTTTTGTCGGAAAATTGATGAAAAATCTGTCAGAATCTACATGTAATTCTGTGATGCAAACATATGGCAAACTCTTGGAAAGTTTCATGAAATTGGAGTTTCAGTCCCAATTGGAGTAAGTGTTGTTTGTATTTTTTTCAGGAATTGAACTGGAGCCTCTGCAGAGAAGTCTGTCCTCGCTGATCGCTGTGCCCGGCATAAAGCCTAGCAACGTCTTGGTTGGTTGGCCGCTCATGTTTGCTTTCAAGAGTATTTTTTTTCCATCACTGATCCTTCCTGATTGTCATTCAAACAGCGCTCTGACCAATAGGATCACTGCTTTTGATCAGGTGACCACAGTAGCTCAGTCAAACTCAGTCACAAGCACTGTGAGAAATGTAGACAAACAAAAAAGTGGGCGGAGCTTATGTCCAAATATGGAATGGCTTGTCACATTTGCATGAATATGAGAATAAGGACAGGAAAAGTTTTACAAGTTATGCAACCTTCTTTTGTCGTTGAATGGGATAAGTACAAAAAGTACATGAATATGGATATGAAAATGATTAAGTTTTGCAACGCTGCTTTCTAGAACATTTGTTGTTTCAATCGTCATTCGTTTTTTGGGGGTAAAATGTGTGCCGCTCAGTTCTTTTGTTGAGAAATCCTGTGTTTTTTGACAAGTTCTGTCAAGATTTTGCATTTTTGTTATGATTTCCACTTTCTTACTTGAAGTGTTGAAGTTCTCGAAACTTTTTCTTTGTAGGTGATACTGAACGGGAATTACCCTGAGCCCAACGACCTAGTCAAGCTGTATGACTTTGCCATTGAGTACATCAAGCCCAAAGCAGACTATCCAGGTAATAACTATGTTCAGTAGTTGTTGGACTCTGACTCAATAATTGGTCCATTTTCTGCTTCTAAGCCAAAGTTTAGGCTAATTAAACCATAAAAATTGATATTCATCTGGGATTTTTGAAAAAAGGGAGGGTGGATTCAAGATGGATTCTTCCATTGTCTTGACTCTTTTGCCGATACTTTTTGTGTCCAAAATAGAAATCACCCTTTCTATCAGATTTTGAACTTGCATACATAGGATTTAATTTGCTTTAATTCTTGCTATTTTAATGTTAATTTCTGTGGTACATTATGTAATGTGCGAATGATCATTGTTATGAAGACCGTGCTATACAAATTTAAATTTGTTATTATTATTATTACATACCGGTAGCTACAATTTTGCTGGAAATATTGCAAATATATGATTAAAAAAAAAAAAAAGGGGGAGAAAAAAGAGGCGGGCATGTAGAAAGGGAGCGGGCGGGGACGTGAAACTAGTTTATTTTTTTACTTGGCTTTAGAGCATAACCATATGAAACGAACATGTACAAAGGCTATTAAATGATTCAAAAAGACAGATATGACATCAAAATCGTAAAAGTCTGATAAAAAAACAACAATTGTTGGTTTAAATTTGTCACTTTTGTAGCTTTCCTGTACGATGCCATCGGGCGGGCACTGGAACTGTTCAAAGGCAAGGAGAATATCATTCTCTTGGAGGGCTACCTGGAGGTGACCCCTGACTTCTTAAGGTACTTCTCACAGACGTTGCACATGTTGACCAAGGACCCGACTATTCTGACCGTCTCAGCCTGGAACCCGAATGGTGAGAAAAAGATATTTTTTTAAATTTTTAAATTTTGTCTCCTGTTTGTTGGTTGAAGAATTCTGCTAGAACTTTTTACTTTTTTGGCTGTTTTAGGTTATTTTAGATAAGCCACAGTTTAAAGCTGAAAATTTAAGTTTGTTAAGTCATGCCTGGCAATAAAATGCAAAGTACTATTAAAACTGACACGTGGCATCATGTTCAATTTGTGAACCACTAATAAAGGTGCAATTCTCGAACAAGAAATGGAAAATCAAGTTACTGTTGTTATCAGCCTACCATATGCAGACAAGTATTGATGTCATGTGACAATAACATGAGGAAAATCAAGGTTCCTCTCTAAGGCTGAGCTTAGATTTAAACAAATATAAAAATTTCAGGGGAAAAATGGAATTGACCTATCGCCGTTAGCGAGTTAGCCACGCCCCTTAGACAACCATATGGAGTTTTTGTACACAAATGTTTGTCTGTCTCAGATTTTTTGCATTCCGGGTCCATTTGTATATCATGTAATTGCACAATATTTCACAAGCTGCGTTGACGCGATTCTACCACGATAGGTCAATTGGGAGCTTATATTTGTTTTGTGTTCGTTTGTTGAAAAGAGGCTTTTAAAAAAAAGAATTTTCCTGATTTGACTTATTGACCTAGGCTATCTGGCACGGAATGACTGTGTTGCGTGTTTCTTGAATACTCATTTGTCTTTTGATAGGTTTCGCCGCTACCTCTGGGGATGAGAATCTGGTGTACAGGACAGACGACTTCCCCGGATTTGGGTGAGTTCAGTAAGGCGTAATATGTTTGCAACTTTTGATAGATGTGCTGTATTGTCTGACAGAATGCGAGTACATTCTATTTGGCTTGTAGGTCATATTCACAGCGTCTTCAGAATCTGATGTTAAAAAGTTGTATTGTAATTTCATTGAATGCACGCCAGTGCCAACTTGATAAGTCTCAGCTTTTACGATTAAAAAGTCTTTAGCTTTGTCAAGCTCTCCCCAACTCCCAGCCCCCGCTCCCTACTCCTAACCCCACCTGCAACCCTACCCCCAACCCCAACCCTAACTCCACCCCCATCCCCACACCCACCCCAACCCCCACCACACACCCCCCCAACCCTACCCCCAACCCCAACCCCACCCCCACCCCCACCCCCATCCCCAACCCCACCCCCACCCCCATCCCCAACCCCACCCCAACCCCCACCACACCCCACCCCAACCCAACCCCAACCCCACCCCCACCCCACCCCAACCCCCACCCCACCCCAACCCCCACCACACCCCACCCCAACCCAACCCCAACCCCACCCCCACCCCACCCCACCCCAACCCCCACCACACCCCAACCCCCACCACATCCCACCCCCACCTCCACCCAGTACAGGTTTCTAATGGGTCAATATTTTATATTTTACCAACTTTCTGTCCCCAGGTGGATCGTTCGTCGTTCCCTGTGGACGGACAAGCTGCAGAACCAGAAGGAGTGTTGCTCCCTCTCCACCTGGAGGGGGTGGTCCTTGGGGGATTTGGTAGGAGGTGGGTCCATCATCCCCGACGTGTCAAGGGTCAAACGGATCCAGAGACAAGGTGGCTTCTATGAGGACAAACCTTTCATGAGTCAGTACTTGCTCAGCCGAACCAGCTCTAGGTATGAGGTGTTTTTTTTTGGGGGGGGGGAGGTTCTGATATACAGTCAAAGAAAACATTGACAAGCTCACAATAGGTTTTGCTTATCCCAAAAAACAACCCCCCCAAAAAACCACAATTTAAAGGCATACAGGATAATTTGCTTTGCATGCATCTTTTTTCATATCTATTTATAACACCACTCAAAATCCCAAGAAGAGAGTTCAAAACCTAACCTGTTGAAGTTTCAGCTCAGTGGAAATAAGACTTTTTGAGAAAACAGTGAAAACCATACACAAAGTTTTGTCTACGAAACACAATTTTGTCAATAGCACTCTTTATTCCAAAAATCAGCCAATTGACTGATTGTTGCAGATCACCAACACTTCTTGGTTCCTTTTAAATGACATCAAGCGAGACGCATTAATTCCATGTGGTGCTTAATAATCCAAGTAAGCTTTTGATAATAATTTAGTTGGTTACTTTTGGGATAAATGCAAATGATCCTATATGTATATGCCTTTAACATCCAAAATATCGTGTAGTAGCTTTGTGAAATTAGACCCTGTATTCGTATAACTATCTCTTATGGTTTTTTTTGGTTTTTTTTTATGTAGCGCTGGTCCTCTATCAGAGCCAACCATGGTCTACAAACTAGAAGCCACAGAATATGAGAATGAAATCTTGCGTCTCATCACCCACAGCGTGCCCCTGAAACCAGATGATATCAACAAGTGCCTTACAGAGGGGAATCTGTCGTTAACGTTCAAAGCTCACGCTCAGTAAGTAGACATTTCACGAGTCTCCCTGTTTGATTGCCCCCCTTAAACCCCAACGCATTTATAGTTGATTTTGTCTGGTCCTAGAGGCCAGCCTAGAATCCGTTTTGTACCGCTGACTGACTCACTGACTGACTAACTGTCACTTGTCAGCCGGGCAGTGCTGTTGTATAGGATTACCCCGTAATACCAATGAGTGGGTTAAATCTGGCACATCGTGTAGACCAGATGCATGAAAAGACATCCGTGAAAAGCCATTCTGAATCAATTGAATAGAATTGTGTGCACTCTGCGACCAGCTTTTCCAGCTTCACCAGGCTCGCATAGTCTTGTTTGTTTTTGACTGTGTTTATTAAGCTTTACCAGATTTTACAATTTTTTTTAAAAATGAAACTTAGCTTGTCTGTGGTTTTTGGCTTCATGGTATTGTAGTCCTCTGACTTTGGGGAACGTTGGCTTAATATGGATCGATGTTCTGCTTCAGGACCTCCACATTCTATAATTCGAGTCCAGAATTTAGAGTATTTGGTTTGCCTATTGAAGACTTCTACCTATTGGGGCGCTGTTCAAACTGGTGACTTTCGGACAATAGGTGGTGCTCTTCAAGGCGGGACAATTACAAACATTGGTTCGACGTAAACAAGTGCACTAGTGAACAAAGGATGATCGTGAAAAATGGCATAGTGCAAAAAGGGCAATCATTAGAGAATGTTGCGTTGCAAAATTTTCATCCCGATACCCATTTTTACCGTCCAGATTTTGCTACTATTAGCATCCTGATTTAAAAAAAAAAAATCTCCATCGTGTTGCAATCTGCCACTCTCCGTCCCCCCAGGTTATGCTACTGGGTTAAACAGCCGTGTTGGAAAGCCTGTGATCCGCTTAACTGCTTAAGTAATAAACGCTCCTCACCAGTCTATAAATCCTCCTGCAATTAATCGTGGTAGAATGGCGTCAACGCAGCTTGTGAAATATTGCCCAGTTACACGATATTCAAGTTGTAAATAACCTAATAATTATGGCACCATACATGTGTGTATACTTTTCCTTCATTCCTCAAATTTCAGGCAAAAATGTCAGTCCACTCGCATCCCTGACAAGTTAAATTTCCATTGTGTTCTTGAGTAGAGGGAAACAATTGTGGTAAAGCATCCTGCCTGAGGACATTACTTTTGTGCTTATGATTCCCCAAACCTCATTAACCCAAATTGAATTAATCTTCCTTACCAGTATGCCGCATTTATCTACAACATTGTTTTTGTTTTTTTAAATGCGAGAAATGTTTTCACAAATGTCAACCTGTAAATAATTTCATTTTTGGTTTCCAGAAAAATCTATGCTGTTTTCTACGAGCAGGACTCGGTTGATGACCACACTCTTCTCAGACGGCTATGCAAATGTTTTGGCCTGTTTGTGTTTGAAGACGTTCCGTTAACTAACATGCATAAGGGAATCATTAGGTGAGTAAAAATTACTGGAATCATCATCGGAATTTGTCCCAAAGTCTTCAAAAAAATGTCCAAAATTTACTGAATATTTGTTTGTTCCGTTACCAACTTGGGCTAATTAATGATCCTAAAGTTTTAATATGGAACTTCATTCAGAGTGCGTTAAATCCAAAAGTAATGAACTTAGGTTAAGTCAGAAATAAATTGTCCCAGTTGCATGGTTGAGTTAATAATAATAATAATGGATACTGTATTATTACCCCCGGATTGTTGGACCAACGAAACATTCCAAAGACAATCTCAGCTCCCTGGGGAGCATACAGCTCGATGCTGCCATTTCGGTTGAAAACCATCTCTACCCTCACAGGTACCCATTTACTCCTGGGTGGAGAGAAGCAATGAGTGACAAAGTGCCTTGCCTAAGGGCACACGCACCACAACCCCAGGCTGAACTCGAACCCACAACCTGCATACCTACCCACGTTTGGCCACTTTACGTTGGAGGTGCAACTGTCCATTTTGCTCTAAAATTGCAAATCTGTGCCGTGAGAAAAATTCCAGGAGGTCACTTCTCTAATACTGAAATACTTTGAGCCCGGCCTATTGTCCTCTGAGTATAAACGATGTCCTAAACTTGAGACTTTGTGGGCCAGCTCAACTCGGCCAGCCTTGCCTTGTTTTTTTCTTTTTGTAACTGGTTGTTTTTATTTATGCTTTGACATCGCAGATTTACACATAAGGGTAACCATTTCCTCCTGGTAGGCAGCAAAACGGTTTACTTTGTCAACCGGCCGAAGGCTGCAGCAGTTTTATCCAATCCAGGCAGAATGAGTAAGTCTATTGACAGAGCTGTAATCAAGTCCAGTCACAAGTCAAATCCCAAGTCACTGAGGATAAACAATGACAAAGGAATGCCTTTGCCACAGTTCATTTGAATAGTTTATTGCTTGACTTGAGACTGGAGGACTTGTGATTGACTTGCGATTGACTTGCGATTGACTTGCGATTGACTTGGGATTGACTTGGGATTGACTTGTGATTGACTTGGGATTGACTTGGGATTGACTTGGGATTGACTTGTGATTGACTTGTGATTGACTTGGGATTGACTTGGGATTGACTTGGGATTGACTTGGGATTGACTTGTGATTGACTTGTGATTGACTTGGGATTGACTTGGGATTGACTTGGGATTGACTTGGGATTGACTTGGGATTGACTTGGGATTGACTTGGGATTGACTTGGGATTGACTTGGGAATGACTTGGGATTGATTTGGGATTGAATTGCGATTGACTTGCGATTGACTTGAGATTGACTTGGGATTGACTTGCGATTGACTTGGAATTGACTTGGGATTGACTTGGGATTGACTTGTGATTGACTTGGGATTGACTTGGGATTGACTTGGGATTGACTTGCGATTGACTTGCGATTGACTTGCGATTGACTTGCGATTGACTTGCGATTGAATTGCGATTGAATTGCGATTGACTTGGGATTGACTTGGGATTGACTTGGAATTGACTTGTGTTTGACTTGGGATTGACTTGGGATTGACTTGGGATTGACTTGTGATTGACTTGTGATTGACTTGTGATTGAGTTGTGGTTGACTTGTAATTGACTTATGACTTGACTCGTGATTGACTTGTGATTGACTTGTGATTGACTTGTGATTGACTTGTGACTTGACTCGTGATTGACTTGTGATTGACTTGTGATTGACTTGTGATTTACTTGTGATTGAGTTGTGGTTGACTTGTAATTGACTTGGGATTGACTTGGGATTGACTTGGGATTGACTTGGGATTGACCATCTCAAATCTGACAGGTTCATTGTGTTCAATGAATCATATTCAGTCGCTTTTCGACTCACCTTTGAAGTTGCCGAGTTTATTCCCCATTTCTTTATCCATCTTTTTTTCCATCTTTTTCTTGTCCACAGATGAAAAGGGTTGAAGGAGTGTTGGTTTGAAGTTATCCCACCCAGATCATTTACCTCTTCATTTTTGTGCTTTTTAAGAAAACCCATTTCCATCACACGCTCTTTGTTCAACCCTCCCCTCCTAAAAACATTATTTTTGACACAGCGTAACTTAACTGTAGAGCAAGATAATTCATGTGTATTTACACATGTATAGGTTTTTTGGGGGCAAAACTTCAACGTGTCCTTCAATTTGGTCTAGAATTTGTTGGGCTTGAGGAAGAAACATGTTCTTTTATTTGCCACTTTTTTCACATACATTCCTTGTTTCGAATCATGTTGTCTGTATATTTTGCTGAATCATTTTTGCATTATGATTAAAGTATGTAGTGCAGAACAGTTGAGAATCATGATTAGGTTGAAGTTAATTGTGGTTAAAAGGTTTTAATGGGATTTGGATATTCATTGCATGTACCAGCCTATTTGTCCATAATATTTGGATCATTTTAATTGAAAATATAGTCTGAATTCTGGACTCGTCAGGCTTTTTTTTTTTTTTTTTAAGTAGAATAGCGGTTTCGCCTACAAAAGATTTTTATTTTTGTCAAATGGCCAGAACAGATTTTTGTAGCTTGAAGAGGTAGTTTCCATATGCTGTATTTTTCCTAGCAAAAGATTTTGGGAATCTCGTTTTTAAAAGTCAGAGCTGACTCGTCAACAGAAAATTAAAAAAAAATTGGAGGCCTTGGTCAAGTAAAATAATTTAATAGGTCAGGTTTTAGCAATTGTAGAATACAGCTATGAAGCTTTGAAATACATATACACACCTTTAGGGGGAAAAAGTAAAGTCACTTTCACTTAGATTTGTGACAAAAAACTGCAACTGTAATTACAACAATCAAAGTTGATTTCGACCTTTTTGGGGAATTTTCTTTGTATTTTATGGTCAATAAATTTATATAATTCTTACAATTTCTTTCATTTTTAGTGGTCTAGCTGATCATGCTATGTGCTTTGCCTTATATTATAGAACTGATTTAAAATATATGAAGTATCACTTCTAATATAAAATTGTATGCAAATTGTCCTTGGAATTTTCCAACAAAATTTTGCTGTTGCTTGATTATATTTCCAACATTTTTACATAAATATATGCAATAATAATAATGAGTTTGCTGGACATTTATGAGGTGTACATTTTGTGCAATGGGACAATTGTAAATTTACCCCGTTTTGGATTAAAAAGAAACCTTTAACAGATCTCGGAACTGATTGGCAAGTTTGTGGAATGTTTTTGTAATGACTACAGTTGTGGGTCTTTCGTTACATTTTCTTCAAATCTCAGGCAAACGACTGGAAATCTATGCGATATCTCGATACAGCGTTTTGAGGTGAAATTTAAACACTTCAAATTTCTAATTTTTGGGGGGTAATCGTCTTTTAGTGGGAGTGTGGCCTAGTGGTTAGGGTTCATGACTCAAAACCAGAGGGTCAGGGGTTCCAATCCAGCTGCTGGTCATATGTTGTGTCCTTGGGCAAGTCACTTTGCCTCTCTCTACCCAGGAGTATAAATGGGTACCAGCATTAGCTGGAGAGTAACCTGCAATGGACTAGCATCCATCCAGGTGGAATAGAAATATTCCAAGTCGTTTCATGCCACTGAAACTGGAGATAGACGCCGGCCTGATGGGCCATATTGGCTCTTTACAGACTACAATCTTACTTCAATCATCTTTTCACATAACTTGAATGCTGCATGAACGCGATTTGCAAGACAAGATGATCACTTTTACAATTAGTAAAGGTTAAAGTAGTTGAACAAGAACAAATTATACTCGGATCAATTCGACTGTCAGTTTAACACTCTTTTAAGTTTTATTCAGCCAACAACAGGAAAACATCCAACACAAATACATTGCATCTTGAAAACATAAAACTGAAGTATGTGAGTTGATCCTGATTAATATTTAACGATGGTTTTTGGATTTAAAAAATCTAGTCCTTTCTTGAGGTATTGAAATCAGCTGCAAAACTCCAGGTCCACAGAATACATTTTTAATGTCACAAATTCCTCCAATTTTTAATATCGGTGGGTTCTAATGAAGCCAATAATATTTTCTGACGGGCTTCAAAATAAGTTCAGTCGATACAGTTGTTCAAAGTGCTCTACCTGAGCTCTTCAACATGTGGATTTTTTTTCCCCCAACAAATTTTTCATTTGTATGTTATATTTTAACGTAAAAACTACTCTTCTCTATTTTGGAGGTTCTTAACCTGATGAAAATATGCTTTTATTGTACGTTGCTTAAGCACCCATAATGCACAAGAGATACACCTGAATTATTATCAAGCTTGCACGTTTACAAACATGAACACAGTTTTTTGTTCGATGTCTCATTCAAAATTGATTAACTTTTTGTATTGCTAGAAAAATACAAATTAATCTATTTTTCAGGGTAAAACTTGACAACAGCATGTGGGAAGCAACTTGACACTAGAAACAAACTATAAAAGCTGCAAAAGAGTGAAAACACAGTGCCATCTAATGACACATCTCTACAATGTTACACAATGTCTGAGGAGAAAAACAGTCTTGCAAATTCAAGACTACTGGAGGTGATACAAGGGTTGCCACGGTTACTATGACTCTTCAGTGGACGCAGAATCATTGGCTGCATCTGCTTCCTCTTCCTCGTCAGATGATGGCTCCTTGGGCTTTTGCTGTTTAGCAGAAAAAAAAGATGAATTCGATCAGTTTGGAAATGAGAGGGTAGAGAACAGACATAAGATTTTAGGCTTTACTGAGCTACAGTAGTTATTACAACATGGTGTTAACGCAAACTGAAACAATAGAGAATAGACCAGCACCCGATTTCACGAAGCGCTGCGACGCGTCGCAACTCGAGTTACGACGTGTAACACGTCGCAACTCGCGACGCGTCGTATCTTCCATTTCACGAAAGTTGCGATGTGTTGGACGCGTCGTAAGTTCCTTGACAACGGCTTAAAACACGTCGCAAGTTAAGACGTGTCTAGTGGTCGTCACAAAATAAGAAGAGTCATTTCTAAGCCAGTTTTATGCCATAAACATTACATTAACGAGATAATAATACCGAGGCAATGTGTGTAAAGTTGTAAATAGAAAATTCATTGAATAATTATGAATTAGACCGGAATATTAGAACTGAAATTTCAAAGTAGCTATACAGTCCAATGAGAGTTTGTTTTCCTTCAAAATTGCATCGCACGGCCGCCATTTTGTTTTACGTTTTAACAAATTTCGAGCTGAGATCCGACGACTCTTTGTTGAATATCAGACGACTATTTACTGTACGCTGACTAAATACATAAAACAGTCACCGAGTTGTGCTACAAATACACCTACGACGCGTTGCACTTACAACGTGTTTAGTGAAATGGATTGCAGGACGCGTCGCAGCTGCGATGCATCGTAGAGATACGACGCGTTGCATCGCTGCGATGCATCGTAAGTTACGAAGAGTTTGATGAAATCGGGTGCTGATGTGTTGCAGGGAATGGGTGTCGGTCACCCACCCATTCATGTCACTTCTCCCTAAACCACTTCGCCCCATTGCCATTTTGCTCCATAGTCACTCGGCCCAATTAATAGAAATTCTGTCATTTTGAAAATTAGCCTACGTATGACCAATTTGTAGTGCACGTGTGGTCCAGTGGTAGAGCACAGGCTTCATGATCGTGAGGTTGTGGGTTCGAGCCCCGCCGTTGCCATGCGTGTTCACTGTTGTGCCCTTGAGTAAGGCGCTTTACCTCAATTATTCCTCTCAACCCAGGTGTTAAATGGGTACCGGCATTATCCAATGCTGGGAAGTTAACAGACTTGCTGTGGAGGTGTGGAGATCCCCCACAGCAGCATATATGAGTCTGGCCCAATCGCTAAAGAGCGATGGGCACTCCGTTCCTGTGAACACAGGTTCGTCCCCTTTACCATTTTTTTTAAACCTTTTTTTTGGGGGGGGGGGGGGGTGGGTGGGTTTGAGTCCTTCCACTCTAGAAGATAATGTGCCACATGGACAACTCTAATCAACAAATTCCTTGAAAAGTCTTGTCAAAAGGTCCCCTTTTAATTTGTGCAAAGCCACAATCTTAAACTTCCTCCGTTCCGAATGTACACCCACTGATCTGTACCGACACGCCGATTGGGTCAGATCTTTAGTGAATGCTCCAGCGGTTCGGTTTTCTCCACAAAGGGGAAGGTTTAGAGCTCAGCATCCATCAGCTTAAAGTTTGTATCCAATTAAAATTGATCGGGTTGATCAGATGCAGAACACTTTACTACATCAAGACTAGTGGCACTAAGGATGCGTGAACCAGAACTGTAGTAAATGGTTCAGCAAAAACAATATTTCATTCACGCATTGAAAAAAAATAAGTGAATACAAAAAACAAAAAAAACTCTTTACCTTAGGTTTTCGCCCCCTCTTCTTTTTCTCGGGTGGTGCAGCCTTCTGTTGATGAAGGAATTAAAGGGATGTTAACTCTAACAGAACTCAACCCATCAAACCCCAACGTCATGTTTTGTTGGAATCTGTCAGGATGGGTACAGTAACTGACAGTCTTTTACATTGGGTTGGCACACCTCCAGAATCAAAGTCGGAAATATGTGTGTGCAGTTTCCATATGGTGTTGGAATTTGCCTGGATGGGTAAGGTCCTAGTAAATTATGCTAGGGAGTTAGGGTTAAGGAAGGAAAACATATTATTTTTTTCATAACAAGCACCTGGAATATGTGAATTAACAATGCAAACAAAATGCTGAATTATCCTTGCCCAGTAGATATTTCCTGTCATCCTTGTTTAGTATTTAAGATATTCCACTTTTTCATCAAAATCCTGTGTGAATAACTACTTGTGATTGTACAATTAAAAGTTTGTACAGTGTTTTGGGGGTGTTGTGCGCTTTCTTGAAAATCACGCATTCTTAAGAATGCGCATGCACATTCTTATGATTGTGCAACTGGATCCTTGCGCAATCTTCGCAAAAAATAACTCTTCCAGATTGAGCGCACATTCTTAAGAATGCGCGACAAGATAACGGTCTTGTCGATACCGAGCACCTGCTGTGCTTGGCAAGTCTAGCTGCATCCTCGTTCACTGATACTGTTGCAACGCAAGGCGCTGAAAAGTAGATTGGATATGAAAAGTATACGTGTATGGGGGGGGGGGACCGAAAAAAAAAATAAGAGACATAATAATAGTGTATTGGAAAGAATTCTGATTTTTGGGATAATAAAAGCGGGGGGGGGGGGGGGGGGGGGGGGGACGTAAGAATGAAAATGTGAAGAATGAGAATGAATACTGTGACATCCCATAGTGCTAATGCAAATTTCCCATTTAAATTGCCACCAATTTATTGTTCACACCCCCACCATTACGCTGCAGAGCTGGATTCTATCTAGTCAAAAGAGCAATTTTGGCAGCTTCTGGACATCGTTTTTTTTTCGTGGCATGCATATGATACATACAGGGACTTGTAACTTGTCCAGCCTAAACAAAGCACTTCCCAGACTAGTTCCCAGTCCTCCGTTATTACAAAACTTCCCATAGTGGGCAGAAAAAAGCAATAATAACAGGTTTAATTTGATTCAAATTATCGTAGTTATACGAGTACAGAAGCATAGAACATTTTCTTTCCTCTTTATATGAATTGTTTCCCTTTTAACCGCTAAACATTTCATTTAACATAATTATGTCGTGCAATGTTTGTTAAGATTGTGCAAAATTCATAAATTGTGCACGTGATATTCCCACGCAATCTTAAGAATGAGCGCTCATTCTTAAGAACGCGTGCTCATTCTTAAGAATGCGCGCTCATTCTTAAGAATGCGCGCGCATTCTTAAGATCATTGTGTGATTTTCAAGAATGGGCACAACAGGGGAACTAATGCACTATGCCACTCTTCACATGAACTCCACAGGCTTCTTTTTTTGGGGGGGGGGGGCAAATTCTTCCAAAATCCACCACTGTTTGAAATTTAAACTTAAAACATTAGCTCTAGTTCATCTTCCATCTTCCTACAAAATCCTCCAGAATCGTTGGGTGGATTTTGAAGGTTGTTTTGGTTGATAGCCACATATCTGCATTTCTATGTACCTTTGGTGGCTGTGCTTTAGTTTTCGTGGCTTTCGCCTCGGTCTTAGCAGCGGTATCTCCTGCGGCATCAGCCTTCTTCTTGGCTGCTTTTCCCTTCGGTTTCTCTTCAGGCACCTTTTAGAAGAAAAGTTGATCAATACAATTTGCTGCCCTAATCTACAACAGTTTTTTTTAGGTTTAAAGGCTCCAGTCGGAATGAGTGCTTATTTGGTTTGATTTCTTTTGGTAAGCTTGAGTTGTGGGGGTTATTTTGGGGTGGGGGGGGGGGGGGGTCACGATTTATTAAAAATCAAGACAATTAAAAAATTGGGAGTTAATTTTCAGATAATTAAGTGAACATTATAAATGTTTGTATTGTTGGTAGTGGGCAGATAGGCGAGTAAAGAAAGCCCCTTCTACCCCTAATATTTTTTGTAATAAGCAGGAGAAAGGGGTGGCAAGGGAGAAATTGTCCCCTCCTCCCTTGACTTTTTCACACTAAAGGCTTTTGGATGCCCTACCATGGAGACATTATGGACAGTGCCCTTCCACTTACACTTACAGAAAGATTTTGCCACAACCCACCCCCCCCCCCCCCCCCCCCCGAAAAAAAGTAGGGGGCCTAACTCCCCATCCCCTTCCAAAATTCCTTCCCCCTCCCCCAACCGTCCACCCCCCCCCCAAAAAAAAAAGACCCCACCCCTAACAACAAAACCAAACAAAAACTTCTCCGAATGTTATCTGGGATTTACATATGAACAGTCTTTGAAAACTTACCTGGAAAAAAATACAAAGGCAGACTATACATTTTTTTAACAAAAATAAGAAAATGTTAGGCCAATTACAAAAAAAACGCAGTTTCTCATCCAGGCTTTTTGAAAAAGTTGGACGTCGACATTTTTTCCCCACCCGTGGCAGATTTTCCAAGATGGCATTCCATTTTCGAAACTCTTTTGATAAAACAAATACTGTTTTACTGGAAACAAATAAAAAGAAAATACATTCGCAATGTAAAAAAGGAAAGAATTCCATACACGGCCTCCCTCATCAGGCCTCCTGCACAAAGTATGGGCCATGACAGAAAAAGTTAAGAGTATTATCAAAGAATTTTTGCACTCTTAAAATAGCGTTTCTTCATCAGATTTACCATTTTTTGGTACTTTATAGGTTATATTAAGGAATATGAGTGGAGGCCGTATATGGAATTCTTTCCCTAAAGTATATTGCAAATGTATTGTAAATTAAAAAAAAAAAAAAAAACGGGTGGGAAAAAAAGAAGCGGGAGGGGAACCTGATTTTTTTTTTATTGGCCTCAAGTTACATTATTAGGAAAATTTAAATAGTACACTAAAATTTCATATTTTTTTGTGTGCAACCTTCCTCCTCCTTTGTGCAAACATTTTTTTTTTTTTTTTTAGGAAGACAGAGTGTTTACAAATGTCCAGCCCAACCACCACGAGAGATGCAAATTGTTTATTCACATGACAATTCTGTAACACTGATTTACGATATCACACACTGATGACGACGCAGCGCGTCAATTTTTTCAAGAAACAACCCCACAACTCAACTGTTCCTTGCTCTATGCCCACACCAATCTTCCATAGGATCTTTAAAATCTGCCGAGCAATTGTCATCATTTACCCAACCTAAATCTCAAAAGTGAGCTTTACAAAATTGAATAAAAACGAGTTGCATGAAGGTTTACCTCTTCAGGTTTGGGGTGTTTGCGTGGCCGTCCACGGCCTCTCTTTGGCGGCGGGGCATCGACCGCTGCTTCGCCTGGCCCAGCATCGTTGCCAGAATCACCCATCTCGGTGAAAGAAATTCACACCTAAATTGCCTTACCCTTGATGAAAAATTCTCACAATGTCTCCACTAGATTGCAAAATAATCCCCAAGATGGAGCACGGTAAAAAATTGAGATGAAAATGCACCGAAGTTGCTAAAAATGTGAGGATTTTCCTTTAGCATTCGTCACTTCTCGTGGGAAATCTGGCCCAGGTTAGCGTAAAATACACGTGTGTACAAAGGCATTTAAAACGGTCACATGGAATAATGCCGCCGAACTGTCATCCAGAACGATCCGGTTTTTGTTACGGTGGCCCTGAATGGACATCGGAAATCGGCAATTTTTCACGGCCCCAGTAATGTCTGTGTATTTTAAAATGAGCACAACGGTCATCATTCTTGGAACTGTGCTGTTTACATTTTTATTATCTGTCTACTAACACGACGGCCCAAAAGCAGATCACGATGTTTTTTCCCCCAAAGTTTGTTAAATTCAAACCGTAGTTAAAGATCATACCCATTATTCTCTTCCAAAAATAGATTTCTTTTTCTACAAGCGAATTTTCAATTTGCATTTTTTTTAACAAGTTTTTTAACGAAAAAAAAAAACCTTCTTCATTCCGTTTTCGAGGCGACTGCAACCCTCGGAAAAGGGGCTTTCATTTTGTCCACAAATAACCCGCCTTGCGAGAGCCGTCTGACAGCCAATAATTCGAATGTTGTGAAGAAATGATTAAATAACTAAACATCGGTGGATTTTTTTTTATGCAATGTCTCATTCATTCTAAAGTGAATAACTTTTATATTGCCAGGAATAAAACGTGTTTTTCGAGGCGAAACTCGAAAATAGCACAAGGCCGCATCTTCAAAACATATTTCCTATAAAGGCAACCTGCCTATAGCTTGCCATTTAGCAAGTCACTGGATCTCTTAATTCTGGCAGTTTTTCTGCGCCAGAAAGTTGCTTAGCCGCGTCAATCTGACCAAACGGTGACCTTGTTGAGTTGTCAGGTATCCGACTGTCCCATGACGTTCACCGCCATGCAAGCCGGTCGTACGGGCTGCCGAGAGAAGGTGTACACCATTTTAATCATGGTGAAACTTATTCACCGTTCACACTGCACTTTTCGATGTACCCCCGAAAAAAAATGCAACCCTGAAACATTTTGCCTTTTTTTCCCTCAAAAATGTGATCTGTGCATTTTTATGTAGGAACCCCCCCCCCCCCCCTCCCCGATTGGGCCAGTGCAGATTCTCTGAGTTTAGTACAGGTCTTAAGTGACATTCTTTACCCAAATGAGAGTTTTTTCATTCAAATACTGAAGAGAAAAAAAATCATGAAAACAGCACATTGGGTTGCTGAGAAAAAGCCAATTATGTAAAAGAAGTGATTTTTTCATCCTTTCCAATGGTGCTCCAAACAGCTTTCATTTGTGCAATCTTTAATATTTTGACATATTTATGATGCCTGAAAAGGTGTCAAATAGCACTAAAAAAGATAAGATACCTGTTCAGGTGGGAAATAAAAGATATTACCATCAAAATTGTACTCTTGTCATGTGCCGTGTTGTTTGTAAGATTTACGACAAAATGCGCTACATGTATTGTAAATCCCGTATATGCCATTGGAATGGACCAAAAAGGAGTTGTGTTACATAATTGGCAGTTTCTCAGCAACCCAATGTGCTGTTTTCATGATTTGTTTTAGTATTTGAAAGAAACAAACTCTCAGCTTTTAACTTGATATCCAAAACATACAAATTCAAAGATCACGTTCGTGAAAAAAAGGCAAATGATTCAGGTTTGCATGGGGGGGGGGTGTCCGACCTGTATCGCGTTTTAAGCACCTTTTTGGCTTATTTTCCTTCAGGGTTTCCGTTTTGTCGAGAGTGGTACAATTTTACCGAAAAGAACGACAAATGGGGCCAATACAAACAATTGGTTTCATCCAAAGTGCTGGAAAAAGTCTAAGGAAATGCATCATCCTACCACCTCATTGTGACACAATAATGGATATCGAAACATAGTTCCAGCCTTTCTTTAGAGCCAATTTGTGACAAAGCTTTGACTTCCGATATTATATTCATAACAATCATATATTCAACCGGGTATACTGGTAATGGTTCCCGCCCCTCAATCAGTATTGATATTACGGACCGGGAGCCAGTCTGCTCGTAAAGCGAATCTGTTTTTGCGCCCAAAATAAAAACCTTTTTTCCTCCGGAGGTTTGTAGGCGTCCAAAAAGGGGGAAAACTTATTAATAGAATTTTTTTAAATTGTTTGAAGAGGATGCACGGGGAACAAACTTTAAGATAGAAAATACAACTTGTGTCACAAACAAAACTAACAGTCGCAGGCGCGGTTCTAGAACCAATATTTTTGGGGGCTAGCAGGGTGGATGTAGACCGGTTATTTTTTTCCAGACACTTAGGCCTCCGAAAATCAAGAGGTGGGGGGGGGGGGGGGGGGGGGGGGGGGGGGGGGGGGGGGGCCTCATGCCATATTTTCAATGGGGAGCGCCAATAAAATCCTAAAATCATTGACACTGTATTAACTAATGCACCCTTGTCACGACTATTTTTTTTAGGGAGACCGTTCGCATGTACATCACAATCTTTCTTTTTGCTAATGCAATTTTTTTTTTTACGGAATTTATTTTTTGGGGGGGGGGGCTAGACACCCCCCCCAGCCCCCCCCCCCCCCCCTAGAACCGCGCCTGAACAGTCGAATCGGGCATGTTTTCAGAAAATGAATGTTTTGTTCAAAAGATACAGCAATCACAATACGGGACTTGAAGAAAAAAACATTTGGGCAACTTTTTTTTATTTATCAAGTTTACAGATCGAAGCCGGTAGAATAAGTCACACGTTACTCTTGAGCAAAGGAAATAAATCCTTTGTGTGTTTCTCTAACTGCGCTTTCTCACTTTCAAGGAAAGTGGCCCAAGACGATTTTCAACCCCCGAGTTCGATGGAGCATAGCGTTTGTTCCAATGCATTGATTTGAATGAAATAAAGTTTGTATGGTAGATGGTTATCTGACTTTAAGAGGTAATGTGAAAAAATTCCAAAACCCACATGCAACATACCTTAATTGGTTTTTGACTGTTAAATTTTTTTGGCCCTGTCGATGTAGCTGCGCTGATGGATGTTGTGAAAATAAATTAAATATTATTTTTTCCATGCCACTTGATTAAAGCACAGTAAACATGTAAAACTCCAATTTATTCTTTCCTCAATCAAAGTTGGACTCATAAAATAAATTGTATATTAAATTTAATTTACAAGTTAAATTACAGTCATATTTATAAAGGACGTTCACATGCAGTTACATAATGCAATTAAAATATGCAATTTGCTTTTTTTTAAACTTGATTTCAGTTAACTTCAATGAATTTCAGAAAGGGAAAGGATCAGAAAAAAAATACATACATAAAAAAGAAAAAACAAGTAAAGCTTACTTTTCAGTGCTATTAAAATATTTTTGAACTGCTGCTGTCTTAAATTATTTCTAGCATTCACACCTTATTTTCAAATGATCAGTATCATCAGTATGGCCAGAAAATTTAAAAATCAGCACAAGATGGCATGTGAGTAAAATATCCATATTGCCGAACTAAATCCCAAAGAAACTTTGTGTGCATAGTAACTGCCATAATCATACTGTAAAGTTAAACAAAAAAATAAAATGATATTTAGCTTTCAAACAAACAGGCAAAACAATAGCTATGTAATGTATGTTTATGAGGCCGAACAAAAATGTTTCTGGTAACCCGACCAACTATACAATGTTGGCAGTATTAGGGATCAGTAGTTTGGATATCGTGTTTTTTTTAAGCAAACAAATACTTTGTAATATAGGTTTTCCTATATTACAATATATTACATATATATAATATTCATTCACTTCTGAAAATCGGTCATTCATTTTCGTCTGAATTTGAGAATCGCTCTGAACATGCGTTTCATTTTAGCTTCCAGAGCATTCGATTCCATGTTCGATTCCAGCAGCACCTTTTGTTTATGTCCATTATGATTCATTTACAAGACTTCTTTTTCGCTTTTAGAGGGTGATTTCAAACATTCACCATTCTATTTCACTTTTACTTTAATGCCATCGGCACCAGATACAATTAGGGGTTTCATTTTCATGAACCGTCAATCAAATCATGGAGCAAGGAAAATGATCAAATTAGCTGTACCTGAAGTCAATGTAGAAAAGGCATGCTTTCGTAAATGAATGCACAGGTAACGTAATTGGCCGTCTGTTTCTCAAAACCGAATGCACGGACAATGAAAACATTGGACTTTTGTTGAATTGAAATGGGATTAAAGACATGCATTCAAATGCAGACGGAAATGAATGACAATTTTCAAAAGTGAATGAACATTTTAGGAAATTGGCCGGGAAAACCTATATTTACATCAATTTTGTTGCCAGAATCTATTTTATAGCATTGTTCCTCTGCAGGGTAAGCCTATGTCGTTCCCACCTCTTTAAAATTGAACAACTCCATGGGTTTTTTTTTTTTTTTTTTTTGCGTGACCAATTTTCAGCTTCACTGTACCAAAGTTATTTTGTTAGTAAACATGAGTCTTTGGATCATAGTCTTTGGTGGGAATTTATTTACAATAAACTAATAAAATACAATCACAGAAACTTGCAAATTTCCATTGAGTCAACAATGTGAGTTGCTAAATTCCAAAGAATTTTCATAACTTTTTAAATATGATGGAATTTGTGTCGGGGAAAGGTAAATAAATTTTATGCAAATAATTTTATGTAAATTATTTTATGCGAGTAAGCTTGTGAATTTTGTTCTGGCAAGTCCTCGGAAAACAATGAGTACACTGGAGTGTCGCTATATCGAACACCGCTATACTGAACATCATCCTTTGCTTCCAATTTTTGTGTACAAAACGTACCGAACAGTGTTGTTGGAGAATGTCAACAGAACATTGACAAATGGCTATGGACCTTATTCACAAGGTAGCCATTTTTGTCGTGTTCCCTGAATGTATTTCATAAATTGTTAACTGTTGAATGGGATGGCGCCAGACTATTAATGCAGCCTTATTTTACTTTCATTTTTTTTTAAATCTGGCTTAAAACATTAGGGAATGTTTAATTACAAATTTTAAATAATTTATTTAAGCAGACTTGAATTATTTAGTAACGTGCTGGCTTTAATTTCCCTTCGCAAGTTCGAAAAATGAAGATTTTTACCTCACTTTCAATTCAACATGGCCGACTTGTGAATAAGGCCCATAACTTCCCCAGGAATAGAAGGGAAAAGCCACCCATGAAGCTCAAAAACTTTGTAATTACATGATTCAATAGTCGCACATGTTCAAAGTTGTCTTTCAGTAACTAACAGGGCATTCAGGGTGAAGTAATGATTATGGAATTGAAAAGATGAATGGACAAGTTTGGCGAATTGTAAATTGTAAATGCAACTACAATCTAACAATGGTCAAAAGTTAGATTGACTAATGTGTGAAAAATCACAAGCTGGTAAGTATTAAATTCGTTAAGCCTAACAATCGCTACTACGAACAATTTCTGTGGATCCCGCGATGTTTCGTTATAGCAACGTTCCACTGTATGCAGTGTTTATAAAATACATCACTGAAGGGCAGAACCCAATACTGAATTTTTATCATAGCCAGCAGATAAAAGTATGCAGGGGGGCAGAAAAAAGGCTATGCCATCCACCATAAACTTTCCATCATTGTTTGGTGTGATTTACAGTTGAAAATGCTTGTACTTATGAGCAGCTCAAGCAACAGATTTGTAGCCAATTAGATTGCCAGTCCATCTTTACCCAAATCGCAAGTCAATCACAGCCAATCACGAGTCGAATCGCAAGTTAAATCACAAGTAAGGGCGGAAGTAACAGAGGCTGGAGTTGAACAGAGGTACAGAAATGCCTTTATCACAGTTTTGTTTGGCAGGTTCATCACCTGAATTGAAACTGGATGACTTACGATTGATTTGTGATTGGCATGATTACAACTTTGCAGTCTGGACAGTTTTTCAAAGTGCGTCTTTGCTTCCAGATTTTGCTCCATCTAAGGATCCCAAATCAATTTTCGTGACCTCTGAATATACAATGTGAATAATCTAAACTTTGGCATCACTACATGATTTGATATAAACCAGAATACTGTCAAAATCAAGAGGTTAAAAATCTCCGGCAGATGAAAGTGGGCTTGGAGAAACCCGTCCAGATTGGAGATCAAATGCCCCCAAAGCAGCAGTACTTGACGTTCAGGTATTCATTGATTCCGTACTTGGAGCCCTCCGTCCCAAGCCCTGACTGCTTGATGCCGGTAAAGGCCCCGGCCTCTGATGACACAAGGCTCTCGTTGATGCCCACTATGCCTGATTCCAGCTTCTCGGCGACTCGCCAGATCTGGCCGATGTTGTTGGAGTAGAAGTAACTGGCCAGGCCAAATTCGGATGCGTTGGCTAAAGCAACAGCCTCAGCCTCAGTCTGGAATCTGAAAAAAAAAATTAATGTAGTGAGACGTCTTTTATGAGGCACCGTACAATTGGCACACAGCCCAGAAAAATGTATACAAATGCGCACTCTGCCTGCAGACCAAAGTGTGCAATTTGGAGGCCTAGTTCACAACACAGCCGTACACTGGCCAGGCGTTCGGGGAACCGGGAACCTGGGAATCTTAGGAACTGGGGCAATTTTAGAAATACAACTTGTGATTATAATTTATCATTGGCAAGTTTATTACAATTTATAGAGCTGGAAGTTGAATCTAAGTTCTATGATTTTTGTAACACTTGTTTTGTGAGTAAGATTGAGATTCAGATCCAGAACTATTGTAATTGATTTTGTAAACAAGTAATCTGTAACAAGTTCATGAGACCAAACATAAGTTGACTCCTCCTGGTGTTTTGATTATTTGTCTGTTTGTCTTGATTTGTCCTTGGCGTCCTTATATCTGATCATTTGAGCGGACCTTCTTAATGGCGTACCGCTACATTAAAAATGTGACCTGATCAGTGGAACAGTGGAGAAGCCAGTTCATGACAGGCACAACAGAAGTGAATGGGACTAGGGAGTTTTGATGCCACAGGAAGTGTTCGCACTACAAATATAACTCCAGCTATTTTCACCGCAGACGTTTTTTATGTTGTTGCATTCCTTTGCATTCGGCATCCAGTTTGACGGGTTTATGGCTAAATGACTGACCAGAACTGACTGTGCTGTCTGAACAGTCACAGACAGTCAAAAAATCAATCCTCTTGCCCTGGCCATGCCTTTTACACAGGCTAGTCACCAACAGTCACATCATATTTCAAGCAAGCACTGCGACAAATTCAGTCAACAGACAAAACCAGGCAAGCAAGTACTGTGACTCGTCAAATTCGGTCAACAGCCAAATCAGGCAAGAAGTAGGCACAGCTGGCTTATCAATCACCTGCAGTCAAAGTATAGCTGCGTCAAGTTACATAAACAGTCACAGCCAGTCAATCCTGCTTTATGTAGGCTGGGAGCTCTTAACTGTTGAAAACAGTCACTAGATTGATTATGACTGAAAGAACAACTTTGTATAGAATTCATGTTTGCATAGGAGGGTTAATGGTCTGTCTGCAAATTGTGGTCATACCCCCTCCACCCTCCCTCTACTTCCCTCCATAAGAATGGCCTGCCAATGCCAGTATACCTGATAACTGGAGCAAGGGGTCCAAACGTCTCCTCCTTGCACACCAGGGCATCTTGGGGAACGTCTGACAGGAGGGTGGGCTGAAAGAATGTCCTGCCGAGTTCGTGTCGTTTACCTCCCATCAGGACCTTGGCCCCGCGTTTCACTGCGTCCTCAATGTGCTTCTCCACCTGAGAAGAAAGAGATTTGAGGATTTGTCAAGTCACAGAAAACACTGTTTGGCTTATGTGGGTTCTTGTGTCCTTGGGTGAAGAACACTGCTACACCCACATCTCCAAACTTGGCACGCCCACTTCTTTCAACTTGGCACGCCCACTTCTTTCAACTTGCCATGCCTACTCCTTTCAACTTGCCATGTCCACTTCTTTCAACTTGCCACACCCACTTTTTCAACTTGGCACGCCCACTTCTTTCAACTTGCCATGCCTACTCCTTTCAACTTGCCATGTCCACTTCTTTCAACTTGCCACACCCACTTTTTCAACTTGGCACGCCCACTTCTTTCAACTTGCCATGCCTACTCCTTTCAACTTGCCATGCCCACTTCTTTCAACTTGCCACACCCACTTTTTCAACTTGCCACACCCACTTTTTCAACTTGCCACACCCACTTTTTTCAACTTGCCACGCCCGCATCTTTCAACTTGCCATGCCCACTTTTTCAACTTGCCATGCCCACTTTTTCAACTTGCCACACCAACTTTTTTCAACTTGCCACACCCACTTTTTCAACTTGCCACGCCCGCATCCTTCAACTTGCCATGCCCACTTCTTTCAACATGCCACGCCTACTTCTTTCAACTTGCCAGGCCAACTTCTTTCATTTATCAATCAATTATAGTTTAGAGGCTGCCTAAGCAGTATAGCCTTATGATATGCTCCCGAAGTTTCACGAAAATAGATCCATCACAAAATTTGGTTAAGTTTCAAAAATGTGTACATTTTTGCATCCGTAGTGGGTTACTTACTTTCTCGATAGCTTTCTCATTGATGAGCGGTCCCTGCGTCACCCCTGGTTCCTTCCCGTCTCCGACCACAAGATGGCCGACCTTTTCAGTGAGCTTCTGGCAGAATTCCTCGTAGACCCCATCCTGTACAAGGATGCGATTGGCACATACACAGGTCTACATACATGCATGAAGAAATAAAGAAATACCAACAATCAATGTGAGATTGAGGTGGCTTAACAAAACAATGCTCCCAAAAAGTAGTAAATGTTACCATTTCAGCTGAATGATTTCACAGGGTATGTAGTACAAGTAATATACAAATACAGCATGGTTTGAGGGGAAGTAGTGGTAATTACTGGTCCTTCGGTGTAGGTCAGCTTGACTACCTCCCAACGCGAAATAAACCATGCTGTATTTGTTTTACTTCACCTCAAAAGTATTTAGTAGCCTCACTGCCTTGTCAATAATGGACTTCGTAGATTTTGCATCTTTATTCAGCACAAGATATTCAAGTTCTTTGTCAGTCAATGACGGAAATCTGTAATTTCTACTCTCAATGTTTCTTCGGGCTTTCGAGCTACGGTGCCTAGGACACTTTAGAGGAATCCTTGGTTTCATTACCAGAAAGAAATAAAATAAAGAAATAAAAATCTAGTACCGTAACTTGTACTCGTAGACGCCATTGTTGTTTCTGAAGTGCAGAGTTCCGTGTGTCATGGCAACAGGGTTGGTATAGTCTGGTGCCAACACTCTTTAACGTGTCTTTACTGCAGTAGTTACAAGGACTACGACAACAGACTGGTTCCGTAAAGATTACAAGCCACAGACTTCATGTCTACAATGCAGGTTCCAGGGAGACTTTTTGATGCTGTCAGAAGAAATAACCCACAGCAGTAAAGCTGGATACTCACCGGGATGACGTCGTCTGGGCGCGTATCATTTTACTTCCTGGGTGCGCGGCGGAAACGGCCTATGATGTACTCCAATTTGATCATGAATATTTATGAGATGCAGTATTTGCCAATGTTCTTACACGCCTTTCAGAATATTTGGGGTCTTTGAAAATGGCTCAACAACACCACACACAACTACTAACCTGTCCCATGCCGCGGAATTTGCAGGCAATGGCTCCAGCCACTGCTGCGTCCACATCAGCCGAGTCAAAGACGATGAAGGGGGCGTTGCCGCCTAGCTCCATGGAAACTCGCTTCACTGTGCTGGCAGCTTGTTCAAGAAGAATCTGAGAAAAAAAGGAAAATGATTTCATTTAAGTTGTTTCAGAATACACACACCCATTGAGGTATTTAGGCCTCAGTTTTCTAGGAATACACTTCTAAGTAAATAAAGTCGAGTCTGTGTGAATCATCAGGCCAGAATTTATCTGTGTTTTTCTTTGGCATAAAACAAATTCAGAATATTTCTATTCCCTCCGGGTGACATGCCAGTCCATTGCGGGTTACTCCCCAGCTAATACCAGTACCAATTAATAACCCCTGGGTGGAGAGAGGCAAGTGGGGGTTAAATGGCTTGCCCTAGGACATATTGAAATCAGCTGTATTTGAACCACAGACCCTCTGATCATGAGTCACAAACCCTAATAACCACCACAGTACACTGCAAACTGAATAATCTTAAGATCATTATAAGAAAAAAAGTCTCCCATTTTCAATTCACAAGGATAAACATCATATTCAATAAGCCATTTGCTAGTTAAATTTGAATAAAATCTAGAATGCTGACTTAATCCAATGCTTTGCACATTTTAACTTTGCATACTCCCGACCAAAGAGATTGTTACTATTTCACGTGATTTGGGGCAAGCCAATATGCTAGCAAGTTAGCAACCCCCAGCTCCAGCATGGTCTGGTGTCTTTGTGCCATTCTCACCCATAGACCTTTATCATGCTGCCACATTTCAGTCATGTTCCCTGTATCCAATAACAGTACTGAACGATAATGTTTTTTGTGCAAAAAGGAACCAGACTATTTTTCCTTCCAGCATCGCTTTGGTTACGTTGATTTGAATGGGAAAAAATCAAGATGGCCACAACATGATAATGGTCTATTGTGAACAATGTATTGATGCTGAGCGTCTCTTACGTAACTATGCAACAGCATGCCCCGAATCATGTGATTAGCAACAGTTGTCTTTGGTCTGGATAATGCAAGTTAAAATTTCCACATTCATGAGCAAAACTGTGATGTCATTCCGGGCAGAAACCTCAATGTTACAGCTATTATCAGCACAGAAAGTTGCTAGAAGTTTGGATATTTTGCTGTGGTAAAGTTCTTTACTTTGGTGATTCGTTGTTGTGTAAGTACATGGCAGTAAGCCAGTGAGCAAGCCTTTCTCACAAACGTTTTCATTGAGCAAATTTTTGATTCACAGCTTGAAAAGAAAACCCCTAAACTGAACACTGTCTTTCTGAAATGACATCACAGCAACAGCGCCCTCAGTTGTCAAGAAAAGCATGGGATTTTTGAAATGTTTACAGAAATGCACATTTTAATGAAATTTACCAAAAAGGGATGCCAAATAGTTTTCATACATTTAAGACGAGTAGAAAGTTAACAAAATGTGTTCCTAAGAAAAATTCACTGCATGGACCCTTTAAGCAAGTTTCCAGGCTTGTATGGACACTGCAGTTGATGTCAACAGACAGCCATATAATATTCCTACCTAATCAACCAAACCCTATAATTAAAATTGACCCTGATGTACCTGAATCCATCAAACTCCACACCCAGTTTTGGAGGATTTCTGCGGATTCAGTATACCTCCATATTGAATTCAGGACAGTAAGCTTAGCAGTACTGCAGGATTTTGATGGAATCAGGACACCTCCATATTGAGCAGATGGGGGACTTGATGGATTCAGGATCTCAACACTTTAACTCCTTGGCTATATGTTTGGTATGTACGCGGTACGTATGTATTACACTGATGGATTCTGTTGGACTCACTGGTAGATTCTGATGGACTCAGGACACCAACATTTTTTTTGCATAACAAAATTGGTGGATAAGTTTTGGCCGATTCAGGACACTTTCTAGTAAAAGTGCTCAAGGGGTTAGGGCTAAAACAACAGGACTCATTCATTCTTCATATCAATATGAAAGCATCCCCCCCCAGATTGACTTTGATTCAGCACATGGGGTATATTGAGAAACAGTATAAATGAGTAGGAATTAAAAATCTTTAATCAAAATGAGTTTTTCACCTTGCCTGTAGCGGTGGATCCAGTGAAGGATATCTTGGCAACTAGGGGACTTTCACACAGGACTTTGCCCACATCTGAAGCATTGTCTCTAGAGCAGGTCACGACATTGAAGACGCCTGGGGGTAGACCAGCTTCCTCAGCTAACTATCCAGAAAAGAAGTTGGACCAAGGAAATCAACTGATTAGTTAATTAATTAACTAATTAAATCTTTGTCAGACTGTGTCATGATTTCACCGTGCAACTGACGGTAACGTTGACCAGAGATTGTGCGTACAAGCCCGAGTCACCGTCCCAAGTGAAAAGCACGCTTGGCTAGTATAGTCTGTACCAAAATTAACTCCCTAAGTTTCCCATAAAATATAGCATGCTATATAGCACGGTGCATAGCGCATTATAACACCTCACCCACAGATTCTGTGTCTTGATTGGCCGAGAGCGAGTCACATGATACTTTCTATTTTCGCTATCTTTCTGTGCATGGCCAAAAGTACTATACCTATACCATTTGCAACCAAAGTACTATATCCACAGCGAGGTATTTATGTGCAAATGCATGCTGGTGTGCGCGTTGCGCATATTTTTCCGAAAAGAGCGCGCCGCAGAGTTGGGTTCAAACATTTTGTGAATGGGTAGTTTGGAAGAGAGAAATACATTTTCCACCAATTTTGTATTGAAATTGAAGTTAAAAATATTAAAAATATTACAACCAAGCAGAATCTGTGGGTGAAATGTTATAAAACAAATATTGAATGCTTTATCTCGTGGCCAAGTAAAACTAGCCTCCTTCGGTGATCCATGGAGCATTCTATTTTCCCTCGGCCATGGATCACCTCGGGAGTCTAGTTTTACTACACCACTCAAAGCATTCAATATTTGTATACTATATACCACGTGACTATGACATTACTGCACATATTATGGCTCCATTTACAAACTTTTCATAAACATCTTTCTGAATTGTTACAAACACCTTTTGTCCAGTATTAAATGTACTTTGTTTGCTTTTTTTGTTTAATTTCTATTTGGTAGATATATTTTATGGGAAACTTAGGGGGCTTCTTCTGTTCAATTTTCAGGGACAGACATATGCAAAATTGATGCGTAATGGGCATCGATCGAAACAAAGCCAGTGTTCAGAAAACTTTTGGCAAGATTGCATTTATCGCACAAAAATTTGTGTGGATCTGAGTGATTCTGATACTCCATATTCAAAAGTAACACCTTAAATTCCATGGTAAGTCATGTGTAAAACAGTCTTTTTGTTTGCACTGAACAGGACTTTTAATTTGATTAAATTCATACACCACATACTTTCTTCCCTATCTTTTCTAGACTGCTTTGGTTTGTTCACTTAATGTTCTTAACATAAAGTTCTTTGAGAGTGTGGACCATAAATGCACTAGATACAAACTCATATATCATTAGTACTTTTCAATTGACTGACTGCTGTGCATAAGCAACACACACTGCTATCTGAGGTTCACGTACAGAGTCCAAACTAATTACCGGTATCAAAGCAAGTGCAGACAGGGGCGTGTCCTCCGCAGGTTTGACGACCGTGGTACAGCCAGCAGCTAGGGCAGCTCCCAATTTACGTGTGATCATGGCATTCGGAAAATTCCACTACAAGGAGGAAAAAAACTGGACAATTATTTATAAATAAGATTTATAAAACCACAGGGTATAAACAGGATTCATGGTCTAGCCGGCATATCCTATTTGTGGAGTGCCTCGTGGTCTGGAGCATTGAATTCGTGGTCTGCGGGTCATGCTGCAGGTTGTGGGTTTGAGTCCAATATGGGGTGCTGTGCCCTTGCATTGGGCAAGGCACTTTGTCACTCATTGCTTCTCCCACCCTGGGGTAATTGGGGCAGAGATGGTTACTGTGATTGAGCTGCTTTGCGCCGAAATGGCAGCAAATGCCAATGGACTGCTTCAAAAAAATGTACACGTTTGCTCGTCACTGTGTCCTATCCCCCTCCCCCTGTACACACTAGCCCCTCCCCTTGAGTGGACAGACAACCCTCACCGGTGTAATCAATGCTGCCACGCCGACAGGTTGCTTCAAGAATATCTGACGTTTGTTCTTCATGATGGTGGGCACGACGTCGCCATAGCAACGCTTGGCCTCCTCAGAGAACCAATCAAAGAAGGATGCGCCGTAGAGGATTTCGGACTTGGCTTCGGCCAGAGGTTTTCCCTGTAGAATAAAAAGGTTGAAGTCAGGTCATATTAAGTAAAAGCGATGAACACTGAAAAAGGAATTCCTTCATCTCAGTTCACTTGAACAGCTTGTTAAAGGAGGACTTGTGAAGATTTCCTGAGCTTTCAATAAAAAAAAACTCATCTTCTGTTCTATTCAATTGCATATCATGATCTGACGTTATCGGAAAACTTAAAAAACAAACCAAAAAAACAACCCAAAAATCACTTTAATTTCTCTATTTGTGGGAGTGGGGCAGAGACAACTTTTACTTGCAAATTGCTCAGGTATTTTAATTAGAGGAGTATTTCCCCTTGCATAAATTCAGCATTTAAGTTTATATGGGAGACATTTGTTAGGCACATAATAGCAAGGACTTCCCTACCATCTCTGGCTTTGACCTTGCCCCATACACGGAACCCAGATTCTTGACTGCATCTGTAGTCTGGGACCCACTGTTAGTGGAAAATGTTCTTTTTTTCAGTTGTGAAATTTTTTCCAGGTTGGAACGAACACACACACAATTTACAGCTGCAAAAACACTCAGTTGGGCATTCCTGGACAAACAAATCTAAAAAATGTCCTCTAGAATTCAAACAAAATCTAGGAATTCCAAACTCAGTTTCTCCTTTGTTTCACAGTGCCCAGGAAGCAGCAGATTTTCCACATCACATTTTCCCACAGGTTGCAATGGGGCCCAGGATATTTCAGACAGTCCAGCATCAGAGTTCCATTTTATAGGGCCAGAGCTCTAACTCTCACCATTTCGGTTGTGAGAATCTGGGCTAATTCATCCTGGTTCTTGATCATGAGGTCGTACCAACGTCTCAGGATCACACCCCTCTCTTTAGCAGTAGTCTCCGCCCACCCCTGGAACGCATCGTAGGCTGCCTGGATGGCATCCGTGGTTTCCGTGACCCCGAGATCCGGGACGCAGGCAATTTCCATTCCGTTGGCCGGGTCGGTTACGGGGAACGTCTTATCACCCGACACCCACGCGCCACCGATATAGGCTTTATCGCGGAGGAGGCTGGCATTTCGACTGGACAGATGAAGACTGCATGATGGGGGTCTCCGGGACAGCTTGTGGAGAGCTGGTACTCTGCAGGCGTATCGCCTTAAGAGGCGAACACAACTCATGGAAGACTGCATTTCTGGACGTTACTTTTACAGTGGCTGATTGGGTCTATGCTGAAGCACCTGTGACTGATTTATAACACTAAAACCAACAAAACAAAAACAATAAAACTCAACAAATAGTTCAATAAATTTTAACGATTATCAATGTCATCAACAAGTTTAATATTTGTGAGTTAATGTCCTTCTAACATGTCTAAGTTGAAGTAACTATGCAAATAAGTAAACAAAACGTGTATGTAATACGCTTGAGTAAAAAAAGGTCAAGTGCTAATTCATTCAAGGCTTGACACAAGCACTATTACATTTGCGATAAGTTAGGTGATTCAAATGGCATTGGCAGAAGAAAATTCTGAAGGTACAGGGGCGTATTACAGGGGGGGGGGGGTGCAGCAGGTGCCCATGCCCCCGGTTGCCCTCGTAAATCTTAAATTGAACTAAAATATGTTAAATATCATTTCCCTTCAGCCCCCCCCCCCCCCCCTCCCTCCCTCCCCCCCGCCCCGTAATTCCCGTAAACATTTATGCAAAAATTACCGCACTCATGCCACTGAAAAACAGTTAGTTTTATACTAGACCCGTGAACGTGGCGTTGTATACAACGCCACGTTCTTGTTTCATTTCGAACCTGGCGAAATCGATCCGACATACATAATTCCGTATGGGTGTTGAGTACTCACCTAGAAATCTAAATTTGCCCGTCCGATTGTTTCGGCTGTGTAATTTTGACGAAATTTGCCCATCAGTAAAGACCCATACGAACGTGTAGAAATTAGATTTTAACCTGACCCTGACAAATAACCCCGGACGCGTCTGAGTCGCTTGGACAGATTGACGGCTGTTTCATGTCGCAACCCCGAAAAAAAAAACCACGCAGACGATTGGCTGCTCGGCTCATCTCGTGTACAGTACGTGTGTGCACACACACGCGGGCGCACGTGCGACCGCGTGCGGTGCGGTGAGAGAGGAAAGGACTTGAAACTTGTCTAAAACGATGTCTGTTTTAGCTGCGACAGTAAACAGCCGTCGAATCATACGAAAATAAAACGCAATGCGCATGCGTCAGTTGGGAGAAAATGGCAGCTAGCAGTAGCGGACGGACTTCATGAACCGGGGCCAGAATTTTCCTCAATTTTCGTCAAATGCAAGTTTGGACGTACAAATAGAATTCAAGACAGCTTCATATGTGAGTACTTATTACATGGGCAAAATAACGTCCAGTGTGTGTAACGGAGGGAGTCAGAGGGACACGTTCGCCAGGTTCGAAATGACATAAGAACGTGGCGTAGTTTACAAGCCACGTTCACGGGTCTAGTTTTATACTAAATGAAAATGTATTCATTATATTAAGCAATTGGTATAATAATGATATAAACCTAGAGCAACGAAAAAAATGACGAAACTATTAAACAAGTACAATATATTAACATTGATACCTGCAGTGACAACACTGACAGTCACCTCCCTAGTGCTCCCAGGCTACCTACCTCCCACCACACCAGTTTTGGTACCTGTCACGGATCGGAGCTGAGGAGTCACTCACACCAGAGCCAACAACCTCGAATCTGTAAGTCGCATTTTATGTTGTTTATAACAGCAGGTGTACTCTTTGACCTGAGTACGAGGCAGTCTCTACTGATGGAAAGACTGGCACCCTTGGTCCAAGCTTACATCAGTCTAGTTTTAACCTAGGACGTCTGGGTACAATCCAATTTCTGACAATGCACATTTATTTAGAAAAAAAACAGACGACGCGAAGTTGTTCAAGTTGAAGTTGTCCGGTGTTCTATAAAAATGCACGCACATAATGAAGATGAATGGGTTGAAGAGGTATGGATATTATCCAGGCTATATATGGTTAATGATATTTAGAAAAGGTCGAGCTGAAAAGGTTAGGACGGTGTGGTTACATTACAATAAATAGACTGGGGACTTGAGAGCACTGTTCATTTGATGACACATTAAAATTGTTATTAAAACTAAGTTTGATTGTTTTTGCTCATTCATAGTGTCTAGGCCTATTTATATTCAAATATCAGAAATTTTGAAATCATGATTGCGTCTACCTTTCATTCATTGAAATAAGGCATGAATAAAGACGACGATTTGGAGAAAATGTGGGTTTTATTGCATTTCAGTCATAATCTAGACTCTGATTTGTAATTTGTATGCAAATTAATCACACTTTAGTTACGCTGCATTAATTTTACGCAGTGGCTATTGTTACGGCAGCCGTAACGCATTTCCCATTTTCTATCGTTACGGTAGACTGCAACCTGGCAACTTTTATAAAAAAACATGACAAGAAAATATAAAATTAGAAGGAAAAAAGTGAATTTGAACTTTATGAAATTCGGACTTTATTTCCCTTTTAAAAAAAATCCTCCAAAGCCTCAGGTTAGAAAAGGAAAAAAATTCGAGTGCAAAACTGAGATTCGAACCCGCAACCTCGCGGTGCAAAATCCTACCCTCTATCGGCTGAGCTGGCGCACTGCTCGATAAAACGTGGGGAAACAAATAATTATATACCTGCGTGCGTATCAAAAAAATATCGTAGAGGGCGCTAAACAACGAGTGCCGTAACGATAGCCACTTCGTTAATTTTAATAAACGTAAATATTTTAGTGACAAAAAACCCTGCTTTAGGCCAAATAAAAAAACAAACATGTTTAGCGTCCCCGCCCGCTTCCTTTTTGGAGGCCGCCTGTTTATTTTTTTCTAATTTATTTTTTTTTAAACCTGAAAAAAAAGAGATAAATCTTAAACAGTGACATCATTTTGGCCTCTTTGTTGCGTTTAGCCCTATAAAGCTGGTAGTGGTACTTAGGCCTATGTCATTTCCTGAGTCCAAGTGGCAGCAATTTAAAACAAAAAGCTGGCAGCCATCTTGAAAAATAGCCCGGCTGGTCGTTTTGGATAGAAAAAAAAAGGGCCGCCTCCTTCCTTTTTTTCAAAAATGCAGGACGCTAAACATTTTTTATTTCTTTGGCCTTAAATCAATTTTTCTTTGCTTTGCAGTGTCCAATGGAATCCCAACTTGAATTAAACTTTTTTTTTTATGACTCTCCCAGCAAAACCACATCACAAACAAATGTAGAAATTTATTCGAAAAATGTATTAGTCTCCCCCAAGCAGCTTAATTCGTCACCTAGCTGGTACTGTCTGCTTTCGAGTTGCCCGCTACCAATCAGGATCACGATTTCAAGCTTGTGACTCAAACACTGACCAATCACAATAGTTACACTCGGCCTGATGACTCATACTTATATTACTTCTTTTTTTTTCACTTTTTCTAAAGTTTAAAATAAAACCTTAATTTTATTTGCAAATCATTATTTCTTAGGCCAAGAAAAAAAAGTCTCCGGTCTCTGGTATGCGCGCGCGTCGCCGTAGCCATGCGCGTTGGCAAAATAATGAAGTTTTTTTTCCAATGAAAGATGAAAGAAAGACGGTCTCAAAACCGCCAAACTCACTGGTTTGACTGGAATCCTGCTGCTGCTGCACAATTTTATCGTGTTTTTAGAAGGGGTTATGATCAAAAATAAGCTTTATGTGGCCTCTCTGGACTCCCATATATTTGCACTAAGTTTAGTCGGGCACCATTTGCAGTCATCAGCCGACATTTGAAGCAAAAAAGTAAGTTAAAAAAAAAAAAAAGCCGCGTCGCCGCACCACTTTTTGGGCAAGCTCCATACCAGAAACCGGAGACTTTTTTTTTTGGTCCTTATATTCTGTGCATTGATAAATAGGTGAATTCATGATCAGTTCCTCAGTCGCACCATAAAGTGACGTTTCATTTGCACAAAGATGTATTGCATTTGCAAATATCAAAAAGGCTTATCCACCCCTGCAGTATTTTGCGATAAGTCCTATTGCCACTTGGTAATTGGTTGGTTCTTCTCCTAAATACTCCGCGGGGGAGTTTTAACAGGAGGCCAGAAACACCAGGGCAACCCCCCCCCCCCCCTTCTCTTTCTTAGCAATAAATGTCACTGGGTTCTTTTACGTGCAGTACATTACACAACACACGGGACCTACGGCTTTACGTCCCATCCGAAGGAGGAAGCAATAATGGTTAAGTGCCTTGCTTAAGGGCACAAGTGTCCACCTGGGCTCGAACCCACGCCACTGTTGCCTCTGAAACACCAGAGCATGAGTCTGGTGCTTTGAACTGGTAGGTCATGTCACTCCACTACTGTAGTTACTTCTTTGAGATGAAAGAAATATCTTGTACAATCTCATATTTTGTGTTTCCCACAGGAGGAGCTGGTTGTAGTTGAACTGTCGGGCATAGTAGACCCAGACTACCTGTCCAAATGTAGAAGGTCTAGTCTGAAAGTGCTTGTAAGTGAATCATCTACTTCATGGCGGGCCTATCTTTATTCTCTAACACAAAATGTTTTCAATTCTCTCAGGATGGAGGGTCCGGTGTCAATTACTGAAGATAACGAAGTGGTTTGCAATACATCCCAATACTTAAATGCAATATTATGCAATACTTAAATTGTTTCAAATTGTGCAGTTTTTCTGAACCGGCTGTTGCTTGAAGCTTGAACTTTTGCTTTGCTGATTTGGAGTCGAGCTCATTTCCACAGGATGTCTCAACTTGTGATAGTCTTTTCCAAACTTATAGTACCCAAATGTGTGTTTAAAGATATAGTCCATCATTTGTAATTTGTGCATTTTGTTCGTTTGAAGCAACAAAAGTGTTCAAAATCTAATGAAGGATACTGAACAACTATCTGATGAAGTTTCAGCTTAGTTTCAGCTGTGTATTCCGAGAAAAACAGCATTCTAGGATCTCAATTTCAAATCAAAAGTTGCTGAATCATGTTTTGAATTGTTTTGAATTGCAGCTATACGCGATGTTGGCACTGATCCGACAAATTATAGCAGCCGCGCGCGCGTGTGCGTCGTGCCAATGCTTGCGCGCGCTTCGCCGAATAACAAAACGAACTGCTAATTTAAATTTCCTACGGTGCGTCTTAAGACCGTTGGAAAGGCCTTATAATTTCACAGCGAGTATAGTCCACTTACTATCTTTCAACCAAGTATGTTTTTCAACAATGATTATGCCAGTTACTTTTCGGATGGCTGCAAATGATGGACTATGAGTAACTAACCAATGTATAAATGTGGAGTATACTTAAACCGATGTATAAACTTGGATTACTGTAAACTCCTCAGGGGATAGAGACGGATGAACCTGTGATGCAGCTTGGTAGCTACATCTTCACTGGGCAGCACAAGAGCATGCTGGGCACTGCCGTCATATTTGAGAAGACAGAAAATAATCAAGGTGAGAAGATGAGCAAGTCCTTCTGTAGACTATTCGGTATCCTCAAAAGCCATTACTGAGGGTATATCCCTCCCCCTTTATAATTTTTTTTTTTTAAAGATAAGCACTGAAAATAAAGCAGTGTCCACTTGCACCAAAAGGAACTAAAGAAGAAAAAGTACAAATTATTAAGAAAGTTATGTGGCGTTGAGCAGAAGGCCTCGGTTTCTGTTGTCAAAGGATGAGCCACAGTGGTGTCGGGCAGGCTGTTCCATACTGGAATCATTGCAGGAACGAAGGAACGGTCATACTGTGCCAGTGCCCAGTATCTCTGGATGTAGGAAACTAAAAGTAGAGTGTAGACTAATCCTGGCAGTAAATCACTATAGTGGAATCCGGCGACCAGAATTAGAAGCTTTTCAATGCGGTGGTGTCACGCTCACGTGCATGCTGCACGCGTTCTTAAAGACGAAGCGCAAGCGTATTTTGGTATTCCCATTGGTTGAAGGAGCCCGGAGTGTGTGCGTAATACCCGAGAAAATGGCTGCTGCCGGATTTGTCTATACGCTCAAATAGGCCTCCAGTAATGGCAAAAACGTTGTTCCTGCTATAGTTCCAGTCATCATTCCAGTGATCATTGAGCAAGTTCAGGGGCAAAGTATAGTTAACCATAGTTGGACTAAATTATGCAGGATGGTTTGACTACCCTAGTCGACCATTTGGAATCCAGTCACAGGGCACGGTTGCATTGCTGGTTACCAGTAGCTGCAGGCATCATAACGCACAGCAGGGAGCCAGATAAGGCGAAAGTTTGGTGACGTTTTGATCATCATTTGAATAGAGGCGTTCCCACAAGGTCATCATTGCGCAGGCATAAATTACGTCTCAAATTATCCACTAGACGACTGATGGTCCTTGTCCGAACTTGCTCTCATCAGTTATTCTGGACATCCATACATCCGTCCATCTGTTTATAGTCCATCTGTCCCCAATCTCGAGGGTTGGACTCCATGATGATCATGTCCTCTTGGTTGGACAGCTTTCCCCCACTCTACTCGGTTCAGTGCCAGACTGGCATTGATTAGCAGGCACCTCAGGTCATTGTTGATGTTGTCGCTCCACCTTTTTTTTGGATGGCCACGTGGATAGTTGCCAGGGATCTGGTAGTCAAGGACAATGAATGGCACAATGCTGCGAATGTTACTGGAGGCCTCCATGATTTTTGGGTCTATTATTTGAGTTCGCTACACGAGAGACAAACAACCCATTTGGTTATCTGCGACTGGGGATGGTTGTCCACCACTGAAATTGAAACTGTCCTTTCTGGCTTACGAAAACGTGTACGCAACATTTGAAACTTACGTACCATGTACATGTACTGTATTTTTTTTCCCCAGAGCAAGGATCAGGGAATCTGAAGTGGAAGTACAAGTGTCACACGGACAAGAAATTGAACATGCAGCGGGCCCACCTCAAACCCAAAAACAAAACCCAGGGTAAGATCCAGGAACTAATGTCACTGAACCGCTTAACATGGAATTCTGCTTAACACAGACTATATTTGCTTAGCATAAACATCATATGCGCTTATTTAGCAGCCCATGGATATGGGACCAGTACTTGGACCAGTTCGTTTTTCTTTAGAAAAATTATATGAATTTTTGAAAGATCTTTTTGCTTTTTATTTGCCATTAGAAGCGGCAACGTCTTCCAAAGAAACTGAGGTGGTACCTGAGGCACAAAATGGACAACAGCCTGAAGCACCAACATGACGGTAGCTGTCGAATGATTGGACAAAAACCTCATTCTGGATTTGGTTCAACCAATCAGAGACTTGCTTCCAACAATGGATTGGAGTTGCATACATTCGTGTGGCAGGCATTGGCCAATCAGTGGCTTCCTAGTAAACTGCACGGGCCCAGATCATGTCATCTGCAGGATGGTAGCACGCATTTCATTGCACACTGAGATCTTGAAAACACTGGCCCAGCCAATCCAGGAGTTTCTACTATTCTGAAATGATAATTGGAACTGTGGCAGAATGGTAGCTTCTTTCTCATGGGTCTGAACTTAACAGTGTCAGCTAAGCTAATCAGTGATATGAATCTTTGTTTTCAAGACAACAAAATCTGGACTTCATACACATGGCCTCCAGTTTAGGCCTGTAATGAATGGAAAATATCAGAAACAATCAAAACTAATATACAATTTCAAGATTGTTTTTATTTCAAAATGTATATTTTACACCAAATAAAAACTGTTATTAATTGCAGAAAATCATGTTCTACAGTGATTAATGCAAATGTTTAATCAGAGTACATGTATTTGTTAATAATACTACACCCCGGCTACTGAACAAAGTTTGCGAACCGAGCGCTACACAGGTTAGTACTTCGCGTCTTCTGTAGCGGTGGGGGATTCAAAAGTGTCTCAGCTTCACTTCACACTAGTACCAGACAGGAGGATAGTTAAGTTAATTTTAAACTTATCGGCATTTATAGCTCAATTTGGCAGAGCGTGCACGTACAGTGGCCACCATGGCTCACTTTTGACGGCTCGATTCCATTTGCAAAGGCATTTAATAGCGCATGACCTCGAGCAACCCGAGATCATTTGTTTGTTGCTACAGATTGCGCATGTGCATCTATACCCAAGACGAAGGTAAGGGAGGAAAGTAATCAAACGTGGTATATGTACTGTATACCTTGGCTTTGTCATATGCCATCCTATCCACTCCCAGGATCCCACACGTACACCTTGTAGGGTAAGGGGGACCCATGATGTATGAAAGTTACGAGGAGCACAAATATTGTAGAGAAGACACAGAGCCCGAAGTTCGGATACTAGAAACACTAAAAATTCTTCCCTGCTGGGATATGGGCTCCGTGCACAAGTACCCCCTCAACAGTAAGAAAGGGAGAGTTGGGGGGGGGGGGAAGGAGAGAGAGAGACATTCGAACGCATTGCCGATGATGCCCGATGCTCATGTGAAGACTTTGTGCACATTAGTGAGGCGTTCTGGCAAATTGAGACAGAACTGGGCAGAGGAGGAAATGAGGGTTTGCGGGTATTAGGAAAGAGAATAAAATTCTCCTTGCTATACTGCTTGTTGCACTTCATTCCGTTGACAAGTTGAGGCTATTTAAACTTCGCATTTATCGACATGTCAAAAAAGTAAAATACTGAGAAAAGGCCTTTACAGTTTTGAGTTTTGTATTCGTGAAAATAGATGCCAATTGTTTTTCCTTTCATCCTTTCATTCACACTTTCATTCCACCATTTTATAATATTTTTGTAAAATAAGTGAAGTAGGCATATCAAAGATTACAAATATCAATAAATCTGAAAACTGAAGAAAAAAAATCATTACCATTCGATTTTTTTGCATTTTTCTCCACTATGGCTTGTGCCCAGTTCCGTCTAATTTTGCCAGAACGCCTCACATTAGTCAGTCATCCGTATTTCAGGGCGTACGTGCGCGAACCAGTACTCACACATGGTGTGTCCCATCCACAGGGCTCCCAAAAGTTGGCCCGCTCCATAAATTTGGGATGTGCGCACCCAAAGCTACTGGAATCTACTACTTGGCCGAAATGAAATTATATGGTACCAAAGGGTTGAAGTAAAGATCCCAAAATAACAATAACGACCATCTACTATTAATTACAACTGGGGCTAAAATTTGAAGTCTGGAGTCACTCATCCCTCACTGCACAATCATATACGTGACGCATGAGGGCACTGTTCAATGTAATGCCAGATATGAGTCCATGCTCTGGGATCATTCTAAAGCATTCAGCTCATATCGCTGGAACTTGTCGACTTCGTAGAAACCTGCCCTGACCTGCCTGCCTCCGAAATATCTTCCGTTCAAGTCCACCACGGCTGTGAAAAATAATTTTAAATTATTGATATCAATTTATATAAAATGGCTTTGCTGTTTTCTGTAAAATAATTGGCAGACAAAGTGTGCTCTGTTGTAATCCGTAAAATAACAAGCAAATGACATTTTTGTGAGTTACTCTTCTGTTTGGAAAAGATCTTTGATCAAATACTTCAATGCCTTTCCTCACCTTTGATAGCTGCTTCAATCCGCTGGAACTCCACAAATATCCTCACAGCGCTATCATCAGCACTATTGGGCTCCTAATAAAAAAAATCACCACGAAAAAAATTAAAATTCATATTTTAAGAAAGAATCTCAAAGAAAAAGTAATTAACAAATCCACATTACCCTGCCAAAATTTTAGATCCCGTTGTTTGTGACTGGCTCTAAACTGATGTTTGCTTAGCAAGTTAGCTGACCAATAGTTTCTGCTTACCACGGGTAAGAAGAAAGATCACAGAACGGGTCAGTAATGGTTAATAACTCACTGTTTTCAAGAAATGGATCTCATCGACTGCCCTTTTACATGTGTTTTTAGCTGTGCCAAACAGTCCATCCTACAAACCAGTGTTCTGTCTTTCAGGGTCAAGCACCCAACAAAGCCAAATTCCAAGATAATAAAACATTATGTAGAGACACCTGTTCTACAGCTCTGGGCTGTTTATCAGATTTACACATTAACGCTAACCTTCCCAAATCATCCCAAATCATCTTTGAAAAAAATGGAGGATTTTGTAGGATTGAGGATTATGGCAAAAGTGTTGTGTTGTTTTTGCTCAGCTGTGCATAAATTTAGGCCTAGATTATACTTGAAATCCTCCGCACTGCTCCGAGATGTCACTAGCTTTGCCTCAACATATTGACAGTGATTGCCGGAGGATTTTACAGGATTGGGGCAGTGGTCACCCCTCCAAGGACCACATTCAAGAAATAACGGAGGCTTTTAGAGGATTGAGGCCGCTATTTTTACATGGAGGCAGTTGGAGCATTTTGCAGGATTGAGGTTACACCCCAGCAAAATGCAGAGGGAGTTAGGGTTAAACTGACCCATTTGCCCTCACAGTTACCCATCGTTTCGGTAAAGTGTCCTGCTCAGGAACACACACATGGGTAAATATTCAACTACACATTTGGAGAAAGAGTGTTACAAAGCTTTTTGCAGCCAACATGGCCAAGATTTGTTTCCATGCCCCATCCTGGTGCTAATAGTAAATGAAATAAGTTTGAAGCTTTGCCTGGTGAAGATAGCAATAAGGTAAAGGTTTACGGTATCAACATGTGACAAATCTCTTTTGTGAGTTTGTGAGGTTCTGAATAGAACCGGGGGAACCTCAACATTTCGGACGGTATGCTCTGCCTGTCGTCAGGAGACGGGCAGAGTGTACTGTCCGAAACGCTGACTTTCCCTCCTCGGTTCTTTTCAGACCGAACCTCACAAACTCAGAAAAGAGACTTGTCCAATGCTACTACCGTAAACTTTTCACACTAAATGAATCATTTCAAGAAAGAGTATGGCAATATATTTTTTTACACACAGAAAAAAAAATATTAAAGCATTATTTTTACCTCGTAAATGATAACTCTGACTACTTCCCCATATTTGGCACACTCTTCAGCTGTCTCTGGCTGTAGATCGTCATCCACCTCACCCGGTCCAACCATATTCTGGATTAAACAAAGAACATCTGAAGGTTATCCCTCAGCATTAACCCTGAGACGTAGTTTTGGTTGGTAGCTTACTGTATATGTTGCAACACTTGTTTATAAGCGATTGGCACATTTACTGAATGATGACAACATTTGGGCATCAAGTTTATGTCAAGAATTAGTGGCTTGGCTCTGCAGTCATGATCCATAAAACAGCAGTGATTTTGTATAACTAAGTGGCAAGAAAATTTGAATGGAGTTATAACACCTCTTAACACTAACCCTCCAGGATATTTTGGCTAGAAACCCTGCCAAACGCAGCAACATGCAACACTTGTCTATGTAACAAGCCTACCCAGTGTAGCAAGATCCATCAGGCCAAAAGTCGAAAGGCAAAACTGCCTCAGAGTCTGTGGTCACTGAATGCAGCAGGATACAACTGTGGCATTGTTCAATGGGACTAGCTCTCATCGTCTCAGAAGTGGCCGTTTATGCACTGGTGTTGGTAGCTGAATGCATCAAAGTGCATCAGACTTTTCCACCTGATGCACTGTGTTGAGTCTGGCAGGGTTAGGGTTAATGACTTGGTGACTGTGTTTTAGAAACCACAAGTACGGTTCATTTGTGGATTTCAATGCCAGGGTTTTCAGAGTTGGACAAGAACGGAATTGTTTCCTGAACAGACTCGGAATTGATTCCAAAAATGTTGGAGTGACCAGGGACTCCGTGCACAAGTACCCCCTCACGTGCATTATACAAAGAGAGAGTTAGGTGGGACTCCAACACATTGCCGCGGTACACTTGACGCTCAGGCAAAGACGATACAGGTTTGTGCACATTCAGGATAAAATTAATAGTGCGTACTTCGTGCCATATGGCAGCACACCTGTGCTGCATGCAATGCGCCCCTTCTGCAGAGCTCTAGGCAAAGTACCATCTACTGATCAAGCATGGAATCCTGTAGGCCTACACCTGTCTTGGTCTGAATGCAGCCTCATAATCTCTCATCTTGGATTTAGAATCGTTGGCCTGCGGTGTAAGGGTCTACCTAAATTAAATAATCCACATGCTTATGAAAAGACTAACTTGACGACAGTCATTTCATGAGGTGGCACCAGGCTCATGCAAGTCGCACTCAGGTAGTACGCATGCACTCCAGACTCCTTTGACCAATAGGGTTACCACATTGCGCCCGCCTCGTCCTTAAGGGTGTGAGCAGAAGCATAGCACCACCGCAGTAACAGCTTCTAAAATTCTGGTTGCCAGATTCTGCTACAGGGCACTGTCTTTTGGGTTGTCGTATGGCTTGTAGAAATAGGCCAGTCACACTAAGCGAAAGGGGGAAAGCTACCAATGGGATTTTAGAATCATTGAGGGAATTCGGGCGATCCACAATGCAGTGCGCCACCAAGAGTTTGCCACGGAGAGTCCATTTTTCAAGTTTACGGTCGACAAAACATGGCCTGTTTGAATGAGTGTCGGTAGACAACTTCAGCTAATTTGTTATAGATTAGGGCATATTGTTCTGCCGCCTTACAAAAAACACCATATTGATAAAAAGAAAAGGGCAAACATTATACTCGAATCATACGCTTACGAAACAACTGACCGGAAAAACTAACAATTTCAAATGTCCCGCGCTGCAAATTTGTCGACCATCTCCCACAATGCATTGGGAAAAATTAACTCTCCATGGTAAACTCTTGGTGGTGCACTGCATTGTGAAGTACCCGAATTCTGGTTGCCAGATTCTGTTGCAGCCTTTTGGGTTGTCGTATGCCTTGTAGAAAAACGTAAGGGGGAAAAGCTAACAATGGGATTTTAGAATCATTGAGGGAATTGCCTGTCCTCGTATAATCTTGTCATATGAGGACCGGTCCCCAGTCTCATGCCTGTCTGTGACTCACCATGAGCAGCACCACCTTGGTAGGGTTCTTGATGACCGATTTGATGTCTGGTTTTGGCGGGGGCATCATGGCCGACGACGGACCAGGTATAGCAGGGCCAGGTATACCGGGAGCAGGTATACCGGGACCAGGTATACCGGGACCAGGTATACTAGGACCAGCAGGACCAGGAAGATTTGGCCCAGGTGGGGGCGCCATAACCGGAGGGGAATCTACATTGAAATAAAACAAAGTAAAACGGGAAAAATAACATTCTGCCTTTTAAGCTTTAATTCATGGTATACGCCAATCAGATTTTGAAATTGTGGCTTCGATTTTGAACTCCATTACTTGGACATTTCGTTGCCTGAATGCCCATAGCACACGTACATGTATGCATTTTGTAAAGCTCTAAAAACGTCACTAAAGGAAAGTGCGTTGTGTAAAATACCCAGACGAGCTATGTAGCATCCCAGTTACGACGGAAAGCCGCCTGAGCGATTGCAAAAAGTGAGCGATTCGGATCAGTCTTTTGCCCATCACTGATGTCATTTTATAAGTACTGTATATACTCATTGCTGAATGACAGCTTGCAAAAGTGAAATGCTGTTTACTTGAAGACTTGTAAACTGCCTTTTATAGTTGTGGTAAGCATGCAAGTTTGCCCAACTTTTGAATTGCGGTGTGACAGTTAGATAGACTTTTAGCAAGTGGCTAGCCAATATATTGAGGTACATTACGTGGGGGGGGGGGGGGGGGGCCTAGTGGTTAGCATTCGTGACTCATGATCAGAGGGTCAGGGGTTCAAATCCAGCTGCTAGTGGTGTGTTGTGTACTTGGGCAAGCCACTTCACCCCCACTTGCCTCTCTCCACCCTGGAGTGTAAATGGGTATACTGGCATTAGCTGGGGAATAACCTAAGGAGTAATAGTCTCAGTCCTTTCATGCCAAGGACACCGGGGACAGACACCAGCCTGATGAGTCATATGGGATCGGGACAGACTTTACTTTTACTTTGATATTATGTACTTATGTATGTATACAAGATTCTATTATAAATAGCGACGCCTAGTTTCAAATGGTGATAGCACTGTGACAAGCTGATACATCAACTCGACATCGATTGTCCATTGTTAAAATTCTGCCTATAAATTGTAGCAATTAATTTTGCAGCTAGAAGGTTATATTGTCTTTCTTTACTGGTATCTAAGGAATCTGAAATAGCTAAACGCTTTGAAGTCTGACCTGTTTTTCTCTCGATGATCTTGCCTCCTCTCTTACTAGTCTTCTCTACCTGCAGTGCTGTGCTGATGCCCTGCTCTGACTTGCCTAAACCTCTGCCTTCTTGGAAACCGTATTTGGCCATAATCTTGGCTGCTACGGAGTTGGAACTATACAGGAGTGAGGGGGGGGGGGGGGAAAGAGACATGAAAAGTATATTAATAAAAGCAACGTTTTGATTTTCAGTCAAGTTCTCTGTGACCTTACAAAATTACAAGTTGCTGGTAAAATTGAAAAGTTACCAGCAATGTAAATGCGATTCATTATTAAAGTCCTGTTAATGCTTTGTAAATGGAAAAAAAACCCACCTTTACAAAGCATACTTGCTAGTAGTCTATGGGATAGTGCACAGCAAAGGTCTATGGTATGCGTGCAGATGTGGTGATCAATTAAGCAAAACCAGACTACGTCTTGACCTCCGGATTCTGACCACTCAGTGGGTGCCTTCTGTCGGGTCTTCCGTAACCCGTTGTATTACAAACATATGTCAGCCAAATTGACCAATCAACACCTTAGTCCAGATTTCTGATTGCAATGACGTCACAAATGACTTCGATTTGCTGGCACGCGGTGTCATAAAATTTGCATTGCTCAGATATATCAGGCATTGGATACAGAGAGGGCTCCGTTAGACAACGGGTGATACTCAGACTAACTTGATAGCGGGAAGAAGACATAAGCACAAGGTGTAAGTATTAATTTGTGTTCCATTGAAACATGTGGACATTTGTGATAGGATGTTGATTCAGTTTACTCTGTTTGAAGGTATAACATGTCAATGTCACATCGATGTAGCTATTGTCTCATTGTTACACAGACCGACTATGACCATCAGAATTATGGTGTAATGAAACCCTTTTTGGAAACGTGGATTTTCTGGGTTTGAGAAAGCACAAGATTTTTATCGTACTCACCCCATACCGACTGGCACCTGGAATCCTCCGCCTTTAGCAGCCAGTGGCGGACCCATCGGCCGACTGAATTCATCCGAGCCGTCTGACAATGGAGGGGTTTGAGATCTCTCGGGATCTTGCTCATAGGTGCCGTCTTTCTTTCCCTTCATGATGTCGGCGTACGGACGCTTTGTCTTGGGCGGGCCAGCAGGTGCTGCAACTGAAATCAGTAACAAAACCAAAACAATCAACTGAGACTTAAATGTTTGCATGGTGGACATGATCAAGGAATGGGAGGTTTGCCGTAACACCATATGTGAATGATATCTCTTTGTGAGCTGTATGGCTCTTGAGAAGAACCAGTTGGTTTAACTCGACGCTTCGAACAGTATGCTCTGCTCGTCATCAGGAGACTGCCGGACTCTGGTTGGTGTAGTAGTTCAAGTAGTGGATGCTATTCAGTGGACCGTTAAGGCGGGAGATTCTGGAGCAGGATCCTGATACAATTAGGATAGGAATTTTTGCGGTATTTTGCTGGGTTGAGGAAAGTAAAGCTAACGTACTAAAATCAAACTTGATTTTAATATGGGCTCCGTGCACAAGTACTCCTTCAACGGCCAGAAAAAGAAGGTGTTGGGGGAGACCTAGACTGGTTCCCGGTCCATCCACTGCGTATTTCATATGATCCAAAGTTATTGGGGGGCGGGGATTAATCTGGGAGACCATGGCAAGATAAATTTGAACGTATTTGCTCGCTGACGACGCCCGACGCACACGCAAAGACGCTGTGGCTATAGCTTTTGCACATTCAGGAAGTCGTGCGTACTTTGCTCGCGAACCAGAACAGTACAATACGCTTCCCCTGTATGTCCCGTCTACGGAGCTCTCAAAAGTGGTAACAACGCGCCCTCTTTTTGTTGGCGCATGGAGCCCATACCAAGTCCTGGAAAAATGTTCCGACACTGCCCCTGTTTTTTCCCTCATTGAATTGAGCCTTACCAAGAAATAAATAAAGTTTATTTTCAAAACGCGATATTTATCCATTTGAAAAAAAAAGTGAAACATTTTCACGGAAAGAGGAACTTTAAGGAATAAAAACAACATAACAGTTGTTCGAAACTTCATTTTTCGCTTTTATTGTTTTCTATAAATTGTGTTTAACTACACAACAACCGTCGAAACTGACTTTTGGACAGCCAGTAGAGGGTGTGATTCTAAAAGATAACAAAATGGCATTTATCGCATTTTGGAAACTTCTCTTCAAGCATTCCTTTCCCCTCCTAGCATAGAAAACCCAGGCTTCAACACAGCATTGAGGATCAACAACTTTGCCTCTTTCTCAGAACAAAACCAACATTAAACGTTGCCTGTTTCTGATAGTTTCTTATTCCAAAAACGAGATCAGATCACTCCAATTTTCTCAAACACTGAAGCATCTATTTTTCAAGCATTCATACTCACATGGTTCATCTGCAGTGGATGTATCTTCATAGATCAGTGAAGTTGGCGGTGCAATTGCAGCCCCGCTACCAGCTAGACCTGCCAATAAGAAATCAATTCATACCTCAACATGGATTTGCAATGCACACACAAAAAAGGTAGTCTATGTAATAGAGAATGCCGTGGTCTATTACGCGCAAACAGATTTGCTGATTAATTAGGCAAGACCCCGCCTCTTGACTTCCTAGATTTTGACCAATCAGCAGGCGCTTTCTATAGGTCTATCGGGTCTTCGGTCATTCACCCGTTGCGCGTCATAGACATGGATTTAAAAAAAAATGTCACGGCGCGCGGTGCTCGGTGCACTCCCGGCTGTTGTTGTATTACAAAACGCTGCATTCGAATTGACCAATCACAGCATTAGTCCTGCTTTTGGGATGAAATGACGTCAGGATTTAGTAAAGTCGCCTCCGATTGGCTGGCGCGCGGCTTGCATAAATCTGCATGCTTTGACATATCGGACGTTAGACAGGAGATGGCTCCGTGGATAACGGGTGATACTCAGACTACAAAAAAGGGGAACAACCCAGTAATTTGATGGCACATAAACAAAAATCATCCCAATACACCTGCATCAACCCTAACCTTCCTAAATCCTCCAAAATCCTCTTTGCGAAATGGAGGATTTTGCAGGATTAAGGCTATATGGCAAAAATGTGTGGCTAAATTTGGAAGATGCACTCCGCACTGCTCCAGAATGTCACTGGCTCTGCCTCAACATATTGACAGTGATTGCTGCTGATGGATGTTGCAGGATTGAGGCAGTGGTCACCCCTCCAAGGACCACATTTCAAGAAATAATGGAGGATTTTGCAGGATTCAGGTTGTATGCAATTTTTACATGGAGGTAGTTTGAGGATTTTGCAGGATTGGGCTGCATCTTAGCAAAAATGCCTTTGGGGTTAGGGTTAAAGATTGTTTTTTTGCTCTACTTGTGAAGCTTGCATTTGCAGACATGTGAGCTGCTTATATTGCATTATCCACTCGGGTAGAAACCTTGCCAGAGTTGGTTGGTTGATTGACATCTTATATGGCCTTAATGCTAAGGAAAACAAGACAACTTGTGCATTTACATGGGCTAAGTGGAATTAGGAAAGCCACTTTACCTTTCCGTCTTGCCCTGTCTCTCTCCTCTTCTTCTTCTTCATCGGGCCGACGCGAGAATCCCCTGGGTGGGGATCTCTCTCTATCCCTGTCCCTGTCCCTGTCTCTCCTGCGGTCTGATCTGTCCCTATCTCGGTCCCGGTCCCTGCCTCTGTCCCGATCCCTGTCACGGTCCCTGTCACGATCTCTATCGCGGTCCCTGTCACGGTCTCGATCACGATCCCTGTCGCGATCTCTTCCTCTGTAAAAACAAGGAAAGTTCACAACTGTAAGCAATGTTACATTTAAGTACCTTAACCAGTTCGTGCTGGGATTATTTTGACATTGACTGGGCCCAGGTGCAGGATTGTTTTTCACAGACCTTGATGCCAGAGGGGTTCAGGCTGTCATCTGCCGGTAGCACACCCTGATATTTCCGGCCTCGCTCGCTGCGAGCGGGTCGCAGACAGATATTTCCGGCCTCGCTCCTTGTGTGTTTATTATTCCTCTTTTCAAAATACGGCAAAACCTATGCATGCATACACGTAGTCTGACCTGAACTGGTCAACAAAAGCTTAATTACTAGGTAATACCTGTTGAATGCAACAGCACAAGTGTCCCTGCAATCACCACTATCATCACTAGTGCATGGTTGGATTCTGCGAGCTAATCTTGAGGACACTACCAACTTCCTGAGACTTTGTTGTGCGCATATAAGATCTGACAATTTTTTTCATCGGGATAAATGTGGCAGATAAATGCACACACCAGTCAATGGGGGGACATGGTAGCCAAATCTGAATTCTGCATCTTTTTACGCAATCAAAAAACTGATGAAAACTTTTGTTTGCACAAATGTTGGGACATACGAAACACCTAAAAAACTTTTCTGTCAAAGCGTTTTGAAAATATGTATTTACTTCGGAAAACACCAGGCTGGCTCATTAGGGTTAATCAATCCGTTAACCCTCCTGCTATCTGAACAGTCACAGACAGTCAAAAAGTCAATCCTCTTCCCCTGCCATGCCTTTAGGCTAGTCACCAACAGTCAGATCATATTTCAAGAAAGCATTAGTCAACAGACAAAAGCAGAAAGTGGTAGGCACAGCTGGCTTAAGGGGGAGTGTGTGGCGTAGTGGTTAGGGTTCGTGACTCATGATCAGAGGGTCCAGGGTTCGAATCCAGCTGCTGGTCATATGTTGTGTCCTTTGGCAAGCCACTTCACCCCCACTTGCCCTCTCCACCCAGGAGTATAAATGGGTACCTGCAATAGCCGGGGAGTAACCTGCGATGGACTAGCATCCCATTCAGGGGGAGTAGAAATATTCTCAGTTGTTTCATGCTACTGAAACCGAAGACAAATGCCGGCCTGATGAGCCACATTGGTTCGTGACAGACTTTACTTACTTTACAGCTGGCTTATCAATCACCTACAGTCAAAGCATTGCTATATCAAGTTACATAAACAGTCACAGCCACAGCCTGCTTTTTGTAGGCTGGGAGTTCTTAACTGTTGAAAACAGTCACTTGATTTTGACTGAAAGAACAACTTGGCACAGAATGCATGTCTGCACCGGAGGGTTAGTGAGTATCTATTTCCTTAACGTTACCCTCTCACCTGTAGTTGTCGCCGTCTCTTTGTCGCTCAACTCTCAACATCTCCTGCATGACTTTGTCTCGCATCTTCTTGACAATCTTCTCGTACTCGTTGGGGAAGGCCGGGTCATACTCGTTCTCCACGTCGGAAGCGATGGGCATCGCTTCGATGAACGCGGGCTGCGAAGACTTAGACGTACTCTGTTACAAAAAAAAGCCAATTAGATATTACTGTTAAAGATACGCTTTTTCAAAACCATGTTCAGCGAGATTTTAACATGTGACCTCTTGAATAGTACTTTATAGAATAGACAGCAAGCGTCTATGATATGTGTGTAGATTATGCAAAACAACACTTTTTTACTTTTTAAAGCTGAACAAAGAAATTGACTGGAGCGGGCTTTGAACCTATGACCCCGGATTAGCGTTCCGGCGCTCTACCAACTAAGGTACCCATTTCTATCAATGTATTTTTTCAAGATAGTTGGAAGCCATTAACCCATATATGCCATGTAGCCAGGGATCACACCCAAAGTCACGATGCTAGCAACATTAGCAATGCTGCAAACCTGGAAAAATGCTGCAAAACGGGGATCACTCAGAGAGGATATAGCTTTTTATTACAATTTCCCAACTACAAGGCTTCAAAATACAAGACTGCTTCTTGGTCTCACCGGCTTGACTGGCGCAAAGGACGGCCTGGGTGGGGATGGAGAGGGTGGGGTCAGCTGGGTCGCCTCCTCAGCGCTGGCCCCTCCTTTCTTCAAGTCAATGACAGGTGCCAGGGTGGCGGCTCTGATCTTGCGCTGGGCCTCAGTGAGCGAGGCTTTCTTCATGCGGAGATGAGATTGCATCATCCGGATGCCTGCTGACCACCCAGCTAAAAAGAGAGAGATAAATTACATCAGTTAAAAGCAGAAAAACCAATAGGTCTCTCTCAAATAACGTCATTTCCTACAGATCAGCCACGTGCATCGGCATTTTGAGCATCAACTTGCATAACGCACATCGGTTGCGTCGTATTTCGAACACATTTCGAACAACAAGCGCGCGTGGTTGGAACATTTTCAACACTGCCACAATGCGTGCTTGATTGCGTAAAATACGCAGTTGCAGTTCTCCTACAGAGATGGCCTTCTTTGAGAGAGACCTACATGTACATCAAAAGAATATTCAAACCCCTTCCAAAAAGACAGCTTCCATATTCTGTACAAAACAAACATGCGGACACATTTGGATTACTGCATCCAATCATGGAATCCTGGGATGAAAAGGACACATGTATGTATACAGGTTCTTGAGAAAGTACAGAGATTGGCCACAAAGCTAGTGCCAGAACTACAACATCTTGAATACTCAGGGAGACCTAAGGCTTTATAGTTTGGAGCAGAGGAGGAAACGGGAGGATGTTAAAGAAGTATCCAAAATCCTGAATGGCTTTGGAAAAAAAAAAAACAGCCAGGCAAGTTTTTTTCAGTTGGAAAAGTCTGGGGGGCACAACCTCTTCAAAACCAGGTCTACGTAAATCAATTCGCTGCAGACGAGAATTCTTCTCGCAACGTACTGTCAACAACTTCCCACCATGTGTAGTCAATGCTGTGAACACCTTCAAAAGTGAGTTAGATAATTACTGGCAAAGATATTGGGTACTGAAGACTACAGTCTATTAGCGCTGTCCTGAACATATTGAATACTCGAATAATCGATCATCAAACGAATATTCCAATTAGCTTTTTTCAGTTTGAATATTTGAAAACACAAAAAAAAAAGTAACTGTGACGTTATTTATTATAAAGTTGTGGCACTTTATGGTCAGGTGCCACTGTTTTTGTCGATGGTAATGACGGCGGTTCATTGTTCACCTTCTTTTAGCAGGTTAAAGCCTTTTTACAGTTTTAAAATACGTCCTGCAAAACAGCGCCCCATATTGATTGCTGCATGCCAATTTGAACTGGCACACTTTTTGTGCAACTTTTTACCGGTGCAGCACGCAGTTGCAGCTGACAGTTTCGAATATTCGGTCAAACGCAGTTTCGAGTAAATAAATACTAAATTATTTGAAAACTTTTAAAATGGACAACCCTAGACTAGAGTCTATCAATTAGCCATCCAATTGTAAGTTAAGTGTGAGCGTAAGTGTACATCTTCCCCATGCAAAATTGCAATGATGAAAAATAAAGGTTGACCTTGTACTCGCTACTGTATCAGACTCAATTGTACTTACAGACATCTGGTTTCTTGGTGTCTGGCGTGGTGTCTTTCTTAGGGGCAGTATCCACCCCTAGCCCATCGTACAGAGACATGGTGACTGTGGATTACGTCAATTTGGCAACTTGCTTAAAAGTTCCACTGGAAACAATCTGTCAAACGCACAGTTAAAAATAAAAATGACATGCATGTACTATAATGCTGTGTGTTACCATTCAGCACTCCAGACTCGAGAATGATTTCAGGGAAAGAATGTTGCAACCTGACACTGCTTTTTTTCTTCATACATGTATATCATCTCAATGAAGGTCAGTAATTGCAAAAATGATGATAAGACATGAATCAGAGACTGAGAAACATTTACAATTTTGTTCGGAAATACTTAGAAAATTTTCTTGACTCTATATAAAGTTTGTACACAACCGCTGAAGTAGCATCAGGTTGCAACATTCTTTCCCATTTCACTTCAATAGTTCAAGACCAAGAATCTGTTCAAAATTGCAAAAAGGGTGTCATTAGAATTGAGGAAAGTCTGCTTTTGATTGTAAAGGCAATTTTTGAGCAATAAAAAACATTTTTGACTCTAATTTGATCAAAACAAAACAGGGGCCCTACACTTCACGATCGCCCCATTACTGATAGCCATTATTAGAAGGCAGTGTATATTTTGCCGGAGACGGCAAACCTTTAGTAAACGTTAGTTTGCCGGATATGCACTGAACATGCGCAGTTACTGTTTTTTTGTACTTAAACATTTTCCAGTGAAAAGTTTTAGTCTGGCTCCATGCCAAAATTATTGTTGTTACCTCGTATTCACAAGATGGGATTCAGACCATTTTATAATTTCGGACTTTATTTCCCTTTTAAAAAAAATCCTCCAGAGCCACAAATGATCTGAAAAAGAAAATGTAATACTCTGCAAGAAATGTTTGAGACATGTTCAAATAATAAAAGAAGAATATTCTTATTTATTTGGGGATGAGAAAAAAAAACTTAAAAATGTGTTGCGGTCGGAATCGAACGCGAGTCATCCTGCTTACTAGAGCCTTTGCTTAACCATTACACCAAACGTGCTACACAACTTTTGGTGGGAATTTAATACATCTTATAATTCAGCCCTATTTTAAAGAGTACAGCGCCGTCTGTTGATATGGATTGCCGCCGGCAAACCTTTAGTAATCGTTAGTTTGCCGTCATTACCTCCGGCAAAATATCCACTATCTTATTAGAAAGAAAAACATCCTCCATATCTTCAGAAATCATTTTAAAGTCGAATTTGAGCAACAGGAACTATTTTTAATAACAAGAAATTTTCAGCCATTTTTCATGCGCTTTCAGATTCATTCGTCATGTTTACGTTTTACGCTGAACTCACTACATTGATGACAAACAAGTTTTTGGTTCTCTCATTGTCACAATTGCAAAATAATTAATACTTATAAAAAACATGTAATCTGACAAACAAAATTAATATGGTCATGGGCTCAGCTCAATCAAGAAAATACACCGGTTCACTAGAAGAAATTGCGCCCTCTACGTCAACACCAGACGTCTGCACCATACACACGCGCGTATAAAACAACATAATGTCAATGAACTCCACAAGCTGACAAGAAAAGCAGGTTTTTTCCCGGAAATTTCAACGGATAAAGAAGGTAAAACTGGATAAATAGTTAGTACTTACTGGAGTCGTGATAATGCATCAAGACAATTTTTGCTAAGTTTCGTCTAAATCCCTCTTTTTTTTAAGTTGCATATTGCACGGCGCGAAGTCGATCGTCGAGGGAGAACTTTCGCTGCCGCGGATCACACGCCGTTCAATCGAGTCTGGGTCCTGTTGTTCTACAGCTGGGTTCGTAATATGAACCATGATTTATCGGGTATCCGACTATCTTTGACCAATTAAGGTCAATACATTTTTTTGTGCAGTACATCATGTACATACACTGTTTTGTGGAAGTCCTTAGGAGAAGCTAGAAGAACACCAAGTACCAAGACTTAGTACACATTTTGGGGCGGGGGGGGGGGGGGGGGCGGTAATTTCTCGCTGGGGTATTACCATTAATTGAAAATTATTTGTGTTTTATTTCTTACGAAGTGGCTATCGTTACGGCACTCGTTGTTTAGCGCCCTCTACGATTTTTTTTTGATACGCACGCAGGTATATAATTATTTGTTTCCCCACGTTTTATCGAGCAGTGCGCCAGCTCAGCCGATAGAGGGTAGGATTTTGCACCGCGAGGTTGCGGGTTCGAATTTCAGTTTTGCACTCGAATTTTTTTCCTTTTCTAACCTGAGGCTTTGGAGGATTTTTTTTAAAAGGGAAATAAAGTCCGAATTTCATAAAGTTCAAATTCACTTTTTTCCTTCTAATTTTATATTTTCTTGTCATGTTTTTTTTATAAAAGTTGCCAGGTTGCAGTCTACCGTAACGATAGAAAATGGGAAATGCGTTACGGCTGCCGTAACAATAGCCACTGCGTATTTCTTAAGTGGTGTCACTGTCAGGTCTCAGGATACTCCTAGAACTATGAGGCTCCGCGTGAGCGGAGCCTCATAGTTCTAGGAGTAGTCTCAGGATACTACATTCATCGTCACTGATCATACAAAAAGTTTTTATTAATTAGCCCTAAACTAAAGCGGCCTAGCAAAAAAATTGATATAGGCTACAGTTGTACTTGTACTTGCACTTTCATGACTTTTGAATGATTGAAAGGACAAACAAAAGAATCGGCCCATGTTCAAATAAGGAATAACTTCTTTAACAAATTTAGATGATTTTATATTTGCGTCACTATGAAGTATGATAATTCAATTTTCGCAGGCTGAATTTTCAGCCCGTCACAAAATATAAAACTATGCACAAAATATAAAACTTTTTCTCAGAGGAGTTCAGATACACTTATAAAAAAAGTTGAAAATAAGTATTTAAGGGAGGGAAAAATTGAATTTGTTGAAGGGCAACGGACCAGGGACGGTAGATCTTAAACATGGGAATTGCTTTCTCTGTGTTTAATCCGTGTCTCAGACATATTTTCCCCATTTTTTCTACACAGTGACAGAAATCATGTCTTGGCAATGTTTCGACAAAAGTGGCCGAGAGATAAAAAAAAATATGCATGAATTCCCACGGAATAGCTCATGACTTGACAACACATAAAGGCTGACTCGGAAATCCCTGCCAATGGCAACAGCTACCATGGCAACCACCTCATCCTCCTCGGCTATTCCTCCATCAGACCCGGCTGTTGCCAAGGCCCATTTCCGTGTAGCCCAGTACATGATGGAAGCCGGGGTGAAACTTCAACTTCAGTCTGTCACGGTGGCCTCGGCGTGCACCATCTACTATCGATTCTTCTCAGTCTGCGACGTGCAGAACTACGATGCTCATCTTGTGGGCGCGGCCGCTATCTACCTAGCGACTAAAGTGGAAGAACAGCATGTGAAGCTGAGGGACATTATTAATGTATGCTACAGGTCCGTAGATGGTCATTGCTTTCAGAGCTTTTTCTTTTTTGCTGAACTCCTTGGAATTTTCTCAACTTGATAATAGGGCGCAGAAATCTAGGTACTTCTTACATTGCATCATCTAGTTCCCAGACCTACCGTATGTCCTTGAAACTCAATAGCTCTTTAGTTGGGAGTGCTGAATGGTAACACATAGCATTGCAACCAACCAAAAACTGGTGTTCAAATGAATAGATGTTTTCATTGGCTGATGTATCCTGCCCACACCTATAGAATTGACCAATTTGGCGAAACCCTTAAAATTGACATCTCCCCATTGCTAGATTCCATAAAATTCATTGATTGGGATGCCTGTTACTACGTCAGATTCAAATCAGTAGCGTTGAAGTCGGGTCCATCACAAGTCTGTCACAAGTCTGGTCAAAGTAAATCACAAGTCCTTTCACAAGTCCAGTCACAAGTAACAAGGGATGAATAGTTAAAAAGGAATGCTCTTGTTACAATTCATTTGAATAGCTATTAGCTTGAGACTTGAAGTGAGACTAAAGGACTTGTGAGGACTTGTGATATGGTTTCCATATCGACGTTAAGCTTACGCAAACTGTGCAGACTGCACGGACAGTACGCGGAACCGGGTTCAACTTTGCCGATCGTCTGCGAGTGAGTTTGCGTCTGTCTGAGTTGTCGGCGACACTTCCAGATGAAATATACTTCCATATGTCTGCGTTGCAGTTTGGGTCCTGTTTGCGTTTCACTTTGCGTTTCTTACGTTGATATGGAAACTAGGCTTTAGGCATCTGTAATGGTAGTAAAGCTGAAGGGGATGGGTTCGAGTCCCACCCGAGCATGCTTGTGAATATCTTCTCACAGGCTCTGTCTCCGACAACACTTAGTGTTTATAAGTTACAATGGTGGAGCGCCAAACCCAATATTAAACTTTTAATATTTCTACTGTTTAGGGTCAATGAGTTTGGAAGCAGAAAGGTGGAATGGAATTAACAGAATCTCCCTTTTGGAATTGAAGTCTGTAGTATCCTTACATGATAGCTATGTATTAGGCACCACCTGCTCTGAAACCACACACCCAGAACCAGACATATTACACCCTAGAACAGTACAGCCCTTTGATAAGCACAGAACCTCATGTGATGTACTGAGATGTACTGAGACACAATAAACCAAGCAAGCATCGAAGCAACACCTATTATCTCCATGTGCTATTGACAAGCTCATTACATTACATTGGCGACGCGGATGGGATCAAAATTGGGAGGAGCTCACTACATTACAAAGTCAACTTATGAAACTTATATTTTTCTTTGCTAATTTTCTTTATCGTAGAATTCTCCACAGAAAGGAGCCACCGCTTGAAGTGGGCAAGAAGTACTGGGAGCTGCGAGAAAGCGTAGTCAACTGTGAACTGCTGCTGATTCGCATGCTCAAGTTCAACGCAAAGGTAACAGGCATGGGCGGAGCTTAGGTGTCTCAAGGAGGGAAGGGATGAGGTCTTATTGCGTTAGAAGATTTCTAAGTTTACAATTGGGATCTCTGCACGTGCATGTAGTGTCAAATAGTGCTTATTTGCAGTTATTTTTGACCATTTCAAAAACATTAGACATAAATTGGTAACAGGGGACCTGTTATAAGTGGACAGGACTGGACAGTATCTGACTCTAGGTCAATAATAATACTATTGTCATTATATAGCACTTAAACAATACCAAAGGTCTCAAAGCGCTTCACGATTATTACCCCTGTTCATCAGGTCGTGAGACCATTTTTGTTCCTGCAGCAGCTCGGGATCAGTGCAATTTGGTATCTTCCTTCAAATGTAGCCATTTATACTCCTAGGTGGAGAGAGGCAATTGTAGTAATGATCTCTTGCCCAAGAACACAAGCTCCATGCTCCCCGGGTTGGGACCCACGTACCACGGCACATGAGTCAAACACCGAGTGGACCACGGCGCTCCGCAGTGGCGCTAGTTGTAATGGGCTCTTGCAAACACTTATGAGTTTTCTGATGATGATTTTGCTGCCAAATATGACTAGTAGGGGATCCCCCCTTCAGTGACACCTTTGTTTATGCATAATTGTATTAAAGTAAGTTAAAAACAATTTAAGATCAAAACATCAATTTGTCTTTGACACAGGTCACCCTGCCGCACAAGTACATGGTGCACTACCTGAAGTCACTGCGGGATTGGATGGATCAGGAGGTGTGGAACCAGACGCCGATCTGTCGCACGGCTTGGGCTATGCTGAGAGACAGTTATCATGGCAGCATATGCATCCGTGTCAAGCCGCAGCACCTAGCCGTAGCCTCTATCTACTTTGCCCTGCAGTGCTACGGCGTGACAATGCCACATCGCGAGGACCAGGCCAAGCGGAAATGGTGGCAGGTAATGGAATCTGTACATTGTCCTGAGATGGTGCAGTGTAACCGTTCATCATACTTGTACAACATACCATGGATATATCGCGTGCTACGTGTCAGTGTGAAACGCTTACTAATTTTGTTGACTTTCACCCCCTTATCTGACATTTAATTTGATTAAAAGAAGATGAATTGCTTAACAAGAATGTGCCACTTGTTTTGGTTTCAAAACAGGATTAGCCACAGATATGGATACCGCCAATTTCAAATTCTTAGCATTTCCGATATAAAGTGTATGCGTACATGTACACAATGCGCAAAACAAGGGAATGGTCGACAGATAGCTAAACCCATACTAACACGTATCCGTATTCCGTTTGGATGTGAAAACCTTTCTAATGTGTTCAAGTGTCCTGCTTCACTTTCTCCATCACCATTTAGGGGATTTCAGTCTCTAAGGCCAGATTCCGAAACGCTCCCAAGCTTCCGTTATTTTTTATGACCCGCAGGTTTTCAGCGAGGATCTGACAGAGGAAAAAGTCCAGGGCATTGTCTCGGAACTCATTGACATGTACGACATGGAAACGAAGGTCTAGCAAATAGACGCAACTTGAGGCTTTGCACAGTGATGATTGTAAATTTGGGAGGATTTTGCGAATACACCATCTGAAGTGATGAACACTAACAGAGAGCTGGTGTCAGAGACTAACCAGAGTGTTAACCTGATGTTTTGTCAGTAAGCTATGATTGTCACCGCGAGAAGGGTCTAGCAGTTAGCTTGTTTCAATTCCCAACAATGCTGAAAAATCGGAGGAAAGCTTACATTTCATTTCTGTTCCTCCTTCTTTAATGCAATGCGAAGCCAGAGGATGCTGTGTACATGTATGTATGCATATGTGTATTCTGAGCACTTCGCTAGTGTTGAAAGAGTTTTAGGTCTCTTGAGCTTCACTCCAAGTTAACCACCAATCTCTACGGACTTCATGCACGTAGACGGTGCTTTGGGATCACTCTCGAAATCTGCATTTGGAGGGAAACACAAGTGCATACTGGTTCATGTGCGTACTACGCGTCTTGTGCAATTTCTTCAGAATGTGTATATTACACATATTGTTCACGTGAAATTTACAGATTTGTAAATAAAGAAATGAATAAACTTTCTGGACATTTGTGCTTTGGAATTATTTGGAAACTTTATTACATTTACATCATTTTTATCACATAAAATAGTTATACATGTTATATTGCACATTTGTGTAAGGCCAAAAAATAGTTCTGCTTCCGGTTTCCCTACCTACCCTATTCTGACAGCCCTTATAATTTTTTTTTATTGGAAAAATGAGGAAAAAACACCCAAAACCATCAATTTCTGCCTTTTACCCTTGACTACACACAGATGCCTCCATATGATCGTACACAAAAAAAATTGCAAAAAAAAAAATTCCCTACCTACTTACCCTGTTTTCAAATGCCACGTAATCGGAAGCAGAACTATTTATTTTATTTGGCCTAAGTTGTCTATTTCATTTTGAAAGGTGTCTGTGACCACAACATTGCTCAATGGTTTGAACGCAGCATCATCTCTGAAAATATGTCGGCACATTAATTAGAACCCATGAACAGACTGTGTTGAAGTCGAGTCCATCACAAGTCCTACAGTCTCAAGCTCTTCCAAGGCATTCCTTTGTTATTGTTCACCCCCTGTTACTTGTGACTGCACATGTGAAAGTACTTGTGATTTACTAATGAAAGTACTTGCGATGGACTTGTGCTGGACTCGACTACAACACTGTGAACAAATAAAAAACTAATTAAATTAACCCTAACCACCCCAACCCCTACAAAATCCAACTGTATATTTTGTTGGAATCTTTTGGAGTGATTACTGCACTACTAAACTGATAATGCTTTACATGGGGTCAGGCATACCACCAAAATCAGAGTTTGGGTGTTGAGTTTTACCATGGTGTTGGATTTTGCAAGAGTGAGGAAGGTTCCTAGTAAATTACTCCAGGGGGTTAGGATTAATAAAAAAATTAAAGGGTAATAGAGTAATACCACAATTTATCTTCAAGCAAAGTTGACTTCTCGATCCTTATTGGTTGAACTGTGGCCTACAGCAGTGTGGCATCCAGTATTACGTGGTGTGTATTGCACAGCGCGTCGTGTGCTATTCTACATGTTCCTAAGAGGATTTTTCCTGCTGCGCACACACGCAAGCGCGTTCACACCGTCGATCATGGACGTCCTATTGTCCCTCTTTTGTTTGCACTCGAACTTTTTAGGATGACTCCCATAGGTTTTGTACATGACCCCAATCGCAGACGTATACTGGGAATCGTGGACGATATTGTTCTCTTTTGTTCTCTGGAATTTTTCATCCACGGTTTGAATAGATGAACACGCCCATGTATACTAGTGCAGCACAAACCTTTATGTGCATGCATCAGGAGAATGCGCGTAACAGTAACTGCTGAAACTGACCACAATGTACATTGTAAGTGTTGCATCTTTAAGTTTCCTTAAAGACAAATTCGTATTTGGCCTCATGGCACATGGAATACAGATGCAGTACTTTGACGTTCTACGAGACCTGGAGGGATAACTAATAGTACATATATACATGTAATACAATTCATATACAGCAGTACATGTTATTTAATCTCATAATTAAACAAGGGATTCCTCAAAAGCACTTGTGCAAATACAAAAAAATATGCTCGTGAATACGCGCACTTTGTCCTTCATAGCTGTCACCACAAGATCAATCCGGCTTAATTATGGATACCAATCAATACAGATGCTAACTGCAATACATATACAAACAGTACAATGATGGATTGCAGTTACTCTGTGATGTCCAATTTTGAATTTTGCTAAGCACAAAGTATTTGCTAAGCACAGAAAATATTTGCCCAGCAAAAAAAAAAAGGGGTTACCAGGCAAACTGTCGTGTAATGTCTATTGGTTGTGACTGGTTACCAACCAATTTTTTGCTAAGCTCATAAATTTGCTAAGCGGCATTTTCTGCTTAGTGGCTCCATGAAGAATGTCAGTTTTCAGGCTGCGTTTGAATTACATGGCTACAGCTGGCAACTGACCTATCGCCGTTTGCGAGTGAGCCACGCCCCATAGACAACCCTATGGAATGTTGTATGTTAAGTTTTGTTTCGCATCCATTTGTATATCATGTAATTGGGCAATATTTCACAGGCTGCGTTGACGAGATTCTGCCGCAATAAGCCTTTTCGGAGTTCCAACTGCGCGCATTCGTAACCCGTGACAACGCACATTGTTTGTCTCAAATGCCCATTTGACAGTACCCACAATGCACAAACAGCCTTTTTGTAAAGTCAGTGGCGCGATGATGTCAAAGGCCATTTGAGACAAACAATGCGCATTGTCACAGGTTATGAACGCGCAGTTGGAACTCCGAAAAGGCTTATAGGTTAATTACAAATGCGCCTATCAGGAAACGGCTGAATCCACGTCCCATAGGGGCGCGTTACTGCTAGCAATAGCCATGTACAGGTTATTCCGACGCAGCCTAAAACACTAAATCTGACTATAGACAAACATTCCTTGCACATATGTAACCTTTTACACATTCAATTTCTCCCTGTTTTGCAAATTAATATTTCACCATGCCAGGCAAAGTCCACAAAACGATACTTACATGTATTTGGTTTCGCACTGCTTTACTTACACTATTGCAACCTTAAAATGGTTTTAACAAATGGATTTAAAACACAAAACAAACTGTCATTTAATGACTAAAACTCCTTCCCTTTTATACAAAGATAAACGAAAATTCAGTCTTAAAAAGTAGATATATGGAGAATTACTTTTTAAATACTTATATTCTTCTGATAGAATATATGGGAATATCAAACACTTTGACATAAATTAGACAGCATACTTTTAACTTAACAGACCTAGCCATCGAGTACAATAACTCAAATACATTATTTATAAATACAGCGCACAATAAATGTAAATTTCCATGAATAATGGATTCTTTCTGAAGTAATAAATATAAAACAAATGTGGCTAGAACCATCTTTGGAATAAGCAAACAATGGCACACAACACACTTTGATATTTATAAAATGTGCAGCCATTCTAATAGCATGCATATTACACATTGCAATGTCGCATAATCTGAACAAAACGGCAAGAGTTTTAGACTTGGGAAAACAAAAGTTTTAACCAGTGACCAATTTCATAAAAAAAAAAAAAAGTCTCCGGTTTCTGGTATGCGCGCGCGTCGCCGTAGCCATGCGCGTCGGCAAAATGAAAAGTTTTTTTTTCAATGAAAGATGATGTCTCAAAACCACCAAACTCACTGGTTTGACTGGAATCCTGCTGCTGCATAATTTTAACGTGTTTTTAGATTGGGTTATGGTCGAGAATAAGCTTTATGTGGCCTCTCTGGACTCCCATATATTTGCACTAAGTTTAGTCGGGCACCATTTACAGTCATCAGCCGACATTTGAAGCAAAAAAATCAGGTAAAAAAAAAAAAAAAGCGGCGTCGCCGCACCACTTTTTGGGCAAGCTCCATACCAGAAACCGGAGACTTTTTTTTTGGCCTAAGTAAAAATTACAAATTTTTTTTTAAAAAGTATTTTTTTATATCAATAATGATTGTATTTCACTTGGACAAACAGTTAAACATGCATGTGAGAGGCCATGCAATGCTGTTTTCAGCAAACAGAAGTTATCCACTTACATTGGTATTTTCAAATTTGTCACTGAAGGAAACAACGTTGAAACAAGTTTTGGATCAGGGATAAAATGTGTACACAATATATAGAAAGACCTCTCTTAGATCGTTTAGATCCTTTTTTAGGCAGTCAAAATTTCTTTAAATATGTAAACACTTAATTTCTTTATCATGCAAAATCTTTGGATAGGAGTTCTTGATTTTCCAGAGTACACTGTACATAGACACTTTTCATTTTTTTAAGAAAAAATTACATTCATCAATAGTGACCAATACATTTGTTAGTACTAAGTTAACACAGTTATTTTGAAGTACTACTGGCAAGATCGTACCAAGATGACACAGAGTGGGTTTCTGGAGTGGGCGGGGCATAACCTGTGGGAGGGACAGGACCTCTGTTTCTAGACATCCACAGTGTCTGGGGAGAAACGCAACTTTGGTATCTCGGCAATAGCAGTGGATGTGGGCTTTGGCTAATCAAAAGATAAAAATAAGTAAACAAGTATTTGATGAGGAAAAACGTGATCCCAATTGCAAACAAATCAAAAAATTGTTGATCTTTAAAGGGCCCATGCAATGTAATTTATTTTAATGCAATCATTATAATCAAAATACATCTTTACTTTATAGCAACTTGAAATTTGGTGTCTGGGTTGGTCTTGATAGTCTCAAGAAGACTGTTGCTTTTGGGGCCGACAGGTCAAAGGTCAAGGTCAATATTGCTAAAACAATAGAAATATTGTCAGCACGAATGCTTGAGAAATACTTTACTGAGGAACTTCAAATTTGGTTTGTGGGTTGCTCTTGGTAGTCTTATCAAGCCTATAGATTTTGGGGCTGACAGGTCAAAGGTCAAGGTCACTATTGCTAAAACAATAGAAACCTTCCATTTTGGTTAGGGACACTGACTTTATAAAAACCGCCAGCATGCCAGGGGGATTGCACAAGTCTCACTTGCAGTATTTTTACAAACCTTCAAGTTCATGGCCCACAAAATACTCTAATAGCAAAAAAAATTGAGGGCATGCAAATCATGATTTGGCCGGCAGAGGCAATTTGGGGCCTTAACTGGCTGCACCTGAAGGTAAATTCATCACTGGAGTCGATGGCAATTTATGTACTGGTGTGCTGCCTGTAGTATTAAGATCTTAGCATAATAGCCCATAGAGCAAAGAAAAAATGAACAAGGTGTGGATTATTGACATAAAAAAGAGCACAGTCTTTCCGCACAGTGAAATCAACAATACACTTTAATCATGCGGCAATAACTGCATCATTATCATAAATCCAGTCTGGCGACGGGGGACAGATTACAGCAGCTCCTGAGTGATCCTGTCTGGGAGCAGACCCAGACAGTCAATTAGCTGGCTGGGGTATAAATCTCCTGCTGCTGTAGGCTGTAATCTAATTAGATTCAATCGTCTGGGATGTTAAGGGAAACTAGATTGAATACTCTACCCAGACTGATTGTATAGCTTAGGGCAATGATACACAAAATGTGTTATAGGGATAAGGGGCCATTCAAAACTATCAATGTTTTACAATTTTGATTTTTTTTATTGAAAATGTTGGTGGGTGGATCAAGAATATAATTGAAAATTAAAATTCACTTTTCAATTAAAAAAAAAAACAACCGATGAAACACAAAAAGTCATCTGGATACATGACATCAGCCCTTCTGATTTGAGGCTTCCCGAGAAGTGTGAATAATTGCACGCCTGAAATTTCCCTGGACCACAGATCACACACCTAGAAAACCACTTACCTAGAAAAAACACACCTAGAAAAATCCAGGCGTGCCTTTTTCCACACGCCTGTGATTTTCAAATCAGAAGGACTGTGACATGTGCAAGAGGGGCAGACCCACAGCTTCAACACACAGTCACTGAGCTAGGCATACATGTATTTGGATTATATTGAACACAATGAATAACAAGTGAATTTTTTAAGATCAAAACTTGGGGTGGGTGGGTGATAAAAAAAACCACCAAAATTCAAAATTTAAAAAACATTGATAAGTTTGAATGGCCCCTGGTGCAATATAATCTTTCTTTTTTTAAATAAATGGAAGCTTTGAATTTCATGTGTATGTCCAATTTACACCTTTTTCCAATCTATGAATTTCTATTTCTAAAGGATGTAATAGGCCTTTGTTTCTCTTTCTTAAAGCTATAAATACAAATTTCCATATTCATAAACTAGTCAGCAGATTTAGTGTTTCAGCTGTTTCAGCATAAAATGTTGCCTGAATTTGTGAGTTTTATACAGTCAATTCGATTCTTTCTTTTTTTTCGTTTCTTTGTTGATTTTCATGACAGGTAGTCAGTGCGCAACCTTTATTTTTAAAGAGGCTATACTGTAGATTTATAATTTGTACAGACAAAATTTGTCAACTATTTAAATATCAGCAATGGAATTCCCACAGCAAGTTCGAGTGAGGACTATGGTTCACCATAGTTTGACTAAATTAACTCAAAATGAAGGATGGTTGGACTATTCTAGTGGACTAATTGGAACCAGGCCACAGGGCATGGTTGCATTGCTGATTACCAATGGCCGTATAAATCCTTATGACACAGCAGATAGCCATAATCAAGATGTTTTGTGATGACATTTTGGCAATCGTTTGACTAGAGGCGTTCGGACGTTGCTTTTAGCTCTTTCAGTGCCAAAGTCGTACATGTACGAGGTATATTTATTAGTTCGAAATTGCCAACCTCGTACATGTACGAGGTAATGTTCGTACTTAAAATCGCCAAACCTCGTACATGTACGAGGTACAGTAAACATGTTATCACAAGGGGGCGCTCTCGCTTTTTCTAATACTATCATTTTCATTCAGGTACGACCTGTATTTATTTGTTTCATTCGAGTTCTTGCGAGAGGGCACAGCACTGACACTCGTAGTTTCTGCAAAAAGTGCGGAATTCCCCTGTGTGCAGGATAGTGTTTCGGGGTGTATCACTATGTACGTGACTACTATTGACTTTCCAATGTACCAAGGATATACCAGAGAGGAACAACAATAAATTTCGTGAGTAAAAGTTATTTCCTTTTTTTTTTACAGAATTTTGAACAATAAAAAAAATGCTCGAAGTTGGGCACTTTTTAGGGTTAAACTTTTCAAATTTCGCGGGCACTGAAAGAGTTAGTGTGCAGGCGTAAGTTACGTCATAAATCAACCACTGGTCGTCTAATGGTCCTCGCCAAAACTTGCTCAAAGTTGTCATGAAATAAACACGGATACTTATAAATACTGAAAAAACTGTACATGAATGGGCTTGGCTAGGCACCAGTCATGTGACAATTCTACAACAAGCCATTTGCGAGTTAAATTTGAATAAAATCTGGAACGCTGACTTAATCCAATGCTTTGCACGTTTTAACTTTGCATTGTCCTGACCAAAGAGACTGTTACTATATCACATGATTCGGGCAAGCCTTATGCTAGCAACCATCAGCTCCGGCATGGTCTGGTGTCTTTGTGCCCTTCTCACCCATTGTGAGCAGTGTATTGATGCTGAGCGCGCGTCTCTCACGTAACTATGCAAGAGCTTGCCCCGAATCGTGTGATTAGCAACAGTTACTTTGGTGTGATGAATTCTAAGTTAAAATTTGCCAAGCATTCCGAGCAAGTCAGTGTACCAGATGTTTTTTCAAATTTAAATCCCAAAGGGTATAGGTCACTCGCAGATGGCTTATTGTGACCAGTCCAAGCATTGACAGGTCAAAGGTCGCCTACCTTTGAGGGGTTGAGTGGTGTCTGGCTGCTTGGCCTTGGTTCCGTCAGGAGTTCCGTCTCCCAGTCTTCTCCTTCTTGGGGGTCAAAGTTGTAGAGTGGTAAGAGCTGATGCCGAAGCTTGTCCAATCTGCATTCCACAACGAATAAGACAAAACAATTGAAAACAATGGATTCTGGTTTATTTCTGAATAAATTTCATTGTGAGCAAAACCATTATAAACTTGACATCGCAAATTATGGAAAAAGTGTTTCTTTCTTTTTTGTGAGATCAACAGAGAATATATATCAGGCCTAAAAAGAAAAGGAAATTGTGTGTTTACGGTAACCCAACCTACCTGGCTTTTTTACTAGGCCAAATTGCCGACCTCAAACTTTTTATTGCTATGTACATTAGGCCAAAAAAAAAAAAATATTCGGTCTCTGGTCAGACCAAAGTTCCGGAATTGACGCGGCGATGCGGCTTTTTTTTTTTTTGCTTTTCTTTTTTTTCTTTCTTCAGGCTTGGATTGTACAGACAAGGTGGGGTACTATTTTGCTTTTTTGGTGTCCTCATGTACATTGGTGTCCTCCATAATTTGCCTTGGTGCTTTCGATCATTTGCCTTGGTGCAATTTCCCATTCCTTGGTGCTCTTTCGTAAAACAAATTGAGGAGGTGCGGAAATAGAGGGCGCTGTTGGAGCTACCGCGGAACATTTTGGAGAAAAAAAAAGATCGACGCGCATGATTAAAATCGACGCACGCGCTGACCAGAGACCGACTTATTTTTTTTTTTGGCCTTAGGCAAACATTTTAAATACAGTGTATTTTGAAGAAAAAAAAAGTATTCCCTGTGCGATTTTTGTGTGTGTTATTAAGGGCAATAGGGAATAAATATGTCCTTGGCCGGTTTTAAACAAGTACGAATAAAACCGGCTAGGAGCCTGGATGCTGATAATGGGTTGTTGAGCCCAATTATCCAAAGTTTGCATGGGTCCACTGTGAAGCTAGTCCAACAATGGTAAAAGTATATGCACGATTTTGCTAACTCACCGCGCATTGTTTCAATTCTGTCAAGTATTTAAGCCATTTATTTTAATGGAAAAATGTTGCAACCTGACGCCAATTTTTTCTTCAATATCATCTCAATAAAGGTCAGTCATTGCAAAAATGTTGAAAAGACATGAATTTGGGCCTGAAAAACATTTCCAATTTTGTTAAGAAATTTCTCAAAAAAATTTCTTGACTCTACACAACTGCTGAGGTGGCGTCAGGTTGCGACATTTTCCCCCATAAATCTCTGTACTGCCCAAACTGCCCTGCCTGTTACTACCTGTACCGACCAAAACCACTCAAATCTCAAGTTTTATCGATTGATCTGGGAATAAATAGAATGTAATTTAACATAATACAAGGGATAAATTGGATAATGCATTACTCAACTCTCACTGACCTGATTCTTTTTCTTAGATATGAGATGATCATGACCAGCATAGCGATCCCAGCTATGACAACCAGAGGCAGGAGAAGGTACAGAGCTACGTTATTGGTCGACCCGGAAGGTACCGACCTACCGGTTGGGGTCACGACGTCACTTCCTGGTGCCGTTGCCTTGGAAACCGGGCTCAGGTGTTTTGTGGGTCTCGGCTTGGGTGGAGCTAGTGTCGTCTTGGGTTGTGCTGTGCGCTGCTCTGGGGTGGACACAGGTTGTGTGGTTGCCATGGAAACAGTCGTCGCAGTTGATTCTGTTATTGCTGTTGTGATTGACGTCGTCATCAGGGCAGAAGTAATCGGGTGGTCGGTTGTCTCATTGGAAGTCCCGTTTGTCACTTCAGTTGTTATTGAGGAATTTGTCTCCGTTGAAATGGTAGTGTTTAGATTTGATGACCTGGGCTCAGTCACTTGTGTGGATTTGGGCAGGGAACCAGTCAATGCGCTTGACTTGACTGTTGATGGTATTGTTTGAGTTAACGCAAGTCCAAGAAAGGCAGCCAAAACTGCTAATCTCCACAGCAACTGCCGGCCCATCCCTGTGGAACTCGGTTCAAATGTCTGCACAGTCATTTTGGCTGTTCATGTGTTGACCCTTTGAATGGTCACGACTGCTGAAAAGAGGTGCACAAAACAGATGTGACAGTGTTACAAGTACATGTTATAGGGGGGTGTTAGGGGCATAGGGGGAGGGGTAAAAGTTACACACACACACACACACATACTTGTTTCACATGACTAGTGTGGACTTTCCATTGCTTTCGTGTAGTTAAGAAAAACCAGTGAAAAAACTCATTTTTCTCAAACTGTGAAAACTCTTTCAACCCAATTTTTTTTCTATGATTCCCTTTAGTGTTTCTCTTCATTCTGCTACAGATAAACCTAACCCAAAAATGCCTCTAAACCTGTTTTCCAGAAATGGGGAAACACTGTGTGGACGTGGGGTAAGTCCACACAACGTCGGTGCTACCTACATTATGTGGACGTCTTTTGTTCGGAAGTCCACACTGCGTATGTAAGACAAACTCACCCACCCAGTCGTTTTTTGCTAAGCTTCCGAGGATTGGCTTTGTGTTTTCCTTTGTTCCCTGATCTAAACCTTTCCCATAGACTAAGCCCACAAATCTGTATTCGAGGACAATAGGCACCGTCCTTCGAGGATGAAAGGCCCCTTTGTGCTCCTTTTGTTGTCTGTCCTCCAGCATAATACAATACAGGAACACCCATCTTTGTAAGCACCAGCAATCATGGACCCTCTATTGTCCCTAATCCTCATTCCTTTGTTTGGAAACAGCTCTCATTGGTTTTGTACAGGAATTTCAATAGTGTTGTTTGTGCCCTTACCCTTTTGTCCTAGGTCCACGATTGCCGGTGTTTACATACTCACAGCACACTCTAGCCCCATCAATGTGTCTTAAATACTGGACTTCCTCTCTAATTTGATTAGCAACACAACGCTGAATGCTAATTTATGCTAAATTTCCTTTTAAAATGCATTTGAAATCAAATCTAGATTGTTTTTACAGTTGTGAATATTTGGTTTTATCTTTTTATTATGCTGTTTTACTTTCTAAAATAGTACAACTGACTAGTGAAACAATCTAGTAAAAGATAAAGAGGAAAGAATGTTGCATTATGATGCCACTTTTTTCCTTCATTATTATGTAACGTTAAAGGTCAGTCATTACAAAAATGTTGAAAAGGCATGAATCTGGGACTGCGAAACTTTTCCAATTTTGTAGGAAATAGGCCTAGGCCTACTTAGAAATTTGTAGACTCTCCGACCATATACATCATGTACACAACCGCTGAAGTGGTGTCATTCGTTACGGTAAAGATAGGCATATGTGACCTCTAAACCTTGAATACTATTTTGAGAAAAAATCACGAATTTATTTTATTGACAGGTTCCCTCACTTCCCTGCCGGGCCTGCAGCTGCGCATTGCTATACACAATCATATTTCAACATAGGTTTTTATTTTACGCCTTAGAGGCCTAGTCACAATCATACTATTCATAGCCTAGTCACATCCATGACAACATCCGCAACTTCGCAAGGTTTATTAACCCTCCTATTATTTAAGAGGTCACCAATGGTCAAAATGTTTGTATCTCACCTCCTGGCATATTGTGTACAAACCAATGGGGGTCTTAACCAATATTGACCTAAGTAATACTAATATTTTTAACCAGGCTGACACGTGACATAAGTCGGACATGCATGACATGTAGGAGGGTTAACGTCTAAAATGATATGCAGATCATGATATACGCATCTTAATAAAATCACACAAACACATATTTCACGTACTTGAAATAGTTAATCACAAAACATTTCATATTTGCAGGGAAAGTAAAAAACAAAACGTACTTTCCATTTAGCTCCGCTCCGGCCCACATTATTTAGAAAAATACATCTTCACGATCACTAGCCATAGACAGTATAGCGCCACTGTTGTGCCCATTCTTGAAAATCACGCATTCTCGAGAATGGGCATGCACATTCTTGAGAATGTGCAACTGGATCCTTGCTCAATCTTGGCAAAAAATAACTCTTCCAGATTGAGCGCACATTCTTGAGACTGCGCGACAAGATAACGGTCTTGTCGATGCCGAGCACCGGCTGCGCTTGGCAAGTCTAGCTGAATCCTCGTTCACTGATTCTCAATAATTATACTGTTGCAACGCAAGGCGCTGAAAAGTAGAGTGGATATGATAAGTAAAGGCGTATTGATATGGGGGGGGGATAAGAGACATAATAATAATAGTGCAAAGAATTCTGAGTTTTGGGATAATAAAAGCGGGGGGGGGGCGTAAGAATGAAGAATGTGAAGAATGAGAATGAATACTGCGACATCCCATAGTGCTAATGCTATTTCCCATTTAAATTGCCACCAATTTATTGTTCACATCCCACCATAACGTCGCAGAGCTGGATTCTATCTAGTCAAAAGAGCAATTTTGGCAGCTTCTTGACATCGTTTTTTTTTCGTGGCACGCATATGATACATGCAGGGACTTGTAACTTGTCTAGCCTAAACAAAGCACTTCCCAGACTAGTTCCCAGTCCTCCGTTATTATAAAACTTCCCATAGTGGGCAGAAGAAAGCAATAATAACAGGTTTAATTTGATTCAAATTATCGTAGTTATACGAGTACAGAAGCATAGCACATTTTCTTTCCTCTTTATATGATTTGTTTCCCTTTTAACCGCTATACAATTCATTTAACATAATTATGTCGTGCAATGTTTGTTAAGATTGGGCAAAATTCATAAATTGTGCACGTGATATTCCCACCCAATCTTAAGAATGAGCGCTCATTCTTAAGAACGCGTGCTCGTTCTTAAGAATGGGCGCTTATTCTTAAGAATGCGCGCCCATTCTCGAGAATGTGCATGCCCATTCTCGAGAATGCGTGATTTTCAAGAATGGGCACAACACCACCATTTGGCGAGTTTGGATAATGATTTGTTTTCACATCACAACACACGAAGAATTAGAACACGTGCTCATTTTCGACGTGCGCGTCCATACCAGCAGCATCATATTACTAGACGGGTTCGTTGCATTGGATTCTTCGTTATTTACTAATTGGATCAAGCGGGAGTCGACACATATTGGTTGTAATTAGAGTAGAAACGAATGACAGCTTCTAGGCAGCTGCTAAACAAAATATATGTGGCAAATTTTGTGAAAAAAAGAGAAATGTCGTCTCAGACTCAGTACAAATTGTAGGCCATATTTGATTTCAATATTCACTTTTCCAAACTCTACCATCATGATATTGAACCCAGGCAATCATGCATGTAGAGCTCAGGAACAAATTACGCGCGGCCCATACCTGGATATGGGCGTGGGGAGAAGACCAAGATACATGTACATACTAATTTACAAGAGAAAATAAACATTGAGATGAAATATACTTCCTTTTGTTTTATTTTCAGATGTGTTTCACCAGAAGAAGGGAAAAAGTCAAGCAGCAACATTGCAGCAACAAACTTATTTTCAGGATTTAAGTAAAGTGTAAACAAAACATCAGTACAAAAGACAGTACCAGTAGCACACACAAAGCAATGGCAGGTCCAATGAAGACATCACATAAACTTTTCTTTCCAAATTTCAAAAGAGCTATTTTATGCATCGATTTTTGGACAAGAAGCTGCTCCAAGTCAACATTTTTGAACGGACAGGGATATTTGAGATTTGAAGGAGGACTTTCTTGTTGCCATGGCAATGCGTCTGCAACCAAATCGATGGACTGCAGTGTAAGTAAACAAACAGACTCCAAAAATGAAACTCTTGATATTAAAATCAGAAACCAGCCAATTTCTAGACACTTTCCTTGGACATCTGTAAGAAGAACATTTTCCACATCTGTGACTCTTCAAAAAGACGTAGAGAAATGCTCCGCCTCAAGCAACAATTTTGTGGAGACCACCCCTGGACCAAATGGACCAACCCTATTTGAATGTAACTCTCCACAAGCTGCAGTCAGATGGTGGAGTGCTGTATTTTCAGAGAGGGGTGTTCCTGAGGCAGAGGTGTCGGCTGAGTTCATTGTGGCCCACGCGCTGGGACTGAAACAGGTACAAAGCAATGTTTTTGGCAAAACATATAGCCTCATTTAAGCAACAGGTATCTGCACAAAGGCATTCCTCATTGTTCATCCAATGGCGGATCTGGGGGGGGGGGTTGCCCATTTGCTTTTCAGTTATTATAATTTAATTGACTTCAGCTCTGGGCAGGTATAGCTTGTACATCTGCTGATTTGCTGGTAACTTCAATTTTCCAGTGATGTATTTTCACTATGAAGATGTACATGGTGCTTAAACACTCTTTGATTTTTTTTTTAAAGGAAGGGATTGCAATTGTGTTCATACGTTATGTTTTTTGGGTGGAGGTGGAGGGGGGGGGGGGGGAGGGTTGGGTTTGACTAATATTTTTAGAGTACTTACCCCAAACATATTCATGTATGATTTTTGACAGCCCCTTGTTGAATTTACTCAATTTAAATGGTTGTAGAGCTTGCTAACATGTTATTTGTCGATAGCTACACGAGTTGACAAGTCCTGTCCTGGCCAGATCGTTGACACAAGTGGAGCTGGACATCATCAATAGACTTTGTACCAAGAGGATGCAGAGGTGGGTATTGTAAAAACACTCGTCCCAATGCAATGCAGCATTCTTCTAATGTACCATAGGGAAATAGAGGGGGGTGGATGGGGATCGATGGCCGGGACTCCCCCCCCCCCCCCATTTGTCATTCTTAACTGTTGACAGAATTGTTCTTGTCAGCAAAAGATGCCAAACTTGAGCATACCTCAGCAACACTGTCTTGCTTACAGTCAGCAATGATTGCTATTTTTGTATTGGTAAAATTCTGACTTTTGTTGGCAAAAGTGGCTGTCTTGAACAGTACCCCCAGGTGTCAGCTTCTGGTCACCTACTCACCCCTCCCCCGCCCCCCACTCACTCAACCCCCCCCCCCCCCAAAAAAAAATATCAGAAAAAAGTTATTGCTGCCCTAATGAATCATCCTTCACTTTTTTACTTTTGCAATATGGTCACACCCACTGATCTGTTGCTGTGACGATCAAAGATCCAAGTTTAACCATTCTTGTCGGCAGGATTCCTGTGCAGTACATCGTCGGCGACTGGGACTTCCGAGATCTAACGCTGGAAGTCCGACCACCGGTTTTCATTCCCAGACCAGAAACAGAGGTAAAAGAATAGACCTATCCTTACCACTGGAGCAATGCCTTTGGCATGGTTCCAAATTGGGGGGGGGGGGGGGAATTAGGGGTAAGGTCTTCAAAATGTATGAAACCTACCTTTTTGGATGGTGGATTTATTTTGAACTTTTAAGAACAATTTTACTGCTCAATTTTCTTATGATTAGTTCTGGAAATTTTCTTAACATTTGGTATTTGCTTTTTTACAAGAGAAACCCAAGATTACTTTTCTTCTGAAAAGTTTCTGAAAATCAATATTCCTATTCTGGAAATCTGAAGTGAATATTCGGAATATCAATTTTTCCTAATAAGTTTTCCTATTTTGTAGAAAAGTACTATTTTGTGAATCAGTACTCGGCAACTGATAATTTGGAACTTTTTTCAGCTTTCCATCAAGACCCACAAATGCAATGAAAAAAACAAAACAATTACAGCACTGCTAATAGTTTTTCACTTTAAAATCTTAAGTGCCAGTAAAGCTAGTGGACACACTTTGTGAAGTAATTTTCCTATTTTTTATTTAAAGGAAACCAGAACTCTACAAAGAACTACAGGTGTTTACTCTGCAAAACCACAATCACTAATCATGGTGTATGAAGAAAAATCTTTGATCTGTGATCTGCAAAATCTCAAATTGCGGATGGAGGAGTGTGGCCATGTGGTTATGATTCATGACTCATGATCAGAGGGTCAGGGGTTCAAATCTAGCTGCTGGCCGTGGCCAGTGTCCTTGGGCAAGCCACGTACTTCATCCCCACTTGCCTCTCCCCACCCAGGAGTATAAATGGGTACCGACATAAGCTGGCCGGGACTAACCTTGCAATGGACTGGTGGTAGTTTCTTGATGGGCAATATTGGCTCGTCAACCTTTACTGCTACTTGTTGAGTTTAAATGAATTTGGCTGAAAAACAAAAATCCAAATGTTGTTCTTTCTCAGATGCTAGTGGACCTCATCCTTGGACACTACTCAGAGGACAGCAAGCTGCACTTTCTTGAGATCGGATGTGGCAGTGGGGCTATATCACTGTCACTCCTCTCTGAACTGCTTTTGGTAAGCAGTCATCAACGGGCCTAGCGTGACTAAGTGATTTGTTTGAATCATTTCAAATGCTTCTTTATTTGAAATTTTAAAATATGCATGTTTATCTATTGAATAGTCTTGAGGAAAAATTACTTGATGTACACAAAATTAGCATATTGAGTTTAAAAGAGCATTCACTATGTAATGCACAAATGAAGTATTAAAATTAAATACAACTCTGTTGTAGATAAGTCATTTTGTTCTCTTTTTGTTTAGTTGTTTGCACTGTTTGCACTGTTTGCTTGTCACTATTTAAAGGTATAATACATTATTTGCAAACACCAAAAAAACAAACAAACAAAAACTACCAAATTATTATGAAATACCTTACTTGGCAGTAAGTGAATAATAGTCGAAAGCATCCTGTGAAATCATGGCACCTGGTGTGCTGTCATTTTCAAGAAAAGTGGAATTTTGTATACATTTCCAACAATGGTCGGCCGACCATCGTTGGAAAAAACTGACTTTTTCAAATACTGCCCCAATTTACCAAATTCAGTTAGTCCAAATTTAAGAGAAAAAAAATAATGGGATGATTGATAAAAGTGGTAACCAATCAGATTTACAAACATTACAATAGTCTGCACAGCCTAGAATCCACCATTGGTGACCCATTCAGGAAGAATATTTGGACCGTAATTCAATGAAAATATATTGTAGAAATGTGCGGAGTTGGATTGTGGATTGTAAATTTTTTTTTTCAAATTTGAGTCACCCAAACCATTTTCTTGTCTGTGATGTAGGCCCGTGTGACTGCTGTGGATTGCAGTGAACAGGCTGTGCAACTTACAATGGAGAATGCTGATAGGTAAAGTTACCGCGAAAAAAGAAGAAAATTGGGTGTTAAAATTTGTCTTGAATACAAAAAAAAACAGCATATCCAAGTCATCCAGTTGTGTGCTTTCAGGTACGTTTACATAAAAAGAAAGGAGTTCATTCATACCCAGTGTGTGTTCCAAGTGAATGCTATGCGCAACTAAAGCCTTTAAGCATAAAACAATCGTTTGGAATATTTATGTAGACTTATGTCATGCATGTTCGGAATAAAAAAAAAAAAAAAAATCAAGGTTCCAACACAAACTAGGCAAATAGTAGTTCCTGAGTTTCAACTATGTTGGTTGATTCCAGCTTTCGCTAAGAAGTTTAATCTTAAACATTTCAAGAACTGCAAATGATGTGGACCTTTCATTATTAAATCTCTGCCCCTTGATTTTGACCAATCACCACCCTGATTGCACAACCACATGTCAGACAAAAGTCTGATGTGCATACACTTTCATGTGATGTGTGTGGTTGAAACATGCAGTGTGGCGTTTGGGAAGTGCACCTAGGCGGGCCAGTGGGCGGGGCAGTGGGCGGGACAGTGGGCGGGGCTTAATTGATAGAGCTGTAGTCATTTCAATAGTCTGAAATAAAACTTTCGCCCTAACATCGCAGATTAGGGTTACAGGATAGACTGACTGTCCACTGTGCTGCTGTAACATCGCAACTTCCAAAGTGTCTTCAAGGGAAGTCCAGTTCGTTTGATGCCATCATCAGCAATCCTCCTTACATACCAACACAAGACATGGAAGGACTACAGCCGGAAATCAAACTGTGAGTGACGCAAAATAGCCTATAGAAGGGTAGATCCAGAAAGGTTACTGCAGGGGGTGGGGTGTCGGGGAAACAAGGAAACTCCAAAGCACACAAGACTTTGTACAGTAATTTTTCAATTTGTAATGGCATTCATGAGAAGTAACAAAACCAAGAAATCAGCGGATCCAAGGAAAACCTGCATGCCTGCAATAAGCTTGATCGATAATCACTTTCCTAGTCTTATTTCCTGTGTCAAGAGTCTTTTTTGGACTATAGGCGATTCCTGCCTTTATTATTGTAATATTTACTAAAAGAAAGAAAGAAGACAACATCACTGGTACTGTTTTCAGAGGTGTCAGGTTCAAATCCTGTACAGAATGTTACAAAAATTACTGTGATTTTGTTCCAAACAGCTATGAGGATGCCATAGCTCTGTGCGGTGGCCCTGATGGTATGGACCTCATCAAGGACATCCTTCGAAATACCCACCTGCTTCTTAAACCCGAGGGATTTATTTGGCTGGAGACGGATTCAAGACACCCCGAAGCCATCCAGACGTGGCTGGATACCAACCCAGGGATGGGTGTGGAGTTGGTCGGGACATATCAGGATTACCATGACAGGTAGGTGGGTTTCCTGTGATATTGTTTTGAGTTTCATCCCAAAAAATACATTCCTTTTCTAAATTGCTATTATTCACTTTTGAATGACATATCGACCGAAAAAGTGGGCGGGCATGGGGGGAGGGGGGTAGGTATGCCCCCTTCCCCCCATTCTAAGGCCATTTGAGAATAAATTTAGGACCTTTGACTCAAAAGTTCATTATTTTTGCCCCATTTTACGAACATAATTCCCAGCGGCTCAAGGGGGGGGGGGGGTCCCCCATCCTCTACTGGCAATATGCCTTCCCCCTTCCTGTGTCTTTCCAGGGTTTTTGTTTAAGTCCACACAGGTCAGTCACAATTCTGGTCCATTCACCTAACCTTTTCTAAATACAACTTGAGACTTTGCATGGTAGAGAGTAAAAGTTTAGAGACGTTTTCCACTATAAAGAAGCTATCTAAAAATGTGAGTTCCTAAAAATGAGGATTCTTCCACAATTTGTAACCTTTGAGGGGGTGCTTAGTACTCATGCAGGAAGTCCAAACTGTATGGACTGGGGTCTGTGACCAAATGAAGTTGAACCCCCTCCCCCCCCCCAAAAAAAAACACCCCCAAACACCCCCTCCTCTTATTTTCGAGGGTGCACGCCTCTGAGCCTGGCTTGTGATTTGAACTCAACAGGCCTACACTGTTGGCCACTTTGACATTGTTATGGTATGGTTTGTCCACATATTTTATAATTTTTATTCCTCAAAATGCTTCTTTTGCAGACCAAGATTCACCCAGTTGAGGTACAAGAATCAACCCAGCCAACTGTAATGGACATTTCTCCCGATTGGGGTATCAGAGGACCACACCTGTGATAAGTCTCCCGAATGAGGTATCAACGGCAATACACATACATCCTCCTAAAAGACTATCACACCCTGTGATCAATATCCCCCAATCAAGGTATTGGCACAAAGAAACGTGTAAATCTCCAAACTTGGGTATAAAACTAGACAATTACCTTGAGTAAGGCTTATAGCAATGCATGAGGTTAATTGTTGCAAAATTGTATCTATGTACAACTCAGCTGACATGAAAACTTTTTCATGAAATAACACACATAAACACAAGTTACTTTTTTTTTTACTTATTTGGCAGCTGACTATGCAATGTTTTATTTATTTTGTATATTTAATCACATAAGAAACCAGGTAGCATTCTTTCCAGAGTGACTTAATAATACGCACATACATAATATACATACTGAGATTGTGTGTGCAGAACGGAATTGTACAGTGGGTAGGGGGAAAAAAATAACATTTTGTACAAAGTTGAGTAAAAGGCGTGCTTGGCACAAGGGTAAACACTTTACATTCATAATAGTTATCTACTGGGTGCTGAGACTTAGTCATTTTGATTGGGATGAATTAAAAAAAAGGCCGTGAAAAAATTGTTGGCTAAAAAGTTGTATTTTGTTTGTGCTTGTTGGCCTCTTTCATGCTGGACAAGGAGAGAATGCAAAATTAAACACTGGTAACCTGCGGTAACCTGTGGTAACCTTGGGTTTAACCTCAATGTTTTGCATGGTTTTACGGGTTACCTCGGTGTTCGACATTGAGTTACCGCTTGGTAAATTTGCATTTTTTTTTCTCATTAAAAGTTTGCAAAAATTCACAATTTGAAATAAATCACTTGTCAAATTGATTATTTTTTACAATCACATTGCTATTCATGCTGTGTGTTGCCCATCTCACAACCTACAGGGTGGTACTAAAAAAGTTTAAACTTTTTCGGATGCAGATTTCTTAAAACTGAGGAGACATGTTGAAATTGTTTTAAGATAACCCTAAACTACAAGATCTTGGTGGTGAAAACTGTGTTGAAAGTAAAGCCTAAATTAAGAAATTGCAGCCGTTTACAGAAAAATTGTCAAAAACCAGTTTGTCTGCATGCAAGTCTATGAGACACGGTCAAAACAATAGCACTGCGTGCACAAAGAACTGCAATAATGATGACCGTAACTCTTACACATGCATGGACAAACTGTTTTTTTGACAATTTTTTTCTGTAAATGGCCACCATTTCTTAATTTAAGCTTTATTTTTAACCCTGTTTTCACCATATACCACCTACAACTTGTAGTTCAGGAAAATCTTAAAACAATTTCAACATGTCTCACCAACTTTGAGAAATCTGCGTCTGAAAAAGTGAAAAAAACAAGATTGGGACCACACCCTGTACTACCCAAACATGTAGTTAAACACTTGTAAATTTTTCCAACTGCATCAGCAAGGGGCATTCCATTGTAATACATGTACATGTGTAAAACAGTTTTACACATGTACATGTACATGTATTACAATGGAATGTTAAACATGTACAATCTCTTTCACAACTACATGTATTAGTCTAGTGTGAAATTCCTTACGTTTGGCAAAAAAAAAAATGGTTTTGATCAAATCTTAACCCGAACAAACGTCACAGGGTGAATTTTTGGTGTTGTTGACCTAAACTGTGGAGGGACGACACAAGCAAAATATTAGGTTGCATTGGCTAAGCTCTGCCTAGCTAGCATCAAAACAATACTGTAAAACACTGTGCTACACATAATGAAACAATGCTTAAAATTCCAATGTGTTGTGTGAAAATCGTAAGTCAAACTGTGGCAAGGTTTTTGAAGTTATCATTCCGACATTAAGTTCAAAATCAAAGCATTAACCCTAACCACCCCAACTCCATCAAAATCCATCACCCCAGTTTGGTGGATTTTGGGGGACTTTGTCCTGCAGGCCTGGTTGGACTAAATATTGATGGAGCCAAGATTGGGCCTGGAGGCCTGAAGCATGCAGTGCTAGGGGTATCCAATGGATTGTGCCTAGCATCCTGTACTACTGTTGTCATATAAGCCATGTGTACTAAGTCCATCAAAATCCACCAGTACTTCAAAATCAAAATCCATCAAAATCCAACAGTGATGGATTCCATTATGTCATGTATAGGAATCAGAACGGGTGATGGATTTTGGCAGACTTGGTCCTCTACTTAGTAAAAGACAGTAGGGAGTTAAGGGTTAGCATTGTGGGAATGAACCTGTTAAAGCTACGTGTAACTTTTACGCAATCAAAATGGCATCAGACACCGAATAATATTCAACTAAAAATACCAAAGGAAGCAGTGTAAATATCTCAGCGATTAAGGGAAGGAAATAATGGTCAGAAAATATACAGAACAAGTAATGCGTTAAGAGTCTTTACACACTATTAACAGAGATGGCTGGTTATTAACACACAAATATGTGAAATAAATAAAAAAATCACACCATTCCAAGAAAAAAAAAAAAAAAAAAGATAAAAATACAAAGAACCCAAAACACAAAACGCTTCTAAAATGTAAAGTCACCGTGCCAAAATATGTAAACAATTAAAAAAAAGGATACTGACATAAACCCTTGGACTATATATGTGCAGTTCAACAGATCAGTGTGTTTGCAATTATCTTTTTTTTAATTGAGGATCGTTAAGTCTGCATATTATCTGTGGTGGGGACAGGAGCTGATGCAATGTATGTTCTGCTCACTGCACGTGATTGGAAATTTGGGAACGTACTGTCCGATTTGTTCACGGTGCATTCTCAAGTCATGGTTAAAATTTAATGATAAATATTGGCTTTGCATTCCTTATAGGTGAGCACGGACATCCGGAGGCTTCTTACATAGCCTTGTCTAGTTCCCAGACCCATTTTCATAAAACTGAATGGTACTCGAGTCTGGAGTGCTGAATTACAACGGGTGAATATGCACATGCTAATGAAAAGACATTTTCACTGGCTGATGTAATGCCACACTGCTCCATACACGTACTCATTCTGGTTATGGTTTTTAAGGGGAGGTTGATAGGCATTGCAGATATGTGGGTGAAACGACCACCTGCCTGCGGCCCTTGTTTGCACTAATTATCCCTCCCTATCTCAGTGACGATCTGTAGAGAGTAACCATATTTGTCAAAATCTAACAGGTTACAGGTTTTAACCAGTTCGCGCTGGGATTATTTTGACATTGACCGGACCCAGGCGCAGGATTGTTTTTCACGAACCTTGATGCCAGATGGGTTAGCACACCCTGATATTTCCGGCCTCGCTCGCTGCGAGCGGGTCGCAGACAGATATTTCCGGCCTCGATCGTTGCGTGTTTATCCGTCATCCGTTCCGAATACCGCAAAACCTTTGCGTGTATACACGTCATCCGATGTGAACTGGTCAACAGGTCTGCAAGCTGGCCTCATATTGGTACAATTGACGGGTTAAAATGGCTGCTATACAAGCTGTACCAGTATTCGCTCTTTTCACGCTCCGCCATAAGCATGCAGAGCCTCGATCTGGCAACTGACACAATGAATATAGCCGGTTCAGTGATTCCCGGGTATGCAAGGGTATCACTGAACCCCGACACGGGAATCACTGAACCAGCTATATCTATTGTGTAAAGTTGCCTGATCGAGGCTCTGCATGCTTATGGCCATGGTGACCGTTTTAGCCGATTTTCGGCTAACTTTGACAGATTTTTTGTTAAAAAACAAGTTTGACAGAAAATTTGACAGAATGGATTTTTTGGGGCAGATTTTTGGCAGAATTCTGCAAAAATGGTTACTTGACAGAAAAACATAGCAAATTTGAAAGAAATGGTACATTTGTTTAAAAAAAAATGCAATCTTTTCAAACAAACCCTTGCATAATGGGACAGGTTGGCTGATCTAGGTGCCGAGTGAGGTTCACTGGGAACCGTGACGCAACCGCATTTTGCCTGAAATTTATGCAATTTCATATTATCTTTATGTGACTATAGATTGTTTATAATGTAATTTGAACCTACAACATCTGCATGTGATTTTAAGTGTTTATAGTGCATTTCGAGTAATTCTGGGGAATGGCCGATTTTTGATAAATCTGACAGATTTTTAAAGTGTATTTAGCAGAATTTGGCCATGACCTTACGGTCAACCCTGCTTATGGCGGAAGCATGAAAAGAGCAAATTCATGGTCAACCTATCTATCAAACCACTCCAACATGCTTTGACAGTTATACAGTGTAATCCATAGGGGTTCCTAGTAGTTGGTGACCAGCCTGTACAAAAGCTACTGAGAGAGGTAGGGGTTAGGTTTTTTGACTGTGATAGTTACAAGTATAGGAGGGCTAAAAAAAAAACATTAGCCCTAAACCACCTTGGCTGTTACTCCTCATACCGCCCAAAGCTGCCCCAACACTGCAGGGTATTATAGGTTCATCAAGGACTACAATGTAACACAATGTAATGCAAGTGCTAATGTCTGTGTTCAGAAGCAATACACTTGGCAGACTACACACGAAGGTTTAATAGAAAATGTAAGGCTAGGTTTTCATGAGGTTTCTGTGTTTCTTCTCAATGTTGAAATGCAAACTACAAGATGTACAATTAAACATTTTGTGATCTTCACAACATAAAAACCATAACACAACAGTAGCTGTATTCTGCTAGAACCTAAACTAGGTACAGACTTTTCGAGCCCCAAAACTGAGAAGTACAGTGTGGTCAGACTTCGAACGAATTTCACTGAAATGAGTTCCATAGAGTTATCAAAGAATAATAACGTGACAACCTACATCCACAAATTCAAACCTAAAATAACATATTTTTACGCTACTCATAACAACCATTTATTATTTTATTTTTACAGGAACAAATGCAGCTCGATTATTTATCAACTTGCAGCGTTTTTGGTGTGTTTTACAAAAATTCTATGCGCACATTTGATGTCCACATTGAAAAAAAAAAAAAAATTAAAAAGGAAGAAAAAGTATATCTGGACCTAAGTTTTGTTTTCTTTCTAGAATACTACATTCACAACGTACTGTACAATCTTTTTAAAGATTTTAAAAAGACAAACCCCTCCTCTGCAGTGGGCGGAGTTTCAGCCCACCGAAAGAAAGGGGGTCCTAAAGCACTATTGTTTACACCTCATCAGCCTTATATACAGCAACAGAAAAAAAGGTGTCCTATGTACAATAAAATAGTTTGATCCTTCAAAACATGCTAAATAGTGCAGTGTTATTATGGATATTTCAAGGTTATTTTAAAATCAATTTGAAGGAAACTGTTTTAGAAAGCAATTAAAGTCAAGTATTGAACCAAAAAACGAGACGATAAAGTTCAAATTTTAAATCTTCCAATATGAAACTTGCAGTATTTTTCAAGACTTTTAAATTCAGCTGATTTATTTCATGATCTGGGTATTTTGCCAAAAAGGTTATTTATTTTCTAAATGCAGTGGACAAATGTCTGTTATTAATTTTACCAACAATGTCATGCCATTATTAACTTTCACTTCCAATTCAAGAAGTCAGTATTTGTTATTCTGTACAAACTGTGACTTGAGATTTATTTGACAGTCTTACCAGTCCGACCACTTAAAGAAAATACAAGTTCATGAGTATCACAGCACAGACAATAACCAATACTGTCTGGTACCTAAAATGCAACTACTTTGCTATAGGTAACGGTTCATCTTTTGGGGGACCCGTCTTTAAACAGACTTTCCTATACAGTAGTTAATGGCTTTCGGGAAATCTATAATAAAATATGGCCGCAGTGCGTAGCAAGAGGCATGACGTGGTCACTCTTAACACCATCTGCATGTTATTAATTCCTCCCTCACTGACCGGCGCTGGTGGCTATCGTGATCTGCGCGTTGTAATCCGTGGTCTCCATCCTGAGGATGTACGGGATGATGCTGTCGATCTGGACGTTGCCGATCAGGCCAGCGAAGAAGAGTTCCTCCATGATGCCCGGGTTGAGGAGCCTAAGCGCGGGCAGTCGCAGCAGGAGCTTGCCGTAGCGGTCCGGGTCGTTGGGGTAGGTCTTGGCCTCGTAGGCACGCAGCTCGGTGACGGCTTTGTCCTGGAACTTCTCGATCTGACGAGGATTTGTAAGGCCTGGATGATCTGTCATGCAAGGATGGTGGAAATAAAGAGACGTTTCTACAGTGTTGCAAAATTTCTTCCATTGGAAGCAATCAAATAAATGTACCCTTGCTTCTCTAAGTATAAACTGTTCCAAACATAACATAAAGAAAACATTTTTGTGTCTTGGTATAAAATTTATCAAGACTAGGAACAGAAACAATTGTCTGTAAAGATCCTTCAAAACAATTTAACAACTATTATTTTATAAGTTTTTAAGATGAATGGCATCCTTTGTCATTGTCCATCCTCTTTTAATTTGGGACATGAGTTGTGACTGACCCCAATGAATTGGCTTGTGACCCATTTGTGATTTGACTGAGATTCACTTGAGATTGACTTAGGATTTGACTTGTAATAGACTAATGATTTGACTTGTGACAGGCGTTGGCGTAGCGGTACTTTCCTCTCCTTCTACCGCCGTGACCCGGGTTTGAATCCTGCCTGGGCCAATATGTGGATTGGGTATTCAGTCCCTACCTGATTCCGTGGGTTTCCCCAGAATATCTTCTGGGGTTTTCCTCCTACCTCTAAAACTGTAATTTCTTTTCATTGTCTTCTCTCTTCAGGTTTCTTCAGGCTTGTGAGCTACAGTGCCCCGGGCGCATTTGAGGAATCCTCGGTTTCATTACCCGAAATGATTAATAATAATAATAATAATAGACTTACGATTTGACTTGTGACTGACTTCAACACTACTCCGCCTCTTAATACCCTAGTGCTAAGCTTACAATATGACTAATGATTGACTTATGATTTGACTTGCAATTTGACTTCAACACAACTCAGCCTTTGGAAACACCAGTGAAAACCGAGAAACAGGTTTTTTTTTTTACCTGGGCTGAAGAGAACAGCCGCCTTGAGGTAGGCAAACTCATTGGAGTCCACCTGTAACTTGGTGGTGACGGAGACAAACTCCTGAAGCTTCCAGATGTGCTCCATGACGGCTTTGACCCTATCAGCTGAAAGCTTGTCTGGAAGGAAGCGCAGAGGGGGGTTAACCAACAGAGGCATAAGCCTCATCAGCAACCTACACATACTTACATATCCCCCTTCGTTCTTTCCTTTTTTTGAAATTCAGCACGGTAGGCCCGAGTCCTACTGAAATGCACGTGTGTACCAATTCACATGTGACATTGATGTTGAGTGTGACAGACTTGTCACCTACTGGCTTCACAAGTCAACCTGCCGAATTATTTTCAAAAAGCTTACTTGGGTTAAAGACTGTTCTGGTACTAAACACCCTGTGAAATTATTCTGTCTGCCTTGCTGTCAGTTTAAACAGAAATCAAGAAATGTAGGTGATTACCAACGATCGGTCCATCGACTGATTTTTGGAAATAAAGCGTGCTATGGACGAAATGGTGTTTCGTGATCAAAATCGTTGTGCATGGTAATGGTTTGTCACTGTTATCTCGAAAAGTGTAACATCCACTGTGCTGAAACTTCAACAGGTTAGGTTTTGAACATTCTTCTTTGGATTTTGAGTGGTGTTATTATTGGAAATGAACAAAATGCATGACAAGCAAAATGATTCTATATGCCTTTTAATCCTTTTATATATCTGCCTCAGTTCTACATTTGTGAGATTGAGAGCCGAAGGCCTGTTGAAAAGGAGCCAATGAAGGGCTTATCCTGTGTGTGCGCTGATTCATGTAAGAATGGAACAGAATGTGCATGAATAATTTTCAACTGAAATTTCAAAAACAGGTGTCTTAAGTGAAAGTCCAGCGATATCAGCAATGTCTGGACTTTTACCGCTGAGGGTGACAATACACAGAAAGTCCATAAAGGCACCATCTTATATTCATGGTTGGATTCACTGACGTGTTAGGTCATACTTTCCACCCATATCAGTCAGGAAACCCGACTGAAATGTAAAAGTAAATCAAGGAAAAAGGGAATAACACTTGAGATGTATCTTGATCATGAGCTACGCATGAATTCTACTTGTAGCATCTAGCATAGCACTTCATATGATTCAAGCTATCACACAAATGCACTTGAGAGATTTTATGTTAATCATGGATCAAGCTGAAACAGTGCATAATGTTTTTTTCGAGGGAGTGGGATTATGTTAGCAGGTGACTTGGGAATTGGATGCGAATGACAATAACCAAACATTTACTTTCAGCTTTTACGAAAAGCTTACCATTAACATGGTAAATTTAAATTTGTCTTCGGTATACACCAAATTCAGTCATCATTTCTGACAATGTTCACTAGGTACAACAGTTAAAGGGATTGCGCACTCAAAAAAATTAAATCAGCTAAAATTTATGTTCTGCAATGTGGTGAAAACTTAATAAAATTTGCATAACTTTACAGTACGACGTAAGCTTCAGAGATAATTGTAGAAAAAAAAAAGATTGAGTAATAAAATATAAAATGTCTCTGAAAGTCATGTAGTGGACATTCCATTTTATCCCTCAAATACTAAATGGTAAATTGAACCATGCATAAGAGTAAGGTTAGCTTCTGCAGTCATGAGGTGGGCATGCTTTTTTTTCTCCTGGAAATTTGAAAGATTAATATAATCCATTGTTATGGGAACCAACCAAATTCTGTGCAATGCCTGTAAGATAAATTGTATTAATCTGTGTAGCGTATAGAGGAATTTAAATATATGCCTCTGTGCAGCGAGGTATTAAAACATGGGCAAAATTTCAAGAGTTGCGAAACTTGGATGCACTTTCTGAAAACCTCAAACCTCAAAGGGCTACAATGAAATGTTATCAAGCACTCCGTTTATGCAGAGTAGTAACTGGGCTCGTCCCTGTGACCTGACTTGTGATTTGACTCGAGATTGAAACAAAATTCCCTTCTTCTCATTGTCTTCTCTCCACAGGTTTCTTCAGGCTTGCGAGCTACATTGCCTAGGGCATTTTTGAAGAATCCTTGGTTTTATTACCAGAAATAAATAATAATAATATTTAAATATTCGACTGACTTCAAATTCAAATAATCAAATACTGAATGTTTGAAAATGCACAGCCTAATAGGAGGTGATACATTCTGATGAATAGGCTGTACAAAAAGGAAGAAAAAAGGCAGCCGTTCACATTTCATCATACCTGCCCGGGGAAAACCAGATAAGTTCTTTTCATGCTTTTCAGAGACATGAGTACAACAGAATGATTTCAAGTTCTGCCAAAATGTGTTTAGTGCAGAGATAGCGCCGTTATTAACAGTTTTCTAATGTTGCTTTGAATCATGCATGCATTTAGGAATACAGTAAACTCCGGCTAAACCTGACATCGTACAACTCGTCAAATCACTCAAGTCGGCCGTCTGACTTGAGTCCCGATTGTCTGTAATGCATTTCCATTGAATTTTTTATTTCTAAGACGGCTTTTATAAGCCCCCATTTCGCTCTCAAGTCGTCGTGTTACTCTGGGTCCCCTTCCCATAAAAAGCACTACAAAATCCTTTGTGTAATTCGGCATTCAACAAATCACGCATTGGCATCGACTTCCCGTACTGTGGTTGGCAAAGTGTCGAGTGAAAAGTGGTTTCGCACGGCCCGTGATCGCTGCATGCATCGGTGTCGAAAAAGGGTGTCCTACTGCATACATCGCATGCATCGCGAGCATATCAATACCAGTACCCCTCTAGGCTGTATGCATGCGCTCTGCCCATTTTGGGGGTCGTCTTATTGAATGATATGACTACTGCTGCAGTCAATGCGAGCGTGGTATATACTGGACCACGCACACATTTAATTCGTTACTGTGCACGTACATATGTATCATGTCTGGAACATTTAAGACCACGTATCATGGTCTCCACTATCAATACTCTAAACGTGGTGATACAATTCGAGGATTAATTTGCTGGATTCAAGTCAAGCATTAAGGAGATAATCCAGGGTAAATCGAAGCCAATTAGTGCAATGAATCAGGTGTGCAAAAGACCATTCATGTAAGTCGGCAAAATGACGACTTACAGCAGATATCGGCATTCGCGTAAGTCGTCACAAATTCTCGGGTCCCAAGAGTGCCGGTTTAGCCGGAGTTTACTGTAGTATCCTTTTTTAATAGTATTATTTAGAAGGGTCACACGTGCATGGAGCGTTTTCATTTGAAAAGGCTAGAGAAATGGAATGAAACATATTTTTGTGTAGGCCTGCCTGCCCTATAAAAAAGGAAGTTCCCACAAGTGTGGTTTATTTCAGGTTGAACTAGTAAAAGTTCAGCTGATTGTCAAGAAAGGTTTGAGGTTTTCAGGAAAGCTTTCCGAGCGCTTACAATTGCCGCATTCAGAGATAAAAATTAGTATCGCTCTATAATGATTGGTCAAAAATACCATCTAGGTATCTATGGTGATAATGAGGCATGCAGGTATATATATATATAAATATTCATGGACTGGAAGGGGTAGAAGGTAGGTAGGCATGCACATCAGTTTTGGATTCGGTCCGTTGATGATGAAAAGGGGTAAAAGTAAAAATTTGCGGACTTTTTGTTTTTGTTCCCCGAGTGAACGGGAAAACAAAAATGTGTCCTCCTGCAGAAGCTACCTTGCTCAAGGGGCACGGCACACAAATTGGCTGCGGTACCTTGCTGCAGGCTGGTCTGGAGGTGGTTGACGATGGCCGTCAGGATGGTGGACAGCGCCATCGTTTGGGAGCACTGGGCCAGGCCTAAGGTGAAGAGCTCACTCCAGCACTTCTGGACCATGGTCACGTTGGATTCAGGGCTGCATGGTCAACATGGGAGGAGAGGACAGAAGTCATGAGTTGAACAGTAGATGACGTTCGTGACCACTCACGGGAACTCAATGGGAAGGGCAAACTGCATGCACTGCTTCACATGCACATAGCACAAAGTACACACGATTAATTTGATAACCAATGGGCACAAACCTATAGGCTCTGTGCACAAGTACCCCCTCAACGGTAAGAAAGGGAGAGTTGGGGTAGACCACTTGGACAGACATTTGAACGCATTGCAGAAGACACCTTACGCTCACGTGAAGATGCTTTGTGCACATTCAGAATAAGATAAGTCGTGCGTACTTCGCGCCACACGTGCGCGAACCAGTATGCGCACGGGGTGTGTCGCGTCCACGGGGCTCTCGAAGGTGGTAAAAAAGCGCCCTCGAAGGTGGTAAAAAAGCGCCCTCTCTTGTTCTTGCGCGGAGCCCACATCATCTTTTCATGAGTGCCAGGCATAAGGCAGCAATAAGTCTAACCCATTCTCTTTGTAACCAATCAAGGCAGTACTTGTGCACAAAATCCGTAACAACATGAACAATGAAAAATTACAATAAAAGGAAGCAAGCCGCCAGTGGAGGTGTCCACACCATTGCAACTTAAAATGAAACAAGAACAAACAAAAAAGTACCCAAAAAGTATCCCAAAAACCCCCATTAGATATAAAAATGTAGGCTTATGAATGTCTCCAAACGGGCCAACTCACCCCAGTAACTGAAAGGCCTGGATGTTCCTGGCCCAGTGCATAGATAGGAACAGGAGTCGCGAGGCTGATTCACAGATGTAGTGGACGTTGAGGAACTGTGGCATGGGGGAGGGGGTGGTTAGCTTGAACTGCATGTGGCTCTCATTCAGCATGTTGCCGTCCAGTTTGATGTATTGCTGCTCCCCGCTGCCCCCTTGGCTGCTGCCGCCGTTGGCTTGGTCTGACAAACTGGGGAGCAGAAGGCACACGCTCATTCAACTCTAATCCCTCAGGGTATTTTAGGTAGAAACCCTGATGAACACAGCTACATGCAACATTTGTCAAAATGACAAGCCTGCACAGTGCAGCAAGATCCATCAGGTCGGAAATCTCAAGGGTTAAATATGCCTCAGAGTCTGTGGTTGCCAACTGCAGCAGGAAACAACTGTGGCATCATTCAATGGGATTATCTGTCATTGTTACAGAATTGGCCGTTAAAGCTATAGTCCATCATTTGCAGCCATCCGAAAAGTAACTGGCGTAATTATTGTTGAAAAACATACTTAGTTGAAAGATAGTAAGGGAACTAAACTCCCTGTGAAATTATTCTTTCTGGGAAGCTGTCATTTTGAAGTAATCAATGAAAGAAGGCATTTCCAACGGTGATTCTTAAGAAGCACCGTAGGAAAATTTAAATTAGTAGTTCGTTTTGTTATTCAGCGCAGCGCGCGCAAGTATTGGAACGACGCACACGCGCGCGCGGTTGTTATAATTCGTCGGATCAGTGCGCGACGTCGCGTATAGCTGCAATTCAAAACATGATTCAGTAACTTTTGATTTGAAATTGAGATCTTAGAATGCTGTTTTTTCTCGGAATGTACAGCTGAAGCTTAGCTGAAACTTTATCAGGTTAGTTGCTTAGTATCCTTTATTAGATTTTGAACTCTTTTGTTGCTTCAAACGAACAAAATGCACAAATTACAAATGATGGACTATAGCTTTAAGGCACTGGCGTTGATGGCTCAATGCAGCAAGGTCCCACAGACTTATACACCTGATGCACTGTGTTGCGTCTAGCAGGGTTAAAAGTTAAGGTATAGATTGTGGCTTCGAGTCCCAACTGAGCAACCTTGTGAGTTTTTTACTCACAGGATCTTGGACAATGCTATGTATACAGTGCTCACAACTTATACCAGTAAGGGCGAGACCAATTCCAAACAGCTCCAAATATAGGTAATATCCAAAAATCATCAATTGACTGATCGTTGGAAATAAAGAGTTCTATTGACCAAATCGTGTTTCGTGATCAAAAGGTTGTGAATTTTTTTTTTTTTTTTTTTACTGTTTTCTCAAAACGTGTACTATCCACTGAGCTGAAACTTCAACAGGTTAGGTTTTGAACGTTCTTCTTTAGATTTTGAGTGGTGTTATTATTGGCAACGAACAAAATGCATGAAAAACGAAAGATCCTTTATGCCTTTAAGAACTGACCTGATTTCAAGGGCCGAGCTTCCGTCCCCGCCTTCCCCTCCAGGAGCGAGTGCTTTGGCAAGTGTGTCGAAGGCCTTAGAGATCTGGTTGGGTGTCTGGTTCAGTTGGTTCAGACCCTGCTGGGCTGACGAGTCCCCATTTGATACCATCTATAGCCAGACAAAGAGGTGGGAAAATCAGTTACTGGAAATGTAAGGGGGAACCTGCATTTCTTTGCCCTCTCTACTCTGAAAGCCAGGGTCCTATCCTGAAAATGTTGAAAAGTAACCTGATTTTTTTTCACGCCATTTTTACTAGGAATCCTTGAAAATAAAATCTCCATTTGGCATAAAACTAAAAGCACATACTTCAAGGGGCATCAAGACCCATGTAAAAATACAGTGGCTGGGTTGTGCTTTTCTTGATCCCTAAACATTTCTTCTTTTACTCTCTGGTGGATTTTGAAAGATATGGTAAGACTTTACCTGTTTTTTTTTTTCTTCTTTTTTTAAGGTTCATCACATGAGGAGATCAGTGTTTTTCAATGAATGAGCCATGTGGTGCGAATACTGAATAATAAATATTACCCAACTGTATAGAAATGTCTGATATCCTTAAGCTGCTTTTGAGTTACATGCCCTTAAACAGATCTTGTACGATTGAAATCACCAGGAACTGTCAATTTTGTTCACCCATGTGATGTTCACATGCATCAAAATCTCAAACTATGTGATGAATCAAAATAAATAGCTGAGTGTGCTTTTTCTAATGCATATGGGGAAATGTCCTTTACATCTGTTTCAGGCTGGAATTCCAGAGTCTCACAGAATCAAATAGAATAAGGAGTGACTCGGGTTGAACTGAAAGGATTTTGGTTTTGAGAGCTGCAGACTTAATGGATTAATGTTCCATTGTCCAGACTCAGGAGTGGTTCCAAAGACTGCAGCACTCGATATTTACGACATAGTCACTCCCATCTGTTTCAAACCTTGAAAATTCCACATATTTAATTAAAATATTTGGAAATAAGTTGATATGCCACTTTGAAAAGGTGGTCGCAAAGACTAGCAACCTACCGTTTGGCCGTCCCCAGCTTGCCCCGCCTCGCCGGCCTTGTTCATGTTAGCCAGCGACGTGACCACACTGGCCAGGGTGCTCAGGTCCGTGGTGGTGTCGGTCGAGGCCACTGAGACCACAGTGGGGTTCTGTACATTCAGCAAGAGGCCCTCCTCAAAGAGCTTGGTCTTCTGCATGGGGATGGTCGGACTCCTGTCTGCAGCTGGGACAGCAAGAAAAATAATGGAGTGAGAAATGTGATCAAGTCACTCAAAAGTCAAATCATTAAGTTGAGTCACAGGTAACAGGAGATGCAGGAGCAGTAGAGAGTATCGACAACCAGATGAATCAAATCCAGTCTTGAGAATCTCGGCTCTTGGACCCAAAAATATTCTGAGCGCACCTCATGCAGACATGCATACTTCGTGCGTGAGGTATGCTTAGAATTCCTCGGGTCCCAGTGTTGGGATTTCAGAGACTGGATTTGATTTATATTATTGATAACCACCTTTACTATTGGAAGCAAGATATACATTGGAGGGACCCCCCTCCTCCTTTGTGTTGGTGATCGGGAATTCTTTTGAGATATCTTTGGGGGGGGGGGGTGTGTGTTAGGTAACAACAGTCTAGAGTGTGTATAGTGTATAGGGACACTGGGTGGTACTCCTGTGTCTCAAACTGCGCACGGTATAACCTTTATTGCCAAGGACCGGCTGTCTTTGGGGAACATAAATTAATTCAGTCTTGGGCTGAGATTGAACTATCTACTGCTCAGGCATGCGACTGGGACATTAAAAAAAAGGAGTGGTGGGATTTATATCCCGATTTTTAAAATTTTGGTTCATATTTCAAATGTCAATTTTTTATGTGTGGACACACAGGCTAACAAAAACAACTGGAACAACCCTAATTTTCTCAGTGGACTCTGATGGTAACTGCATTTACTTGCTAGTGGACGACAATGGTCGTCTTGGTGTATGAATAGCTTGCCCATTCAACTTATCAGAGAGTTCCTACCCATTTTGTCAACATTACAGCTCTGGAGTGTTTTTTTTTGTAAAGGCCGAATGGTCATTGAATCCTGGAAACTTACTACACCCAGTCATTGGGAGGGCATTGCATGCGACACCTCTCTGGCATGTTGGTGAGCTGAATAGGAACTTCCTGTGAAACCCGATAACCGTTATTTGGTTTGCAAACAATTAGGCCAAGTGATTTTGAAATCTCTTAGTGCTTTTAAATTTTGAATGGCATGAGTGTGAAGTGAAAAATGAGGAAATCAGCAGATCCGAGGAAAAGTTGCATGCCTGACTAAATTGAGCTGTTGTAGTTAGACACCTACTTGTGATGAATGTGGGCGTGGCTGCCAGCGGGCTCCGGATGTCCTTCCGGATGTAGATCTTCTCCGTGGAGGCGGCGCAGTTCCCCGGCGACTTCTCTCCACGAGCCTTGAGCGGTGTCCGTTCACACTGCACTACTGGGGGAAGGAAGAGTCCCAAGAAAGTGACCACATTTCAAACTGAGTGAACTTGTTTTACACTATCCAACCCGTTATTATCCCGGTTATTTTTCACTTTCACCGCATTATTCCCAACACCAGAAAATTGAAAATTGAAAATAGAATATCCTAAAATTGACCTCTTTCCACAAAGAAAATTCTGGGTCATGTCCTTTTAAAACTAGATTTCTTAATCATCTAATTAAAGACTTAGTGGTAGATAAGAAAGAAACATGTTGTACACCAAGATCTTGTGATAATTTCCAGAATTAGTTTAAAGTTCCAGCAGGTTAGAAAAATGAGTAGCGAGAGTAAGTTTTAATCCCCAAATCATTTAAATACAGCCCTCTCTCCAACTTAACTTGATTAATTAAAAGTAACAAACCTTTTTTTCAAAAGGCAGGTATTACATACAATGTGCATTTAAATAGTATCAGCAAGATTGTTAGCAATTCTCCACTAGCACTGAACCGACAAATAATATCAACTGCGCGTGCGTGTGTGCGTCATGTCAACACTTGCACGCACCCATTCACGGATTTTGCCCGATTACAAACGAACTACTTATGGACATTTTCCAAAAATGTGTCACTTGACACATCTTTGGAAATGATACATTCTTTTATTGTTTTCAGCATGCCAGAAGGAGTAATTTCTCAGGGAGTTTAGTGTCATTGCTATCTTTAAACCAAGTAAACTTTTTAACAATTATTTGGTCTGTTACCGTTTTGATTGCTTTAAATGATCTGCTCTACCTTGAAGGCACTATGGTTTCAAAAGTCAATTGGGTCAATGGAAAATAAATGCATGAAGTTTGCCCTTCTGACAACAAAGACTAACTGGGTTGACTAGAGTCACTCCTTAATACTTCTTGGTTGGACCCGAATCTGGAATGTTAGTCGGAACGGGCCGATTTACGATGTAAAGAAAGTATTTGCTCAGCGAGTAATGGTTACCAGCCAAAAAGACATGCAGTGTATATTGCTCCAGACTGGTTACCAGCCGATTTTTGCTCATAAATTTGCTAAGTAGTACTTCTAAGGCTTTCAAGCAGACCCAGGTGAAAAAGTAGAACAGTTGGATCAAAACTTAATTTAAAAAACAGGACAAAAGTAGGACTTTGGAGTAGTTTTCATTGATACACGTCCATCATAAGCCTCATTTGGCATGTTCTGTACTCACAACACTTGTGCTCCATCCTCAACTAAGCTCTTGGAAGTACAGTTGCAGTACTCCTGCGCCCAAGCCCTTCATTGTGTGATTAACATATGACAGTGTGTAACACTATGCCGAAAGATTTTCAATGAGATTTCATTTTTCGGAGTTGTGGGACAAAAAAGCAGGATTGTCAAGAAAAAAGAAGGAAAGTAGGGGCAAAGTAAACAAAAAACTAGGAGAAATTAGGAAAAAGTAGGAAAACTTGAAAGCTTGGTTTCTGCTTAAACGCTCCATGAAGGCATGAGTGTTTAAAGGTGGGCAATCTTTTGTCAAGACAGGGTTACGGTGCCCAATTTCACGGCGCTGCTAACCACAAAAATTTGCTTAGCACAAAAATAGCCTGGCTTATAAAAGTAGGTTAGCCAGCTAAAACTCTATGTGATTTTCATGCTAAGCAAACAAAAGCTGAATAGTTATCACGAACAATATACATAACGTGAGTTTTGGCTGGTAACCTGCTTTTATATGCCAGACTATTTTTGTGCTAAGCAATTTTTTGTGCTTAGCAGCGCCGTGAAATTGGGCCCACGTCTTGCTCTTCCAGCCCAATTTCACCGTACTCACATTCCGATTTCATCCCCACCAGCAGGCACTTCTGCAGCCGACAGAACTGGCAGCGGTTGCGATGGTGCTTGTTGATCGGGCAGTCCTTGTTGCCCCGGCAAGTGTAGCAAAGCGTCTTGCGGATGCTGCGCTTGAAGAAACCCTTGCAGCCCTCACAGCTTATGGCTCCGTAATGGCGACCTAAAGGATGATAATGGAGACACAGACAAATCAGAAGCATCCAGAGCTGTAGTCTAGTCCATTACAAGCCCATCACAACGGGAATCACAAGTCAGTGCACAAGTATCTAGGGAAGACATATGACACGGGAACACCTTTGCTAAAGGAACACCTTTCTTCTAGTTCATTTGGTTAGCTTGTGATTTTGCCTGAGGCGGAATTACTTGTGATTGACTTGTGATGGCTTGTGATGGCTGTGATGACTTGTGATGACTTGTTATGGCTTATGATTGCTTGTGATGGCTTGTGATTGGCTTGTGATGGCTTGTTATGGCTTGTGATGGCTTTGATGGACTTGTGATGGACTTGTGATGGCTGTGATGGCTTATGATGGCTTGTGATTGTTGTGATGGCTTGTGGTGACTTATGATGGTTGTGATAACTTGTGATGGCTTGTGAGGCTTATGATTGGTTGTGATGGTTGTGATTGACTTCTTGTGGCTCTGATTGACTTGTTATGGCTGTGATGGCTGGTGATAGTTTGTGGTGGCTGTGATGACTTGATTATATCTCTGAATGGATCATTGCCATTCTGGAAGAGTGTTTCAATGAGTCTGCTCTTAATGAGATAACCTCCCTTTCGGCACCATATTCCACAAATGCTCATTATAGCTTAACACTTACAGTAGGCTATAGACAAATTTAATTCACAGAGGGGGGAGGGGTAGGGGGTCCGTGAGTGTACAGTGATGCAGTGGCTGGATTGGTGTATACCTGATGCGTTGTCGCCGCACACCATGCAAGGTTCAATGGGACGCTGCGGTGTCTTGCGATCCACGCCCATCGTCTTGAGGGCCATCTCATCAATGGTGGCCTGGGGGTCTACTTTCACCAGCTGCTCCACTGTGTGTTGGTTGATCTGCACCTGCTGCACCTGTAAACGCAAACAAACAAAAACGAAAACAATGGACTTGTCTGTTTGACACACACATTTATGAGGAGTCTGGTATCAATTCTATGCTGAACTGGAGTAGTTACTACTGGCAATCGATTCCTCACAACACATGGGGTCACGATTCCGACTTACAAGTATGGAATATGAAATTGATTGTACCGGAATTCACAATCGAATCGAAGTCTATGTCATGGAAGCCTTTATGTCCAAAACCAAATGAAGAACCTGGACAATTAAATTTAGCGCTCGCATTACAGGATTTGAAGTTCCCACAGCGGGAGTTCCTCAAGCCAAGGGCCTAAAAATCTCCAGAACACTAAGCCAGAGACAAAGCTGAGATTTGAAAACTAAGCAACAGTGCAAGGTTCCAAATGCCAAAGTTGCCAGACTGGATTATACTCATCTTGTCGATAGCGTCCTCTACCAAAGCAATGGATTAACCAAGCTTGTCATCAGGGACTGGCTTCATTAGGGAAATAAAATCCAAATCAAGTCTTGGTACTACACTATCCCCTAATTAGTTTCCTACCTTGTAGGTGTCAATCTGTACCGGTTGGCCTGGTAGCTGGCCGACTGTTTGTCCCTGGACCATGTGACCAGGCATCTTGACTACCTGCTGGACCGAGCCTGGCGGCATCTGATGTACAATGTGTTGGACAAACTGTGGGGAAACCTGAGAAATGAAAGGGGGGTGGGGAGGACAATAGTAACAGAAGAAACTTCACAATCCAACAAGGTGTTTGGAGGAATTAGCAATATTAGGAAGGTAGAGTCTAGCCACAATTTCCTGTTATAGGACTTGATGCCCATTAGTTTTATAATAAGGAAACGCCATTGGTTTGCTTCACAGTGAAGGATTTTAGAGGGGCTCAGGAAGGCTCCAAGCGTAGCTGCCTGGGGAGAAATTTGGCAAAGATTTCACGAATGGGTAGCAATTTCTCGTATACAATAATTCCTAAGTATGATTTAAATGAAAAAAAAATACAAACACACGATTTTCTTCAATATCTGCACAAACTACTCTATTCCTCAGTGTTGACAACACTTTGCTTAGTTTCCCGTACTAACTGCAACACTGTGTCATTTACCTGTTGAACTTCGTGAACTTCATGTATCTGATTGGCCTGGGAAACCTGTCAACACACAGAAAGGAACTCACGAATCAGCACAACATTTGGGAGAGTTCACACGGAACTGTTCACCACTCAAACACGAATCCCCAGCATAAATGTCAACACAGCTGTTAGCTTCCCTGCTATTATTTCCCAACATCTACAATATACACAAAAAATATATTTGACATTAATTATGCTTGAGTGCTTTTGCTCATATTCCTGGAAATGAGATCATTTATGATGTAGAATTTTTTATTGATGAGCAATGCAGATTGTCAACAAATTAAAGAGCCTTAAAACTCAGTGTCATTTTCACAGCCTACTGTAGCCGTCAATGCAAAGAATTCCATAAGCTTGCAAGATTTCGCATTTGTGGTGATGAAACTGTTACGCCCTAACTATGGCATCGATCCCAACTGTAGTTGGGACCATCCGGACGCGTCCCAACTGTAGTTCATCAGTTGGGTCGGCCCAACTGTAGTTATGACGCTCGCTGCGTGGCACTGGATGAATCGTATGTCATGGATGAATCGGCCACCATGAACAGAGCTCAGAGCTCAGTGTCACGGTTGGGAATGTTTTATACATGTATAATTGTACCATGGAGCTATCAGCAACATAAACTATAGTTTGGACTGCAAAATAAAAAGCTTGGAGTGGCCCAACTATATAGATGGGCCCCATCAATAGCTAATTTCAATGGTCCCAAGTAAAGTCAGACGTTTATCAGAGCTGTAGGGAATGTTTTATAGTTGTACTTTTGCCATGTAACCCTCAATCCTCCAAATTCCTCCACTATGGCAAAGAGGATTTTGAAGGATTCAGGGTGGTTAGGGTTAATGGAATCGATTCTTAAAAAGGATTGGGAAACCTCCCCAATGTATGACGCATTTCAAAGTGGATCATTTATTTCCTGATAAGTAACCCCACCCCCAATCCCCTCTGAAATGTGACATTCATATCTTTGAGTTTTTGAGTGTCTGGAAATCACATTTCTAGCTACTAAAATTGGCTACTACAGAGCTAGAGACTTTGATACTAAAATTGATTCACAAATCCTACTTTTGAATTAAGATTCCTAAGCCTGCTTTTTTTGGGGGGGGGGACGGGGGTGGGGTTCCGTACTGTCATTTATAAAAATTGCATCTCGAGGCACTAATATTGGCCACTACAAGCATCAAATATTCAAAATGAGTCACAATTCCAGTTCTTAGTTCGGAATTAATTCAAATAGTTCTGTTTCAATTTTTTTTGGGGGGGGGGGGAGGGGTGTGCTGTTATTTTCTTACAAAAGCAATTCATGTTCTTCAGTATGTACCTGTTCAATGACCTGCTGTACTTCATGACCGCTGTTCTGAGGAACCTGAAAGGATTAAAAACAAAAATTCCATCCATTTCCCTTTGCACTGAAAAACACTAGTCATTTATGATATACACAAAGTCCAACAGCTTGCTACATGTGTACATTACAATGCATGAAATATGCATGCATAATGCTTGCCTGCAGCAAATAAAGGTCACATTAAATGCGGCTACATGTACATGTTCATGATGATATCAGGAACGCAATGTTGCAATCAATTTATACTGTAGTTTGTACTGGAAGTACACACCAGACACCACCACATAACAGTGACATGAGAGCTGATGACCACATTATTCATGCTCCTGGGGTATACATACGTTTTTGTGCACAGTAAGCACTAAGCGGTAATGTTGTTGAAATTTTTAAAATGTTGAGTATTTCACTGAAACTTATTATCGTCTATTATTCTTGCTTTCAAATCCATTGAATTCACACATAAATACAAGGTTCCAGTTAAAATAACAAAAAAAAGTCAACTGAAATTAATTGTAACATAATAACCTTCCAACACACCTCCTACAGCTGAAATTTTCTCGTACACTATTTTACCAGCGCACAGAACACTGAATTGGAAAACACCAGAGGGAAACACCAGATGTTCTACGACAAGATATTGTGTCAAAATACAACTGCCAAATTTCTTTTAAAGCCTTACTAATATTTCACTCGTTTCCCATGGCTTATCTTTTTGGACGTTTCACAACTGCTGTATGTTAAATTTGCTCAATACAATTTGACATATTTTTGTCCCATGAAATCTGGGTAATTGGGTAGTTACGGGCCCCCCTTTCATTTAAGTCCTTCCAGTGTGTTTATCATAAAAAAATGAATTCTGTAACTTATAAAGGCACTCTTCTTTTAATTCTAATGACCCTATTTAGTATTTGAACAGTATCTTTTGGTTGAAAATGTGATTTTCTTATGCATTTTTCAGTTGATGCCATACATAATTATCACGGTTTTCCATACTGTGCACATGCTTCGGCATTGCCATCTTTGTATATTTGTGTTGCTTTTGTCATCATCATTGTTGCTTTACCCCTAAATGACCCCAAAATAAAATTTAAAAAATCGAAACCTGAGTTCTACCCACAACATTCTCGTTGGCTTCAAACATTGAAAACTGGTTTGGTGACTTCATTACCCTTAACAAGCATGACAAGTGGTTTTCGTTCTCGGAATGCATCCCGTAAATGTAACTACACAATCGCTGATATCTGTGTCCCACAAACATTCCCACAATCATCAGCTTTGATCGTTTTCTTGTTTTGGATGCTTGGGGATGAAAGTATAATGGCATACACTGTACCAGGGGTGATCAACCCCATGATACTGATATAAAAGTCTCCATTAAGATTTTTCTCGGGGGATTATTTTCGTTCTAACTCACCTGCTCCATGTACATGACACCTTGCAGCTGATTCTCATGTGGGACCTTTGGACAGGAAACACAGACATGTTATTGCATTCACTGCAGGGCCCTCCACAAATTAAATGGCTTGGAAAACCCACCAGGGGATAATAAGTAGACTTCATCAGTACTACAGTGACAATTTATATGAATATTTATATGAAATATATAAGAACTGGGTCATTCCTGTTATTTTGAAAAGCACACAACACAGCGTTTTAAGGGTTTGTTCACAGTTAAAACTATTGTCAAGTACTGAAGACCGGAACTCCACAAAGACCATGAAGACCGAACTCCACAAAAGCTCAAAAGTTCAGTTGCGGAGAAGTATGTTTATCCCCAATAGGCCCATCGGTTTGGGTATTAACCAGGGTTTGACTTCAGCGGTAGCCCGCTAGCCAAATGCTAGTCAAAACAGTGGCAGGCTAGTCAAACTATTTCTTATTAAAGTAGCCTGGCTGGCGAGTCAAAACTTATCGGGCTTCGGCAAAGATGAAAGGATAGGAAAAATAAATCGTTCAATTCAGAAAGTAAACCTGTAGGCCTATCAATTTGTGTCTAATTTCATAAATTGTTTAGGGTTAAATTATTAGATCTGTTTATTAAAAACACTGACAAGATTGCCTCAGGATACACGTTGCACATTGTTGTTTATGAGACACGCCATAAAAGAAAAACATGCGGGCTAGTGAAAATGCCCGTGGGCTAGTTGAGAGTCTGTTTCAGTGGCCCGGCTGGCTAGTGAAAAAAAAAGTTAAGGTCCAACCCTGTACATGTATTAGCTGAAGGGATCTTAACAACTTCCTCAAAATCTTAAGTCATAAACATTGCTGATAATTATTACTCCACTGCAGAAAATGATGTTTTGTTGTTTAGAATCCCGTTACTAAAACCTGAAAAAAATAGCCCCATTGCGGCATAAATCTTTCATGAAATGACTCCTTACACTGTGTGAAAATCTAATGGGGTTATGGAATAGCAAGAAAACACAAGCAAAAGATAGAAACAAGCCGGACTGACTACAGGTAGCTGATGGTCATCAAAGTCTTAAAAATGCTTGCAAATTAAAAATAAACACGACCAAAAGTAAACCGACAAATTGAAAGGGCAAAAGTAAAAAAGATCCGTCATTCTACAAACTCTGGTGATGTACTTGTACAATCATCTATGCATGCAACTGCTGTTTCATGTTTGTCTTTTTTGTTTGTTTACCTCTTCTGTGACTGTTTCCTGTATCATCTGGTGTTCCACAACCTCCATGACAGGCTCCTCTTCTACCTCCTGACTGACTGGTGTGCTCTCCATGGCGACTGGCCAGAAGATGTCTTCACCTCGCTAGACGAAGGGATGGGTGCCCTACGACCCAACAAGTCTGCAAAGTCCAAGATGCAGGGGAAATATTTCATCAGAACAATTGATGGAAATTTCCTTAGGAACTTTCTTGCATTCTGCATTGCCTGTGGCACCGTTTACTATTACGAGGGCATTAAGTCCCCTGCATGAAATAGTTCCAGGGCTGACATGCTTTTTGAAATCTCACATCCTCCCAACCCTCCTAGTGGACTTTGGAGGATCTTAGATGGCAGGGGTAATAATAATCTTCCTTTTGGGTCTCCACTGAAAATATTATGTTAAAGCTTGCGATTGTACCTTATTAGTCACATGTGGTTCCAAAGATTCATCTTGTAATATTTTCCCTGCCTACATGTACATGTACAATGTATGCATCACTGTGACTTGTCATGTACATGTCTTGGCTTTTGTCAGGGCATGAGGCAACTTCCCCCAATTTGACATTACTATTTCTTTGAAATAAACGGTGTAGTTCTCAGGTACATTGTCGGATTTGTCAAGAAGTAGGCCTACATCGCACTCTTTTCTAGACGAACATGTAAATTAGGGAGGATTTAACAGTTAGGGTGGATAATATGAAATTTCCATGAAGTTTTTTGATTGTGTAGCAAAAAAACACCTATTAGAAAGGACTAGAGTGACTGCATTAGTTTGCCATTTGGTTGGTTTAAGAGTAAAGGTCAAAAGTCAAGTATGCATATGACCTCTGCTTTGGTAAATTGTGCACACACACTAAATGGCCTATGGAAAAAAGGTCAACCTATCAATATAACCTTTACAATTTGACCCGACGCTCCATCCATGCCCCCCAAACACGCCAAATTTGCATATGAATGTACATTTGATGGCTTTGTCTGATTTCTATAAAAGCTCCAAATGTAAGAGCGCTGGCCCTCTTGACAAATGCTCCAATGGGACTCAACGTGACAAAGGTTGAAATCATTTTTCACGGTATAGGGGAAAAAACCACAGCTGCACTACTAGTACATGTGTATCTGGTAAAATTTGCATTAATAATGGTCACTGCAAAAGTGCAAAGGTACAAGTAACGAGTCATGCTTTTTTCGGTCAAAGAGAAGATGTTGACTGGAATGAACATTTCCAAATCAAGCCAAATTTAAATTTGCCAAAATCAATCTTTCTATTAAAAACATACAAATGTCTTTGTTCAACTTTGGATTTTTATAATTGAAAAATAATTTGTGTGTTTAACATAATAACAGTGAAATGATGGAACTGAAAAATTGGTTTAAAGCATTTTGGAGACCATTTCTCCTCTCAAAACCAGTTTTATTTTCAGGAACAGAACTGAACTCAAAAGAGATTGACATTTCTCATGACATATAACCAAACCTCATTTTTTTTTAATAGTTCGTTCGAAAAAGTACATGTGAGCCTTCAGATTGGACAAAATGTAAAATTTAAATTTGAGTAAGCAAAACATTTTATGCAAGGGAGGAATATTTCTGCCAGTGCCACCCCAATGAACAAATATATTTTCGCCTACTGCACAAAAGAAATAACAAATGCACCCTGCACTTGGAAATGACACAATTCTTTGAACTACGGCATTTCAAAGGTTCATGTACTGGCAAAGTGAAAGGTCACGTACGCAATCCAATACACTAATACAGCACACAACACAGTGATGGCGACCCTTAGGGTCGCGAAGCATTATGCATGAAAAACATGTGTGACACAGCAGCGCATAACAGGAACTTTGTCTTTAAATTGTACATGTATACATGTAGGATAAACAGTTAACAGGAATTCATGAGATTTTAATATTTTTGCACATTGTGCACATTTGTAGAATTTGGTTTCATTAAAATCAAGTATTTTTTTCATGTATGATATTTACAAACATTTGTGAAAACGTTTCCTATAGGCCTATATTTAAATTTTTAAATTGAAAGGTAGATGACAGCATTAATCAAAATATGACCTCTTTTATTTTAATTTCAGGAAATCATACACACCATTTTCGACCATAAAACTCTGCAAGAAAATCTTTTTCCAAAACTTTTCAGCTTCTAGGAAGGTTATGTACATGTATATATATGTACATTGTAGCTTGGCAATTTATAATCTTCATCATGTCATCACATTTGCCGGTCCAGCGTGACAACACCAAACAAACCAAACAAGAGGTTAAAAATTGCAACACACACCCCCTTCATTAAAGGATGAATTCTCCTGCGAATCTGATTGGCTAAAAGTTGGAAGGAAGCTGGGACAAGTCTGTGCCAAAATTATGACTGTCTTTTCTTTCTTTCTTTTTTGATTTAAAAAAAAATAAATAATTGACTCCCAGTTTATGGTCCCTAAGAGTTGTTTCCAGCAAACACCGAGCATTTCTGAAGATGGGCCTATATCAACGTGAGTTCAAAGATCAGGAGATTCTGGGTAATCAAATACATACATGTACAGCTATTGACTAGCATGCGTGGCATAACACAGCTACATACATACAAGTACATGTAGCTGATGTGTTTTGTCTGTGAACATGGTGAACATTCAACACTAGAAATATTTTTAGAGGTAAATAATCATGTTTAAGAGTTAATTACACATCTAATTCCACTAATTAAAGATGTTCTCTCCATATTTTTTAAAATTTCACCCAGACAAAAACTGCTTTACACAAATATAAGTGAAAAAAAAAAATTCAAATCGCCTATATGTAGTTTAATATCGAGTTCACAAATCTTTTGCGGCCGACAATCGCTCATTTCTCACAGAGTAGACTGGTTCCCACCCCTATCATTCTGTAGGGATAGGGAACCAATCTACCTGAAGGCAGGATCTGTTTGGTTGCCAAAAAAAAACAAAAAAAAAACCAACACCCAAAAATAGAAGCCCAAGAAGCTTGAAGAGGGCTAAAATATAACAGAACTAAAAGTTGTCTTCTTTAATATAAATTGAATTAAAAAACCTGATTGATAAGGAGGAAAAAAACACAGTTCATCTTTCAAGACTCTTGTACATGTATATGTATCAACAAGCAGCATTTCAAGGTAACAGCCACATTAGTGGATTATTCTTGGAGTAAATATTTCCATTTTTTTCATCTGCCTCGGAAATTTGAAATCGATGCGAATGAATCTTCTGGATGGAAATACAATGTATAATTTCAGAATACGTTGCCTAAGCCTAAAATAAGGCCTTGTCAATAATAACCGATTTATAGCATTATTCCTGTTACAGACAATAGCCCTCTTTAAATTGATGGTGTTTGTCATGACACTGAACTTTAAGGAAATGAAACTAAATACATGCAATGGACAAATATGAAACGACTCCAGAGAAATGGAGACAATGCATCAATTTGGCATTTCTGCTTTAAAACCAGCAATACTCAATGGTAAATTCTACAGAGTTCAAATTTTAACAAAATAAAAAATATTATTTTACTACCTGTAAATTTACCACAAATTACACATTCTCCTCTGTCTGAACTAAAGAAAATATTATAATTGTAGCAACTTTTCTCTTAAGTTATTGTATGTTTTCTGAATTTGTTTAAAAAGGTTTTATCTGATACTAAAACCCAAGCATTGTTTATACATTAGCATCGTTCTTTTTCAAAATACAAATTCAACTGCGTGTTGTTTTCCAGTATTTTAAAACTAAAATGTCAACTATCGAATGGTTTATAATAATAATATAGATCAAAAATATAATGCAAAATGAAACTTAAAAAAAATCCATCTTTTTTTTTCTGTCCATAAATTAATGTTCATTATGTGACAGTCTGCGAAAAAAATTCAACATCTGCTATCATGGACACATAATAACTGCAGTTGTATAAATATCGCCGCTCGTCGGATACGATTGGAAGATGTTTGCACACGTCACCGACGTTCACAGCCTGCGTCACACACATAGCCAATTCAGAAAGACAGAGAGAGAAAAAAAAAAGCCTTTGAAAAGCTATCGCAGGGCGGGGGTCAAAAGTTCACGGAAAAATGCGATCGTCGCTTTCCCATTGGCAGCTGCATGCCTGGGCTTTGTAGGCTGTTTGCCAGGTCATGCATATGATTGACCTCAGCAGCAAGTTTCCTGCAGACCTACATGTACATGTACATGTACACAGTCATGTGTGTGTGTGCAAGGCTTAATCTATACATGTACGTATACATTACACATGAAGGCTTACAACAATGTACATGTACATGTACATGTGTGGATTACTGAACATGTACATGTGTGGATTACGATGAAAGTCTCATTGCTCACTTTTTGTAAATGTCAATATGAATTTCATGTCTGTGTTGTCGTTTTTTTATTTAAAAGCCAATGCCTCGTGTGTGTGTGCGTGTTATAAATTAACTACAGTTTCCTGAACTGGCTGGACGACATTGCAATGAATTGAATGAAATTGGCGAGGGCTTTGTAACCTTTGGATGGCAGGAAGCACAAGTGAAGTGTGTTTTCTGTTTTCATTAAGAAGAAAAAACATGAGGCAAATTGGAAGTGCAAGTGTATTTAGACCAAAGTTATTAAATTTGTCTTATTAGTCTGGTATAGCCTAAATCAATCAGATTAAAAACAATGACTGGACAGTACATGTGAAATTGAAAATACATGTATAACAAATTGTGTTAATGCTTTTAAATTAATATGAATGATTATTAGAAAGATTTACATGAATTCTTGACAAGCATATGTACATATGTATGTTGAATTCTCAAAAGTTCTTTATTTTTCTCAATAAAAATATATATTTTTAGTCTGTAAATTGATTACTTAGATGCATAATTCATTTACATTTGCTTAATTTCATTTTTCAAACTACATGTTTTCTTTGGAGCATCTAGTTTGTTCCTTGAATTTACAAAATGAAATTGATCCTCACAACACTCTACCATTTCCTCAAAATTGATCTCCAATTACTCCCCTCTCCAGTAAAATGCAAATTAGCACATTGCACATTCCCATTGATGGAGAAAATCCTTTGTCGCATTGCAATTTTGTTGTTGTAACATTGTAACATTTGTTATAGTTTTGTTTTTTTGTTCACAAGCTTTTTCTATAAGATTTTAGGCTTTGCATGGTGGAGTATCAGTATCGTTTCCGTTTGCGGTAACGCCATGTGGTAATAACTACTGTCACTCAGTAGATATTTAGTTCTGATAAGAACTTGTCCTGCTTATTATCAACTTTTGCTAAATAGTTTTAGTTCTGATAAGGACATTTCTGCTTTATTCTAAAAGAACTTGTCTTTGGTCTCAACGTTTCAACTAGCCTGCTCTAGTCATCGTCAGGAGACTGAGGAGAGTTAGAGATGCTACTCCTTAACTAAGGCTGTGTTAGGATTGGGAGTGCTTGTATTGGTAGATTCTGACACAATTTTTTTCTACTTCAAATTAATTTAACTTTGATGATTTATATAAGCACTATTGAAAATGTTGTTTTCAAAATTATTTGGGCAGATTTTATTTCATGTACATGTGCATGTACTTCAACATTGAGTTCAATCTTGCAACAACAAAAAAAATGTTTCCCAATACTGTGTATTTACCTGTGACTTGAATTGAAATACAGGGGAAAACATGCTCCAATTCAGTTCCAGTACATGTACTCAGAATGTGTCACATGTTTACTGCACAGTGTAAGAAGATTTTGGCAGATTGAGAAACTTTCCTGCAAATATGCTCAATTTAGCACTTCTAGACATGTCAACATTACAACCCTCACAATTGTTAGCGAGCACAAATTAGGGAAAATAAAATGTCAAATGAACTTTAAAAAAATGTGTTTAGTAAAGGCTCTGAAAGTTTTTAGTAAAGGCTCTGAGAATTTAAAACTAACACGTATAGTGGTGGCAATCACATGGGACAAATTCCAAACCATATGAAAATTACCAGCAGCTCATGAATATAAATATATCTTATCATTTTTATGATGATGTGAACAAATTAATTTACATTATTCTTCTTAAGAAAAAAAATCAAAATGCTAAAATACTACAAAGTACCAGCATGAATGGAATTTTGGCACCAGCAGGTATTAAACACTAGGCTACAAACCATGACAACCCGTTTTATTTTTCTTCTACTAAAATTTTTTAGTTCATGGTGAGTTGCAAAAAGAGAAATATTAGTCATGGCAGTACTTTTAGGACTATTAATATTATAGTCTAAGCTGTTATTTAACAAAACTAGCATGACTAGGGTGGAATTGCTAGGTCCTGAAAGCGTCCTGACAATGTCTGAAGACAATTTTGCCATAGTTTGCTGAATTTAAATGATTTTAAAAATATACATTTAGAGCACAGAATTTATTATTTGAAGTTTTCTACCAATGCGGTTGCACAGGCATAACAGGACCAAACCACTGTTTCAAAAACAAAAGTCAAACCATTGGGCTGCAATTAATTGAGCGCGAACGACAAACACAAAAGCAACAGACCCATCTTGCTGAATTACAGGCCTGCAACCGCACCCATTTTCCCGCGAACGGCAAAAACCCTTTCCGTGTGCGGAAGCCAGAAATCGACATCTTGCGTATTTTGACATCAGAAACAAGCCCTGAATATCCCAATTTTGACCCAACGGAAGCGGATATTCGCAGGGCAAAACATGAGGGGGTAGGCCGGCAGTAAATGCGGGGTCTCCAGGCTCCTGTCTTAGCCAAACGAGGGGTCATTTTGGTGCACAAAGCGTGCCGCTTCCCGCACAAAGGTCAACATGTCAAAGTTAAAATGGAAAAGGACATGGAACAACAACAAATCGTCTGGACACGTTTCCCCCCGTCAAATCATTTACAGTTTGCTGGATGTATAAATACAGATTTACAGAGTGAATTTAATGGTGGTTTCGCTGTGAGTGTGCGGTTTACGTTCCACTAATTCGGACGAAGAAATGACAGTCTATGGGCGCGAAAAAAGGCGAGACTCTTCGTCTTCATCAGTAAGCCAATACAGCGAACACAAAAACGTAACCACGCTGCGTGCATGCAACGACGCGACGCGGCGACATATGCCTTTCAAAACCCGCAAGAATTCTCGCTTTTCCGGTGACTAATCGCGGCAGATCTTTCACAAAATGAAAAAGTAGTGCATAAAGAACGTTAATATTTTGCAAAGAATCACAAAACTTACCTTTTGGAGGCAAAATTTGGCAAAAACAACGGCAGAAATGTGAATTAAAAGGTCAGAGTTCGTGACCTTCTTTGAAGCCTGAAATTTTTTGCAGCGGAACAAAATTTCGGCTGCGCATTAAAATTTGCATGGCTAAGCCATAATGATAGCTGATTGGGCGGTGATGACGTCATGGCTGGCAGACGCACTTGGCTATATTTTGATTGGTGCACCCGACTGGAAACGGACGTTTATGTTAATTTCTAGTGACAAATATTCATGTGCGTGCAATATTTCACACAAAAGGAGCCTTTTTACAATAGTTTTGCACCCTTCCCCTGTTCTGCATTTAAAAAAAAGTCTGAGTATCAAATTTTGACGATACGCAACCTATTGGTCGAAAACCCAAAATTTGAATGAAAGAAATGACTAGGATAAAAAAAAAAGAAAAAAAAGTAAATCAGAAGCATGAAGATATGAAACATATTGTTACAAAATTATTACACATCAAGAATTAATGACAAGCAATTTTCAAAAGCTTCAATTCAACCTAGCCAATACGTTTTTTAATCATTTGATATCGGAATTATTCAAATGATAGTGCGTGTTTCACTCGCTAGTACTTTTATTATAATTATTCTAAAGACCCCGCCCTAAATTCCAGTACTTTCGATATTATCAACTGGTTTCCATGGCAATAATAACCCTGTCAACCACTACGTTTCTAACTGATACGACTTTTCCCATGAAGATTGGATTAGCCGTGTTAGGTTTTCGGTTCGCATTTTTTAGTGGGCATTTAGCTTTCAGTTTTTTGCTTCTAAATATTTTGAACATGCTAATGAAATATCCTGGTGGCGCCCTTCATCACCCGCGGTCCGATGTATGGTTCAGCGTAGCGCAGCCCACTTCTGGTAATCGAGGGTAATTAAAGTATGACTTTCTTAACGCAGATTTCAAAGAAAGAATGAATAACATTCAAACAAATGAGATCGCATCAATCATTTGGGGAGGGGGGGGGTCTCCCTTTTCAAAGATGGGGGCGGGTATCCTTTATTCCCACCCACTGGGGGAATGAACTGAATTTTTGAACCGAACTATTTTTGAAAGGGACGTATCTATGGGTTGCAGCTAGTATGTTGTCTTTGAAACTCCACTGATCGTATCTACTTAAGTACATTATGCGGAACACCCCCAGTGACGTGATACGTGCACGCTGTTCTTCCGAGCTAAAATTTCTTCATGGTTTTTATTCAGCCACTTTCCAAAGACCCCGGTGTTATTTCAAGCCTTAGCCAAGTGAAAAGTAGCCTTTTTTTGGAAATATGTTATTATTGTTATATTATAGGGTACCGAGTTCTGATCTGGTGGGCACTGGTACATTGTATCCTTTTTCAAAAGCTATGGTTCCAGTCCACTCTCCCCTCTCCCAATCCCCCAGAGGGCGCTCAACAACTATGGAATGAGGGGGGGGGGGGGGGGGGGGGGGGGGGGAGGAGGGGGGGGGGGTGTTGTTTGGGGAAAAAAATAATTCGCAGCCCGGCCGGCCCACGTATTTTTTTTCTGCAGCCCACTTCGTATTTCAACCAATCACATCACGCTGGATGGAAGACACTCATCGTAGTGTTTTCCCTTGAAAGTTATCCCAACCAACAAAATCATTTGATGAAAACGGACACGGGTTCGAACCACAGACCCATCATTCATTCCATCAGGCGCATCAATCGCATCAAAAATTGGACTCTATATGCTCTGGTGGTCACGGTGATCTGAGGCAAAAGTGACCACTTTCCTGGCATGCTTTATCCAATATTTTATAAGCAAAAGATAATAGTTTTAACATCATTGACTCAGCTATTCTGAGTTTATGTAGGCCTGGGGTCCGGGTTCGGGGCCCGAACTAGACCAATGGGGCGACGAAAGCCGTTCTTTGAAATGCTTGAATGACTAGATATTGGTGCTTGCATGCAGGGGCAACAGTGGCGTGGGTTCGAGCCCGCGGGCCAGTGGACGACACTTGTGCCCTTGAGCAAGGCACTTAACCATTATTGCTTCGTCCTTCGGATCGGGACGTAAAGCCGTAGGTCCCGTGTGTTGTATAATGCATGTAAAAAAGAACCCAGCGACAATTTGCTAAGAGAATTAAAAGGGGTTTGCCCCGGTGTTTCTGGCAGTTATCTTAATTCATATGAGGCTGCAAGGAAGGGGAAGGACAGGTCTCAAGTTGGTGTGATATTCTTAAGTGAATTTTACCGACTCAACCACAACCAAGCCAGAACCAGACGTCATGGTTTTTATTTATGAATAAGCATCGAACTAGCTGAATAATCATGATCCATTGACGAAGTGTGCTGCAAATAAAAACCCCGGGGCCAGACCCTGTCCACGCACAACATATAGAGGGCGCTATTTCAAAACAACGGCCACGGTACACGCGTGCAACACTTCCTGAATCCTGGCCGTGTGGTAAAGTGTGGTTGTTTTTGTCATCAAGATCACCAAATAAATGCCATAATCACCAGTACTATTTAAGACTGATTTGAAGGTGTACTGTCAACTCAAGTGTTTTTTTTTTATTAAAAAGGTAGGTTGGGAATCATCAGTAGATGTGTAAAGCCAGGCCTGACCCTGAACCTGCCCCAACCAACTTACCATGGCATAGGTGGGGGCCGGGGGGGAGGGGGGGGGGGGGGGAAACGTCTAACTCAACTGTTTGTTTGTTAACTTGTTTTAATGTTATTTTAGTTTCAGATCCCCAAAAGCTACACACTCACCTTCAATTTGTGTGTGAAAATGTGTGCACGTTGCAAGCGTTACCATGGTTACCTGCGCAGATTATGGAGGTTCGAGGATACAACATTTGCTTTTGGCGTAATTTTCAGAAACGGATTTTGGGGGTTAAATTTTTGGCGATCCTGTAGTAGGGCCCCTGTTTTGTTTCGATCAAACTAGAATCAAATATTTTTTTTATATCTAAAAAATGACATTGTCAACCTAAGGCTATAGCAGACTTCTCTAAATGTAATGACACCTTTTTGGTAATTTTTGAACCTTTTTTTTTTTGGTGTAAAATTTACAATTTTACACCATGGTTTGTGCCGTGCAGCGCGACTTGCGTGCTCACGGTACATCGTGCGGTGTTTGCCACCTTTATTTTCGTGTTGTGTTTTGTCGCTGTCATTAGCGTCATTTTACCCCCAAATTTCCCTCAAAAATTCAAAACCCTGCCCTTAATCTATGACATACCATATGTCGCCAACTAGTTTGGTTGGTCAAATAATTTAAAAGTGGATTTTGTTCCCTTTTAGGAACCGGGCCCGTATATACACGATCGCCAAATTTGAACTTACTTGTTTGAAGTTTTCTGTTAGAAGATGCTGGAAAAACCAAGGAAAACATTCATGTTCCTGCAGTCTGGTTCCCTGACCCCAAATTAAGATGAAACAGAGCAATTTAAGACGTCAGGGATTGTAAGGTCAGGGATTCAGTCTCGCCAGCTGGCTTGTACCAGTTCATAGGTGTGTAATCGATTGCACACAAAATGCAGCATAACTAAATGTGGTCAATTGGGGGCAGTATTTGAAGAAAAAAAACCCATTTTTTTTCTAACGCTGGTCGGCCAACCAGCGTACGAAATTGATACAAAAATACCATTTTTCTTTAAAATGACAGCATACCAGGTGCCATGATTTTACAGGATGCTTAAGACTGTCATTCACCATGTTCACTAACAGTAACAGTCCAGTAAGGTATTTCATAACGAAGTGGCTATCGTTACGGCACTCGTTGTTTAGCGCCCTCTACGATATTTTTTTGGTACGCACGCAGGTATATAATTATTTGTTTCCACACGTTTTATCGAGCAGTGCGCCAGCTCAGCCGATAGAGGGTAGGATTTTGCACCGCGAGGTTGCGGGTTCGGATCTCAGTTTTGCACTCAACTTTTTTTCCTTTTCTAACCTGAGGCTTTGGAGGATTTTTTTTAAAAGGGAAATAAAGTCCGAATTTCATAAAGTTCAAATTCACTTTTTTCCTTCTAATTTTATATTTTCTTGTCATGTTTTTTATAAAAGTTGCCAGGTTGCAGTCTACCGTAACGATAGAAAATGGGAAATGCATTACGGCTGCCGTAACAATAGCCACTGCGATTTCATAATGATGTGGTAGTTTTGTTTTTTGATGTTTGCAAATGTTGTATTCCCTTTAAGACCCATCTATCGACCAGGTTCAGGTTTACATATGTATGAATATGAGTGACCTGTTGACGGTAGGCCTATGTGTTTTTATTCCTTCATGGCCTATCCGAAGTGTAGCGTGACCAAACTTAACAAAAAATAACTGAAGATGTTGAAAGCAACAGTACTAAAAATATGGAGAGGGCAGTATTTTAATTTTGAAGGAAACTACGGACAATGACAACGAATGAATGATGATAATTAGTGCGAAAATTTAGAAACCAATTAGGCCTAATGCTGCAAATGGTGCAATGCCAATGTTGGGCGCTTTCGATTTATGTGCGCCATCAGTCGATCGCGTTGTGCTATCAGTCGATCATGACGCTATCGGTCGATTCCGCTGCCACCTTTTCCACCGCGAACACCTTTTCTTTCCAATTCACAATTCTGGAGGATTTTTAAAAAAAGTGATTAAAGTCCGAGAATTAAAGTGATTAAAGTCCCTACAGAATCGACCCATCATGGAACCTGATCGACTGACCACGCAGATTTACCGATTTCGCCCTACACCCATGTCAGTGAAAAGGCACTTTTATGTTTTGGGACTTACTTAAACATTTGGCGATGATACAAGCTGGAAAAGCCACCTTATGTGTTTGGAATTACCTAAATAGATCGCTAAGATACCATGTTGAATATCAGCAAGCTTAATTTTGTTGAAAGGGGGCAGGGTTTTGATTTATGAGGGAAATTGCGGGGTAAAACTTGCACAGGCAGAAAATAGTCTGAACTACTGTGACTTGCATGCCTGTAACTGCTAAAATAGCTGAGAAAGTTTCTTTTTCTTCAAAAGTACTTATCAAAATTTCAGAAAACATGAGTTAATCTGAAGAGAAATGACTACGTGAGGCTGCAAAAGTCATTTTGGAATTGACCGTCACCTGCAAAAGTCATTTTCAAACGGAAATTGTAAAAATGGAGGTGTCCTAAACTACATGATTAGTGGTGTATGCATTACATTCTCTGTACTTAATTAAACCATAAAACTTAACCTGTACACTTTCTTTTTTCCATTTCCTATCAGAGACAAAGATCCAAGATATGAACGTACCACACTGTCGGCAAGCGTTTCTCACAACATGCCTGCTTCTGCACTTGGTGCTGTACAACATTCCGACCAGCCACTCAAGCCCCAGTGTAGAAACAGCGGAAATCAACGTCGATCACATTCCGCTAGATTCCCAAATTGTAAACCCACTTCGGCAAGAGGGCGCTAGACAAGAGACGACAGTGAGTGGGACGGGTGACGGGGCTCGTTTCAGTGATCCCAACCTCCATCCCGAACACTACCGTTACTACTTCAACAGACGGCCGGATGAGGCCGAGGCCTGTAGGTTAGATCCAACATGCCCTTATAAGGTGAGAGGAATATTATGAATGGGATTGTTACACCACAACTTTTGCATTGAACCAACTTGAATTGAGGCAATCCTAACTATGGCTGTGTGCGAATTACATGGCTACGGCTTGAAATTACACACAGGTCTATGAGAGGTGGCTGCAGCCGCTGCAATAGAGGCGTATATAATCAAAGCCGTAGCCAAGTATTTTGGATACTAACCAAAATCTAAGCAAAATCTGGGGGGTTGGGGGAGGGGGGGGGGGGGGGCAAAAGTGACAAAAATCTCTTTTTTGAGTGGAACAAAAAGTGCTTTTTACTGACATTAACATAGCACAAACATTACGATATTCTCTGAAACTTAAAGCAACCATCTGTAATTTCAAAACTGTAACCTGTAACTGTTTTCATATTTTTCACCTTTTTGTTATTGACCAGGAAAGTTTGGATACATCTGCATGTTGGGGGTACGAGAAAGGCTGCACACCTGATAGGATGTCGGGATATCCCAAGGCATACACATTTCAAAGAAAATGGTAAGAAACATTTTGAAAGGACAAGATGAAACTCATTCTCATGTAGATAAATGAGATAATCATACTGGCTGATTGTGGGTGTGTGCGGGTTTCTTTTCGCATTCAGTAAGGGGACGTTGAAAAATTTCCGATAATTTGATGATCGTGTACAAAACATATGGGTGGTCTGCCTAAAGAGTTTTAAGTACAAACAAAAGAGGGACAATATCGAGTCCACGATTGAGGGTGTTTTTGTTTTTTGATTGTGTGTGATTAAGCCAGAGAAATAAGGGAGACGACTGCTTTAACATTTGATTTCAGCACTTGAAGGTAGATGAGAAAAAATGGACCATAAACTCTGTGGAACTCCCGAAAATGAAGTTGAATTATATTGTGATTTTAGTACATTGTTGACATTATGTTAAAACTATAAAGTGACAATATGCAGGGATAGAGAAACATCATATGCTGAGCTTGTACACACATACTGGAATTTGTATCCTTGTGAAGTCATTGCTTTGTTCTCGTGTACTAAAACTTTAGGGTTTGAAAGTGTAGTTTCAAAATGCTCCTATTCTAACCAGAATGAATTTCCTGGGCTGAAATTCGGACTTATTATCCCTTACATAAAATACTTCAATTTGTGATCAACACCCCTTGGAAATTCCTAGGTGTTGAGTAAAATCCATATCCATTTCGTGATAACCTTGTGGAGACGTATTCACCCATAGAAATTGCCCTGTGGAGACGTACATGTCTTGTTCCCTATTATGTCTCCACAGGGTACCGTGTACCAAATCACTGAACTTGTAGTGTTTGTATTTAGAGTTTCCGGTAATTTGTCTTGTAATGTGGAAATGAAACAAAGTCAATTTCCTCTTATTATAGTTTCATATCTTGTTTTATGTCAATCGAAACAAAGAATAACACTAGGGAACTAGAATTGTGTAAATAAAGATTTGACGTGCATGGGTACATATGAATTTAACATCCCATGACTGCAGTACCAGCCCATAATACAAACCTTGCAACTTTTTCACTTTTCTTTCCTGTTGCCTTTGATGACCAGCGTATACACACTGTATAAGCCACACGTTATTTACTAACATGACCTCTCCAGGGAAATGCCTCAGTGGCTCTCTTTGTAGCTTAACAATACTGTCAGAAGTGTGGCTTTTGTTGAGGTTTTCCATGAATATGATGAAAGCTGTTGTGAGCTGGGATGAACTGTTCCATTGACGGGTACCACACAGAATTCACCTTGAACTCTTTATCCAAATCCATATCCATTTCGTGATAACCTTGTGGAGACGTATTCACCCATAGAAATTGCCCTGTGGAGACGTACATGTCTTGTTCCCTATTATGTCTCCACAGGGTACCGTGTACCAAATCACTGAACTTGTAGTGTTTGTATTTAGAGTTTCCGGTAATTTGTCTTGTAATGTGGAAATGAAACAAAGTCAATTTCCTCTTATTATAGTTTCATATCTTGTTTTATGTCAATCGAAACAAAGAATAACACTAGGGAACTAGAATTGTGTAAATAAAGATTTGACGTGCATGGGTACATATGAATTTAACATCCCATGACTGCAGTACCAGCCCATAATACAAACCTTGCAACTTTTTCACTTTTCTTTCCTGTTGCCTTTGATGACCAGCGTATACACACTGTATAAGCCACACGTTATTTACTAACATGACCTCTCCAGGGAAATGCCTCAGTGGCTCTCTTTGTAGCTTAACAATACTGTCAGAAGTGTGGCTTTTGTTGAGGTTTTCCATGAATATGATGAAAGCTGTTGTGAGCTGGGATGAACTGTTCCATTGACGGGTACCACACAGAATTCACCTTGAACTCTTTTTTAAAAAATTCTAATAAAGACCAAAAAAGAATAATAGTTCTGCTTCCAGTAACCCTACCTACCCTTTTTTAACAACCCTAATTTTTGGGGGGAAAAATGAGGGAAAAAACCTGAAAACCATTAAATTTTAATTGCTACCTTTAACCCTTTGACTACACGCAGACACCTCCATATGATCGTACACACAAAAAATAAAATCCATATTACCTACCTTAATTTTCAAATGCCATGTAATTTGAAGCAGAATGTCTTTTTTTTTGGCCTAATTTAGAAAATATTTCGAACTCAAGCACAAGTAATATTTTGTTGAAATCATTTTGTGAAGATTTTTTTTCATCAAGTTTCTAATCGAGTTGTGTTTACTGTTGTTCTTCCTCCATGGTAGAAAATAAGAACCATGGGAGGAAGGAACACAGGCACTTGAGATGGAGAATGTTTCAGAGCAAATGTTTATGGCAGTACATTGGTAAAAATATGTCTTGTGCATGAAATGTACAAGACATATTTTTACCTAGTATTAAACATCATATGTAGGTTGCAAAGCCTTTTTTTTTACCAAATCAAAATCTTTTGACTCATGCAGGGCTCTTTTACAGTTTAACACCAACTGCAAAATCCTGAATCACTTTGTTGCCAATTCCAAAGTTGTTAGTTTGTATTTTTCTTATTGTACAGAACAGGGGATTTCTCTTTAACTTTTGAGTTTTTTTTAAATAAATTTTTTTTAATTTTTTTTCTACTAAAAATGAATACACAAAAGGTCTACTGAGCACTCACAGCGCATATCCTCGTGATGACTGCAGTGCAAAGAATCTGTGTTATTTTATTTTTGTCCACCAAGCTTCCGATTTACAGTCCCAAGGACAGTAATTCATTTGACAAGTTTACCTATGACACCCTCTTAAGCAAAAACATGATAAAAAGCAGGCAATTTGACATGTCAGTGGCAATTTTACCACCCAATTATTTATTTCTGGTCTTACAGACACCACAGATAAGTTGCACACGGGGTATGTATTGTTTGGTTAGAATTATAGATAGGTTTCCCACGGTGGTGTGAAACACGCCGTGGGCTTGAGATGCTTATGTTGGTGGGTTGGTGGGTGGGTGGGTTGGTTGGTACCGGTAGACACTTCACTCGACCATATATTGTATTCATACAGCTCAAGTATTACAGCTTTGCAATTGAAGACCGGTTTTGCAAACACTGTTGCGCATTCGTCTAATTTGCATACTTTGTGCATATTAGATCACGCCCCATTTCTTTTTATTATCTGTATTCTTGAGGTACCGGAATGACCCGGGTGCCGTATAGCCGTCTTCACACGTTACCCGGCCTCGCTGCTACCTGGCCCCTTTATCGGTGGTCCCCCCTCCCCCCTTGGGATATTTCAAAAAAAAATTGGTGGGAGGGGGTGGGAGGATAAAGTAAATTACATGTAGCTATGAAATTGGGCATGCATAGTTTTGGAACAAAGTTGATTTTCTTTTGGTAAAAATAAAAACCTTTCCCTCATCAGTTGGGTTCACAAATTTTTCTTTGTAGCTAAAAGAAGCTCTGTTCCGTGTTCTTTTGAGGTTTATAATTCAAGAAGGATTTGCTTTCTTAACACATTTTAGTAACAATTCTCGGCATTCCCTCGCATAGTTGCAATGGGAAAAGACCTAGACAATACCTCTAAACAATAGTTGCAGATGTGGCCTTATAAGACCGGTTGATATTTTACGTGAATACGAAACCGAGGTGACTTTGACGTCAGGAAACATTCGCTATACGAGTTCACAGCAAGAGTACTGGTCGCGATGTCACAAATTTGCGTTCGCGTTTGCTTTTGTAACGAGAACCAGTCTTTTTGGGCCGTGTCAATGTTACAATAAGAGATAAATGTATACCTTGATGTTTCCGCCAGGTTTCACTCTGAGCAGGCCCAGGTCAAACAGTTTTGGATCGACAACGATTTTGGCTACATCAAGAAAATCTTAGATGATGGATGGTATGCAATGTGTACCCCTAAAACACAGGTATGAATGTATGTATGTATGTACGTGTATGTATTGTAGAACGTAAAGGGACGCTTTCTCCATTGGCAGTAGTGACAGACTGACTTGAGTGTGTGATATAAACAATTGCGTAACGGCTCAAGACGGCCCATGTGGCCAGGCCATTGCAGAATTGAGGAATTAGGGAGGGGGGGGGGGGGGGAGGGGGAGGGGGGACTGGGGTTGGCTATCCTGTTTGACATGGATAGGATTCCGACACTTGGTGGGGCTATTCATAGTGGCATATTTGTGCAGATGGTGACTCGTTTACTGACCAAAATGAGATTTGAGCTAGTCATGGTCCATCCTACCCAATGATGCCCGCTAAGCCAGCTTTTCATGTTTTTATTTGTCAAAAATCTAGGACAAGAATGTCAGACACTGCCTCAATTTCGCCCATTTCGCTCAAGGATGTGTCAATTGTGATATCAATTAAATATCTTCAATGCCATCCTTTCCAGTTCAATTTTTAAAACTGACCCCAATTTCACTCACACCCCTATTTCAGAATGGATCATCCCTGTCTTGTGTTGACAACGCCCACTCCTGTGTTGCCAAGAATCTGTGGTTGAGTCTACCTGACTTTCAAGACCATACCAAACATAGGGGCAGGTAAGGCATGAGACATTTCAGTCATAATGTGACTAGAATCATTTGCTTTTCTTGTATCTTGTTAGTTGTCAATATAGTCCAGCGGATATGTGACAAAATATGGATGAATTGTGCACTTTCGCATAAAAGCGTGAAACTTGGCAGAAATGTTCATATTCATGCCAGAAAAAGTTTTAGACGTGGAGCCATCGCAAATTTACCCTTTTAAGGGCGTGGCATCCATTTTAAAAAAGGGGGCGGGACTTGTCGTGCCCGAAGTGAAACTATTGTTCCCACTTGTCACAAAAGCAGGAAACTTCACAAAGACATAATTATATAGATTATAAGTGTTTTCCAGATTCGGAGCCACCACAAAAGTACCTTTTTGGGGGCGTGGCAGCCATTTAAAAAAGGGGGGGGGGTAAATTATTTTGCCCACCTCAGAAAATATTGTACCCATATTTCATAAACGAATCAAGCATCCCACAGACGTTTATGTTCATGAGAAAAAAAATTCCAGATGTGGAGCCATCTTGAACATACCCATTTAGGGGCGTGGCAACCATATCAGGAAAAAAGGGGCGGGGTTTTCATTATGCCCACCATGGAAATATTGTTTCCACATTCACAGAGAAAAGGAACTTTCCACAGACATTGACATTCATGAGAAAAAAAATTCAAGATGTAGAGCCATCGCGAATTCACCCTTTTAGGGGTGTGGCAGCCATATTGAAAAAAGGGGACGGGGCTCTCATTATGCCCAACATGGGAAAAATGTGCCCAAATCTCATAAACGAATGAAGCTAATTCCCACTGACATCAATATTCATCAGAAAAAAAATTCAGACGTGTTACATGTTACATCTGACATCTATGATTTTATAATTCTGATGTACACCAGTTAAAGGACCCCAAAATTAGTGCCTATTTGTTCAAATATAAAACTTTTAGACATCCCTATTTGGTAAATATTTTTTGAAAAGTGCACTTCCTTAAACTTTTAAAATTGTCTATAGATGCCTTTCCGGACAATTGAGGGCACTGTAGCTGTGATGTCATTTCAGGAAGACACTGTTCACATTGTGAACCCGAAATTTGCTCATTGAGAACATTTGTGTAAACAATTCGCTCATTGGCTTACTGGCATGTACTGAAACAACAACAAATCAACAAAGAAAAGAAAATGTACGACAGCAAAATATCCAAAATTCAGGCAACTTTTGGTGCTGAACTAGCTGTAACATTGGGGTTTCTGCCTGAAATGACATCACACTTTTGCTCATGAATATGGAAAAAGCATTAGCATAAAAACACAAAAGGCACTAAAATACCCTTGAAAATGGCAAAAATAAAAATTGAAAATAAGCTTAAATGGAACACAAAGGTAGCTTTTCAAGGATTGCATTGAAAAAAAATGACATAGCATGGGCCCTTTTTTTAAGAGCAACTTTGTAGTTTCAAACAGAAAAAAAAATTGCACAAAAAGCGACTGATTTTTTACCTTGTCTTTTGAAGGCTTGACCCTCAGCATTTTGGTTCCCCGGGCAACGTTGGCGGCCACTGCAATCTGAACAAAGAACTGCTGAAGAAACACTCGAAACACTTATCAGAGCTGCAGTCATGGTAAGCGAAGTCAGAAATGAAATTGAACAAAAACAGCTTATTATTTTCCCTGATTTTGTTTTGTTTTGGAGAGAAAAGCGGCTGGAAATGGTTCAACCGAAATCTGGAAGAAAATAGGGGGGAGGGGCTTGAACTAGTTCCTAAATACATTGTATTTGTACATTGATTGTATTTGCACGTGTCCGATTACATAATTTTGGTAAACACATCAAGGGTAATAAACATGCAGGCGGTTTGGAAGTTCACATATTGTTTACATTTGCTGGGCAAAGAATGGGCTATGTCCACCATGCATGAAGTACAAGGGCGCTTACATAGTGAATTTTTTCCCAATGCTCCTGGTAATTGAGACTCGTGAGTACTTTATTCTTCTGGGTGCCAAAGGGTTAACCATAAATTAACTACTTTCTGTAGATTTCTCAATGTGATGAAAATGATAGAGCAATTAATTTTGTCTTTACTTCATATGTGTAGTAGGAGTGAGATTTGTCAGGATTTGTTGTCAGAAGTTTTCCTGATCTCAGGTTTTATTTAAAAGAATCACTTTTGAAATCTGAAATCCCTGAGGTTTTACCAAAAAGGTGTTTTGCCTATGAACATTTGTATGTAGAACAAAAGAATGGATATTAAGAGGGGTCAGGTTGGCGTACTGGGACCTTTCCTCGCCTTCCACCGCTGTGACCCGGGTTCGATTCCTGCCTGGGCCAATATGTGGATTGGGTTTTCAGTCCCTGCCTGATTCTGTGGGTTTTGCTCAGAATGTTCTTCTGGGGTTTTCCTCCCACATCTAAAACTGTTATTTCTTCACATTGTCTGGGAAATCAGTGGATTCCACTGTATGTGCTACCCTGTTAAAATAAGAATGAAATAAAAACATTAATAAATAAAGGGATGCCTTTAGGTAAGTACAAACATATAACATAGACCCTACGTTGCTCTGGGGCCTTGGTAACCCTAAAACCCTCGGCTAACTGTTTCTTGGGTTTTTCACTTTTCACCCAATCTCACCCCTGGATTTAGGTACGGTGAATTGCGAGAGTTCACTTCATTGAAATCCGATCCATTCATGACGTCTAGCTGTGATGTCGTCATAGAGGGGCGGGCCTACCTCATGAAGTTGGATGCCGGTGAGAAACATGATTACTTTTATAATTTGACTCCGGTTAATGACATTCAACATGCCACTTACTACCAAAGTGTACTGTAGTCTTTAATTGTGCATAATGAGGCATTGGGACACGGAAAAAGCAAGCGACGACTCACTGTGGGAAATCAGGTCACACAATAATAACAGCACTTACGGAAGACGAAAGTGCCACTCAATATGTCTGAATACATGTTTTTGTACGTGTGAAAATATTTTTTTTGTACAGCGGCCGCCACTTATTATGTGGCGGCCGCTGTACAAAAAAACTATTTTCACACGTACAAAAAAAAATATTCAGACTTATTGAGTGGCACTATCCGTCTTCCGTATAGCACTCGTGTTTGAAGCAGCATTATTTAAAAGATACATGTACCTGTGCGACATGAATAAAAAAAAACCCACTCATTTTGTACCCTAAAATTCCTATGTGTGATCATTGCACGAATACTGCAAATTTTTCAAGTAAAGTTGTGTGCATGTTTAAATTCTACTTTTTAGTGATCTTTCCAACCATTATGATTTTGTTTCTAACAATGTTGAGACCTCTAAAGGACGCATTCTGGTCGAATTTGAAGATTTCGACTTGACATTTGTGTTTTGTTTTTTTCATTTATCTATGCAGGAATTAACTTGTTCCATCATTTCTGTGACTTTGTCAACTTGTACATCACCCAGCACCTCATGAATGATTTCTCCTTGAACTCCACCATCGTGATGTGGGACATGGTATGCTATACTTGATTTTGCAAAAACATTTATAAAATTAAGATGGACCTGAAGTTTGTAATAAAAACACTCATCCTTCCTTTGAATAATTTCTTCATTCCTTTCTCTTAAAATATATCCTTTAAAAGTCAATGTGCCTCCTTTTTACCCCTCAGCCGAGAGGCTCGAGGGGTATTGTCATCGCCTAGGGCGTCCGTCCGTCCGGATGTATGTCCGTCCGTCCGTCCGTCCGTCCGTCCGGGTAGCTTGGTTTCCGGATGATAACTTGAGTTTAAAATGTCGTTTGGGGTTGTAACTTCGGTAGGGGGTTGCCCTTGGGAGTAGGCAAGTTGGGATTGGTTTTGAGGTCAAAAGGTCAAAGGTCAAGGTCACCGTGGTGAGTTAAAGGTAAATGGTTTCCGGATGATAACTTGAGTTAGAAATGATATTTTGGTGTCTAACTTTGGTAGAGGGTTGCCCTTGGGAGTAGGCAAGTTGGGATTGGTTTTGGGGTCAAAAGGTCAAAGGTCAAGGTCACCATGGTGAGTTAAAGGTAAATGGTTTCCGGATGATAACTTGAGTTAGAAATGAGATTTTGGTGTCTAACTTTGGTAGAGGGTTACCCTTGGGAGTAGGCAAGTTGGGATTGGTTTTGAGGTCAAAAGGTCAAAGGTCAAGGTCACCGTGGTGAGTTAAAGGTAAATGGTTTCCTGATGATAACTTGAGTTAGAAATGAGATTTTGGTGTCTAACTTTGGTAGAGGGTTGCCCTTGGTGTTAGGCAAGTTGGGATTGGTTTTGGGGTCAAAAGGTCAAAGGTCAAGGTCACCATGGTGAGTTAAAGATAAATGGTTACAGGATGATAATTGAGTTAGAAATGAGATTTTGGGGTCTAACTTTTGTAGAGGGTTACTCTTGGGAGTAGGCAAGTTGGGATTGGTTTTGGGGTCACAAGGTCAAAGGTCAAGGTCAGCATGGTGAATTCAAGGTAAATGGTTTCCGGATGATAACTTGAGTTAGAAATAAGATTTTTATGTCTAACTTTGGTAGGGTGTTGCCCTTGGGAGTAGGCAAGTTGGGATTGGTTTTGGGGTCAAAAGGTCAAAGGTCAAGGTCACCGTGGTGAGTTAAATGTTAATGGTTCCCGGATGATAACCTGACTCTGGCTGAGGGGTTTCAACAGCAACGCTGTTATTTTTTATAGACATATTTGGGGTAGACATATCTGGGGTGCGTTTCACTTACGTTTATGTGTTTGCGTTTGCGAACGTGCCAACCCCAAATGGAAGGATAATGTTCTCAAAAAGTGTCGTTGAAATTGCAGCACACTGAAAGCCTATTCTACAAATGTCACAGAGCAGTTATCAGCTTTTAAAAGTCCTCAAAAAATTGATTGTGACAGGAAGTGAAATTATGCCAGTTATGCATGAAATTACCGGCGAACGGCAAATTTCAGTCCGATAGGAACACTACTTTCATTATGTGTGTCGGCCAGTTTTGGGATACCTAGCTTACGACTCGGGAAGACCATTGCTAACATTGCAATCAGTTGGTGCCCCTCTTGCGTAAACGTTGCCAGTGTTGTCAAATAAAATTTGGCCCAAGATGTCAATTTCATGATGCTGCTTAACAGACACCACAATTGTAGTGCTATGGGTTCCGAGCACAAGTACCCCCTCAACGGTAAGAAAAGGAGAGTTGGGGGAGACCACTGGGAGAGACATTTGAACGCATTGCTGGTAAAGCATAAGGCTCACATAATGACGCTATGGATTTTATGCACTTGCAGAAGAAAATAAGTTGTGCGTACTTTGCGCTATACGTGCGTGAACCAGTATGCGCACGTGATGTTTCCCACATGTGCTCTCGAAGTTATACAATCGGTCGCTCTCTTGTCGTGCTGGCAGACAGAACCGCTGTCAGAAATTTGTCATAATCGTAAGCACTGTTTCATGTTGTGTATGTGCTAACAGTTGCACAAACATGGAAATTTCTATTGTATGTCACTTTTAGTTTAGCATTTTCTCCTATAACGTTTGCATGCCTTTTGCTGTGCTTGCTGCTTACGGTCTCGATGAAATAAACCGAGGCTGTGTTGGCAAGTACCTATGTGCTTAGTTGCACCAGGAAATGGCAACCACAATTCTGATTATTCTGTCTTCTCTTTGTCTTCTCTCTGCAGAGCAACATGAGATATATTGATCTCTTTCAGGATACCTGGGCTGCTTTCTCCAATCGTCCCATTGCCAGACTGAACGACTGGAGTGGGAAAAAGGTGTGGGTCTTTAACTGATATTTAACAGAGGCGATTTCCAAACCGCGGCTGCGTCTCAGCTTTGGCGTGAAGAGATTTAAAACCCCTGACTTAGGAGACTCAGGCTCAGGATGTGTCCAGTTTTCTTCTTCAGAACAGATACTTCAAATTTTTTTTAAATGAGGTCAAAGTTTAGTATATTCCTGTTTGGTTTTGGACTTTTAACAGGCTTCTAAGTGGTAATGAAGAAAGATATGAAACCATAGCTGGAGCTGCAGTGGGTGTTTGGAAAAGTTCCTAGTGTTTGGCAGATATGTTTTTAAGAAGATGAACTTGATTCAAGGACAACTTACCACCATGAGACATACATGTGTACATGGTATATAATTCCATACACCGTTGTCTTTTTGTTTATCAGGTATGCTTCCGTGATGCAGTCTGCGCTCTTCCCCCCAGGATGATCCGAGGGTTCTTCTACAACATGCCTGTCATCCCAGATACCTACGGCAGCAGTCTGATGCGATCCTTCTCCCAGCACGTCCTCCATCGACTTGGGATCCAGCAGAAGGGGCCATTGGTGAGTTATCTTACATGTCATCTGGCAGGGTTGTAATGGGTCATATTCTGAGCTTCAGTTGAGTGTTTCAAAGGAAATGGAACTTATTGTCTGAGGCTTGCTTTCCTCATCCATTGATCTGCTCGCCTTCAGAAAAAAAATTCAGTACCTTCTTGTGAATCATTCTGTATTCTGTCATTCTGTTCCAGAAAACTGGGAAAGTACGGGTGACGATTTTGGACAGGAAGGCTGCCCACAGGAATATTGTCAACCAGAAGGAGGTAGGCCTATGGAGAAGTCAGCTCTTTCTAGATTCATTTGTAGTGAAATGTGATCAACAGCAGGCTGAATGAAGAACTTTTCAACCCTTCAGTTTTTTTTTTTCAACAATGCAGTCCAGTGCAGCCAAGCCCTATCACATCCCACCCCAACCCAACCCAACCCAATCCCACCCAAAACAACCCAACCCAACCTATCCCACCCCACCCAACCCACCCTAACCGATCCTGCCCAACCCAACTCAACCCAGCCAAACCCAACCCAACCCAGCCAACCCCAACCCCAACCCAACCCAACCCTACCTAACCCAACCCTACCCTACCCAACCCAACCCAACCCAGCCAAACTCAGCCAAGCCCAACCCCGCCCAACCAAACCCAACCCAACCCAGCCAACCCCAACCCAACCCAACCCAACCCAACCCAACCCTACCCAACCCAACCCAACCCTACTCTACCCAACCCAACCCAACTCAACCCAACCCAACCCAACCCAGCCAAACTCAGCCAAGCCCAACCCCGCCCAACCAAACCCAGCCCAGCCCAGCCCAGCCCAGCCCAGCCCAGCCCAACCCAACCTAACCCAACCCAACCCAACCCAACCCTACCCTACCCAACCCAACCCAACCCAGCCAAACTCAGCCAAGCCCAACCCCGCCCAACCAAACCCAACCCAGCCCATCCTAACCCAACCCAACCCGACCCAACCCAACCCAACCTAACTCAACTTACCCCAACATATCGTACCAATTCAGTTCCAAACCCAACTTTAACCAAACGATATCCTTTATCTTTGAAGGCTCACCTTTGGTGAATAAGAAACTGTGGTATGTATCCCAAGCTATCGGATCAGTGCATGCTACACTGGCACATTCTAAACCCATAGTTTTACATGTCTTCATTGTCTGAACCTTGGACATCACCAAATGATATGCATTTCTGGAGAACATCATTGTTCAAAAACTCACAAGTTATCTTTTTTCCTTTTTAAGTTTTAAGTCCTGTGCTCCCTTCTCATAATCTGTGTTCCTCCATGTTGCAACTTTGATTCATCCTCATGTATACAGCAATCCGGATTTGTACTGGGATGTTTCCATGCCTGAATGCCCGTCACACATGCGTTTGGTATAGCTGTGAACCCATCACTAAAAGGGAGGGCATTTTCGGAAATACCAAAGCGAGCTTTGAAGTGTCCCAGTAAGGAACCAAAAAACCAATTGTTGTGCTGCCCTCACATGAAAAATATCAGGAGGGTCGGTCGGTCGGGGAGTTTTTTTGTTTTGAAAGGCCACTTTAGTTGCCAGTTCCCCTCTACCAACGTACACGAAACGTTTAGGCTCGGCTACATGTACTGCACGTGGCAACTATACTGTGTATATAATGTACAGTGCATGTGCATACATGTACACATGTATACGATGTGTGCAGTAAATCACACCACATGCCCCAGGCGATCGGCCTCAGTTACACTTACAAAAGAAGGTAAATGCGGTAAATACGACCTGTACTACCATTTAGGTATGTACATTTGGTACAAAATGCAAAATTATGGCATAACAAAGAAAGAGTAATGGCAAGGTTGAGGTTTATATGATTTTTTTTTTTTCAAGAGAAAAAAAACCCCAAACGGCTTGGGATTTCCAGATTTTTGGGTCGGTTGGGTATTAAGGACAACACAACAGCTTGAAATTTTTGGCATCATGGTGGAAAGTCAGCCCAGTAAATAAACAAAAATTAAACACCTCGGAGTTCATTTTGTGATGATAGACACACTAAATTTGTTCCACTGGCACTGTCTAACAGTGGTGTAATTTCCTCCTTTGACGGCAACACTCTGTAGAATTAGGAATCCGCTGTTGTAGTGCATGTGTAGGATGGGTGTATGAAGACATTTGTTAACGAGTAATACTCATGTGACCTTTCATCACAAAATGAGCTTAAAGTCAGACTTTTGAAAAAGAATTGAGATATTTATTTATTTGGATTCTGCAGAACAGTAGCTTTCCAATGATATACAACGTTTAGGGGTGCTGAGTTCAGTAACGGAAATATAGACCACCAACTTACTTAAAGTTGTAAAACTGATTCTTGAGAAAATGGCATTTTAAAAATCCTGCAGTTTAGTTATTTAACAGTGAATAAACAGTCAACTCCTGAAACGGGATGACATTTTTTTAAAAGATATTTGACAGAACCAAAAAAATTGAGAAAGGTAAAAGAGGACTTACAGATTGCGGTTAACCTGGAAACAAAACAATTGACCACCCCTTCAAATTTTGGTTTTGCCCCACTGTACTGCAAAATGGCAATTTCTGACTTTAAGCTCATTTTGTGGTAATAGGTCACATACTTTCTTGCTGTGATTGACAAAGTTTCAAATCTGACTTGAAGGAGAAGTGGAATTCATGTACATGTAATAACAGATTTCTTTATCAAGTCTAGGCAGAGATACATACATGTGTATATGTCATATAGGAAACTCGTACCTGTATGTTCTTGGTACCTTGATGTAGCCAGTTCATCTTAGTTCACGGTTTTCTGTGAAACATGGTGTATCACATTCCAGTTATCATATTCTAATTATTGCCCTGCTTGGCATTCCATACATTTCCCATCACCATGCATGTGTAGTGCCAACAAGTCAACCTCAACAAAACCTCATCCCTGAAGTGTACATGTATGTGTTTTTTTTCCCCGTGTCTTTTTTTTTTTTGTAGTTAGTGGAAGCTCTGCGTGAAGATCCTAGCTATGAAGTACAAGTTGTGGTGTACAAGTGAGTTTTTGTCTAATTCTGTTTAATTTGAAGCTTCTTTGCCTCAAAACAATTTCCCCTGAATATTGTGATTGTATTTTTATTAGCTTGGCATTTATCATGTGGTTTGCTTAGCAGGGGTAAAGTTGGCAGTGATGCATGAAAGGACACATATATGCACTTGTTGTTAAATTTGCAAAGAATGTAGTTTCCTGGCGTTCCTTGTTGGTTGTGCACAAAGTCTATGGAGAGTCAAGAAGAATTTCAAAGTATTTTCTAACAAAGTGGGGAATGTTTCTCAGTCCCAGATTCATTTCTTATCATTTTTGCAATAACTGACCTTCATTGAGATGATATATGATGAAAAAAATGGTGCCAGGATGCAACATTCTTAATTTTATATCAAGCCCCAAAGGGGCCAATTGTCAAGAAGTTACTCGGCGAACAATATTTACTAGCTAGTGTTCATTGATCATGGGTCCTGGAGATTCGTCCATGGGCTCCGTGCACAAGTACCCCCTCAATGGTCAGAAAGGGAGAGTTGGGGGAGACCACTGGGAGAGACATTCAAACTACTGCATGCGGCCCAATTTCATAGAGCTGCTTAAGCAGAAAATTTGCTTAAGCACGAAAAAACATTGCTTAGTAAAATTTAGGTTACCGGCCAAAACTCCATGTGATGTACATTGCTTGTGACTGGTATTTAGCTGTTGTTTACTGAGCATAACAATCGCATGGAGTTTTGGCCGGTAACCTGATTTTATTAAGCAAGACGTTTTTGTGCTTAAGCAAATTGGGTGCTTAAGCAGCTCTATGAAATTGGCCCCTGCAGCAGCTGGTCTTTATACAAAGACTGGATAGCGTACAGAAAGCCGCAGAAGAAAGCCATTTGAAGCCATATTGGGGAGACTGGCTGGTGATCTATAAAGGACAATTGTCATCTTTATCTTTATAATATCGTGGTTCACCTGATGTACCGTTTGTCCACCACCACTGACCACTGCTCACAATTTTTCAAACATGGTGGTTTACTTTTTGAATGACCCAGTTCGCTTTTTTGCGTGTAGAATGTTCGTATATCGGCGCCCGTTTTTGAAAGATCATGGACGTGCTGGTCAAAATGCAAATTCAACTGTTTGACTGGTGTATGGGCATCCGCTATCCAGTCTTTATTTAGAGATCAGTGATTGAAACGCATTACTGACCACGCCTGACGCTCACGCGGTGACACCATGGATTTGTGCAGATTCAGAATAAAATTAGTGGTGCGTACTTCGCGGTATATGCAAACGTGAAAAGCAGACGACGTTTTCTTGGTTTATTTTATCAAGTGAAATTCTTATAGTTTTGAAATCTCTTTGTTTTTTCTTCATAGCCATTCCCTGACGTTTTTGCAGCAAATTGAGGTAGGTCACTATATATCGGCATGTGTGTGGTTGTTTGGGATGGCGATTGCTGCAAGTATTGCGGGAATGTTTGCACTGAGAACAGTGAAGATTGTTGATTAAATTCAACATTGTTTATATTTTCTAGATTGAAAACATTGTTTGCCAGATATTAATTGGTTTAATCACACCGTGCAAGTGTGTAGAATATTCATAAGCTCACTGAGTGAAAGACAAACCAACTTTAGACAAAATTATAAATTAATTTATTTTCCCCTTACATGTATGTTTAGATCACTCATAACAGTGACATCTTCATTGGGATGCACGGTGCTGGTCTGACCCACTTGCTCTTCCTCCCAGATTGGGCCGCCATCTTTGAAGTGTAAGTTAAAACAAACAGCAAAAGCTAAAACTTTCCTTTTTGTATCTGTTGTGATTTCAATCAGACCACCCATACTGATTTTCTAGAGATACTGAGCAAAATTATAACAGTTTAAATGTTCAATCAAAATTCAAAATTCCGATGGCTGTTTGAAGTACAGAGTGGCTTGTTCTTAAATAGTTTCCCAACTTTTCCGAGAGAAAAATAGGCTTGTGTCCCATCCGTACATAAACCTTGAGAGTGGTACCTGAAATTGTATTGAAGTGTACAGTTTACCCAGTTGTTGAACATGAATAATTAATGATGACGTCATGATGACGGCAATGTTCGAGGGACAACTGCAGATGCTTGTCTAAGTGTGTGCCGAGTATAAAGGCAATCGGATTGATTTTAGTGGCCAAAGTTTCGGTAACAAAAATACGTGTACAAATGCTATGGGCAAAAATTACTGAAAAAGAAAAAAAAAAAATCTTAACAAAAACAAAGGCTGTTTCGGCTGGTTGCCGAAACAGCCAATAATATTGTGCCTATACATACAAGGCATTGTTTTTTTACCAATGTCCTGAATTTTTTTTAAATATTTCCCCGGTTCAGTACGAGATCAGCATAATCTGGTCTCTACCCTCACAGGCACCCATTTATGGTGGAGGCAGGCAATTATAGTAAAGTGTCTTGCTCAAGAACACAAACACCATGCTCCCCGTTGGGGTTCCAACCCACACACCATCCTATATGTATCTGACACTGCAGCCATTATACAACGGCCATTTTCTCCACTGCAGGTTTTAACGCACCAAGTCTATTGTCCATTCATTTTTTAAAGATATGGTCCATCATTTGTAATTTGTGCATTTTGTTCGTTTGAAGCAACAAAAGTGCTCAAAATCTAATGAAGGATACTGAACAACTAACCTGATGAAGTTTCAGCTCAGCTTCAGCTGTATATTCCGAGAAAAACAGCATTCTAGGATCTCAATTTCAAATCAAAAGTTGCTGAATCATGTTTTGAAGTGGGCCTGAATTCAGCGTCCGAGACACGTTCTCACTGAGTCGGTTGCAGCTATACGCGATACCGCACACTGATCCAACGAATTATAGCAAACCGCACGCGCGTGTGCGTCGTGCCAATGCTTGCGCGTGCTTCGCCGAATAACAAAACGAACTACTAATTTAAATTTTCCTACGGTGCGTCTTAAGACGCACCGTTGGAAAGGCCTTCTTTCGTTGATTACTTGAAAATGACAGCTTGCCAGAAAGAGTAACTTCACAGGGAGTTTAGTCCCCTTAATATCTTTCAACCAAGTATGTTTTTCAACAATAATTACCAGTTACTTTTCGGATGGCTGCAAATGATGGACTCTGGCTTTAATAAATTGAAATTTGCAAGGTGATGCTTTCAGGTTGTTTCATTTAATAGTTTATTCCCTGCCCTGGCCTTGCAGGTGTAACTGTGAGGACAAACACTGCTACGAGGACCTTGCCAATCTCCGAGGGGTTCACTACATGACCTGGGAGAACTACAGCCTTCTCAAGAAACAAAATGAGGTAACTCCTAAAGGAGTTGTAATGAGCCAATGTTGTAACAATTCACTGAACATTGTGACTTGAGTCAAGTGATTCTAAGGCTGTCGAGTTGAGACTAGTTGAGTAAAAATCTGAGGTCGTTTGAGTGACATGCTTGCTCGAGTTGAGTCACCAGACGTCATTTGCTTGCAGTGACATGATTTACCGGCGAGAGATAAATTCATTCACCGAAAAATTTTGACTTGAGTCGGGCTCAAATCATGCCTTGGACTCGAGCCAGTTTAACTGTTTTTGATACATAGTAATAGCCAGACAGATAACATCTTCTCTTGTCATTACGTTTGCGTAAACTTGCTGCTTGTCCTGCCTATCCCACGAAAAGAGTAGAGGCAAAGCACTGTGTTTAATATTCCTTGCACTGCTGTTTGTTTTGTGTGGAGTACTGTGGCCTCGTGGTTAAGGGCACTGATTCGTGGTCTGTGGGTAAAGCTGCAGGTTGAGGGTTCGAGTCCTGGCGGGGTCATGGTGAGTGTGCCCTTGGGCAAGGCGCTTTGTCGCTCATTGCTTCTCTCCACCTAGGAGTAAATGGGTACCTGTGAGGACAGAGATGGTTATTGTGATTGAATTAGCTTCCTTGCGCCTAACAGGCTGCATCGAGCTGTATACTCCCCAGGGAGCTGAGATGGTATTTGGAATGTTTCATGTGCGCAATGAACAGGGGTTATTTTTAGGCCAACAAAAAAAATATTTGGTCTCTGGTCAGACCAAAGTTCCGGAATTGACGCGGCCACGCGGCTTTTTTTTTTTTTTTTTTTTTTTTTCTTCAAGCTTTGATTGTACAGACAAGGTAGGTACTATTTTGCCTTTTTGGTGTCCTCATGTACATTGGTGTCCTCCATAATTTGCCTTGGTGCTTTGGATCATTTGCCTTGGTGCAATTTCCCATTCCTTGGTGCTCTTTGGTAAAAAAAATTGAGGAGGTGCGGAAATAGAGGGCGCTCTTGGAGCTACCGCAGAACATTTTGGAAAAAAAAAGATCGACGCGCATGATTAAAATCGACGCGCGCGCTGACCAGAGACCGACTTATTTTTTGTTTGGCCTAATAATGATGTAGTGCCTTGAGAACCAGTCCTGGTGGATACGTGCGCTTTATAAATATCCACTATTATGATTAATTCATTTTTTGACGATTCATTTCTTTGGCAGGTTCTTCATCCGTCCCTGAAGAAACCTCACCCGAAATTCTGTGACTATTTTTTTGACAAGGACGAGTTTGTACGTCTGGTCAAAAAGGCCCATCTTCACGTCAGTTCTCATGACAGATTCCAGCGAGAGGTAGCCCTACGTGATGAACTTTGACGACCCTTGAGACTGATAATTCTTTTAATTTCTACTTTATTTTACTGTCTTTTTGATATGATATTTGAGAGGTTAAGTGACATGTTTTGCTATACACATATAAGGCAATGCGTTCAGGAAGATTTTCATTCCTGTTCATATACTCAGAAAATAATATGAAACATTGCATTTAATACAATCAGTGTACCTTAGCCGTTTTTAAACAAATGCAAAAACCTAAATAATAAATTATATCCTGAGGTTTAATGAGATATGTTTCTCAAGTCCATGATTGTGACAGATTACGTGAACTCTAATTATACATGTGCATTATTCTCAACCATGTGAGAAATGAAGGTTTTTCTCATTCAATCGGTGTTGCGTACAGCAAGCTAGCAGCAGTGTTGCGTTTGTTGCGCATTGGGGCTTATGTTTTGTGATGTTGACGTGCGCATCCGTGACTCACAGGGTCTACAGGGTGGTGCAAAAAGAAGGAAACCCATTTTTCAAGGCAATTTTATCCTACTGACTTAACTTATTTGAAATTATGGTCTTCAATCGTACATGGCAAAAAAATCTTTAAAAAAATCGCAAGAATAGTTTTGTTATGCTTATTTGAATACAAGTCAACAAAATCACTGTTGTCCACGTGTAAGTCTAGTGTAGTGTTTTTGTCTTCAAATCAAGTTCCGGAGCTCAGTCAAGCAGATGGAATAAAGCCGTCCGTGGACAAACAGGTTTGGCACATGAATTGTATAAAACTACAATATCTCATAGACAAAACATGCATTTGCAATCATTTTTTCGTCACTTATGTTTAAAGATCAATATTTTAATACCGTTAAATTTGAATACTTGAAATATGCTCAACAAGTAGGTGAAAATTGCTGTCAAAAGTGGGTTCCTTCTTTTTGCACCATCCTGTAGTTGTACGTATTCTTGGGAAAAACAATGGTCAGACATTAGACTATGTTTCACCGTTAAATGTAAGCTATTTCTCGAAAGGCAAACACAATTTTTGCTCAACTTGTGTACCATAAGTGCATTCTAAAGTTGGTGAAGGAATTGTGATACTTCCAACTTTATTTTGCAGGCTCGTTTTGTCCAAACAGTTCAGTTGTAACTAATTTTACCCCTTGACATTTTTATGCCAAGACATGCACTGGAAAAAATGTTGCAACCCTGCCACTTTTTTCTTCATATAAAATCTCAATGAAGGTCATTCATTGCAAAAATGATAAGACATGAATCTGGGACTGAGATACATTTCCAATTATGTTAGGAAATACTTAGACAATTGTCTTGACTCTCTGTAGACTTTGTACACAATCGCGGAAGTTGCTTCGGTTTGCAACATTTTTTTTCCATGCACTTTAAGTTTGTTTACATCTATACCAGTTATTGGTCTGTACTTGTTTTTTTAGGATTAAAGCGCATCTTTTACAGTACATTCCACTTCCAAGAGGCTTTTTCTATTCAAAGATTTTCCAATTTTGTGTTCCTTTTGTATTAACATTTGGAAAAAGTAAGATTTTGTTCAGTCAAATGATTCTTTTGTTTCTACTGCCTTTTGTATCCTTCAATGCAGGGATGTGTTAATTCTATAGATCTTATGCTTAGTGTCCATCTTACAAGAGGGCAACTTTTGTTGTTCAGTAACATGAATGCACAAAAGGCTCGCTCATGCATATCTCAGCAAAACAAAGGTACTGCCCTCTAAGATGGCTGCTACGCGTCTATATGTATGGATTTATTCTATTTTGTATTCAATAAATATGCAAAAAATCAGATGCAATCATTTCTGTTTAAAAAGGGGCTAGCGGACAAAAGAAACTCTATTAAACCTCAAAGACACAATTGCTGCCAGTTAAATTAGCCTGTTTATTGGCAATGTCATCAGTACGTCTGCACCAGTTCGCAGGATGTCACCAGTTCAGGTCCCATTCATGCAGCACGTTAATTTGTTCATGGGCCCTTGAGAAAACCTAATGCACAGTACTGTTAGATTTGGGAATGACAAAACCAGGACTCGTTTTTCTAATTACATATAACCAATTTTAACATCTGTGTCTTTTCTTTTAAATACATGTGGAGTGTTGTGGCTTCGTGGCCTGGAGCATTGAACTCATGGTCTGCAGTTAATTCTGCAGCTCGTGGGTTCGAGTCCAGCCTGGGGTTGTGGTGCGTGTGCCCTTGGTCAAGGCACTTTGTCACTCATTGCTTCTCCCCACCAAGGAGTAAATTGGCACCTGTGAGGGCAGAGATGGTTATTGTGATTGAATTAGCTTCCTTGGGCCTAACAGGCAGCATCGAGCAGTATACTCCCCAGGGAGCTGAGATTGTCTTTCGGAATGTTTCATTGGCTCGATGATCTGGGGTAATAATAATGTAAAGCGCTTTGATCTTAGTTAAAAGTGCTATACATGTATAAGTATCCGTCATTAATGTGTAAAGAGATTTGTGTCGGTTATTTGTCAACCAAAGCTCTTTAGCCATAACTCACTCCATTGAAACAAGTTCCATTTTTTCCCACTGGTTGGAAAACTGATCCGTAATGTTGTCATTTAAGGGCAACATGTCATTCACCATCAATCCCTGTTGTATCAATTCAAGGCTTTTTTTTTTACACGAGATCTGAAGGTGTATATACAAATTTCTATTTTTGATATTCATGTAAAAACAGTGTTTTTCTTACGTTTTTTATTTGACAAGTGTACTGATTTATAATATAAGAATGAAGTATTATAGTGATTGGACAAAAAAAATTATTAAATTTTATTTGCCGAGTGTACTGATTCATAATATAAAATTAAAGTATGGTGATTGAACACTAAATATGATCGAACTTTGTCCATGCTTTTGATGGCAGTTTTGTGACTTGATCCCACAAAATTAGTCTTAAAGGGAATGTACAACATTTGCTTTTGGTGCAGTTTTCAGAAATAAATGGATTTGGAAGATTAGTATGTTATAGCAAATATTGTTACACTGACTTGTTTCAAGTTTTGGGTTCGGAGATGCTGGAAAAACCAAGAAAACCAATCATATTCTTGTAGTCTGGTTCCCTGACCCCACTTAAGATGAAATGGAGCAATTTATAGATTTTGGGGAATTGTAAGATCAGAGAATCAGTCTAGCAGGCTTGTAGTCTCCACAAGTGTGTAATCAATTGCAAAGAAAATGCAGACAAACTAAATATGAAAAATTAGGAGCACTTTTTGAAAAAAGCCAGTTTTCGCCGACGCTGGTCGGCCGACCAGTGTTGGAAAATACAGTTTTTCTTGAAAATGTCAGGACACCAGGAGCCACAACTTTACAGGATGCTTTAGACTGTCATTCCCTAACAATCCAGTAAGATTTTTCGTGATAATTTGATCATGTCGGTTTTTTTGGTGTTTGCAAATGTATCTTCTCGTTTAAAAAGCTTACTTGGGTCACAGATTGCATTGGTGCTAAATACCCCGTGAAATTGTTCCCTCTGGCTTGATGTTATTTCGGAGAAATCAAGAAAAATTTCCAGTCGATTGACTGATTTTTGGAATAAAGAATGCTATTGACGGAATTGTGTTCCGTGATCTAGAGATTGAGCGTGGTTTGTCACTGCTTTCTGAAACGGTATTGAGCTGAAACTTCAACAGGTTAGGTTTTAAACATGCTTTATTTCTTTCTCTTATTTTTTTTGGGGGGGATTTTGAGTGGTGTTAAGGAGCAAAGGGCAGACTCTGTTCTTCATTTTGAAACCTTTAGATTTGCAGTGATGTTCGGGTATTGTTCGGCCCCCCCCCCCTCCGCTTGTGCGCTCTGGGACCTGCTTTATTAGTCTTGCCTTGTTTTTCTTTTTAATACGGGTTTAAGATTAGTCATCCACACTTGTTTAATTGGTTTGTATTCCATTAAACTAAAGCTTTATAATATGCAATCATTTTTTTTTTACCATATCATGACAATTGATTCGGCAGTTTTTTAACTGTAAATGCAGCATGAGTGCGTTCGATTACTAACCCCAGCTTACTCGCGCCTGGCTCCTCGCGTAATGACAGACATGCGCAGTGGAGCTAAATAAACGAACGGTTTCGGGTAAAGTATTCGTCGCCAGGATTTTCCAAAAAAAATCCTGTTTTTCTCAACATATTCTCCATTTATCAGTTTTAGAGGGGTGTAGGGACATTTTGCCCCCCCCATTAAATTTACACCAATATGACTTCTCGCCTCTTTTCTCTTCTTTTTTTTCTCTTTTTTTTTCTTCTTCCTTTTTTTTGCTTCTCCAGGAGGGGGGGGGGGGGGGAAGTTGCAACCTGACGCCACTTTTTTCTTAGTATATCATCTCAATTAAGGTCATTCATTGCAAAAATGATGATAAGACATGAATCTGGGACTGAGAAATATTTCCAATTTTGTTAGGAAAAGTTTTCTTGACTCTCCATAGACTTTTTATACAATTGCGGAAGTGGCGTCAGGTCCCAGACTGCATCCGAATCAATTAACTCTAGAGCATGCACGTCCACGCCCAGTGAAAATACGCAGGGACGCGCTGACAATAATTCGTAGCCGTAGCTCCGTGCATATCGCGTAGTACGGCGCTCCATGAGTGCCATCCACTTATTTATATACTGAGATAATTTATCACGCCATGTTGACAAATTGCGGAAAGTAAGGCGACTTAATCACCTAAATTATCTCGTCAAGTCGACTTCCGGAAGTCGAGATGACGACTTGTCGAGATAAATTATCTAGCTAAGCCGACTTCCAGAAGTCGAGATGACTACTTGTCAAGATGAATTATTTAGTCAAGTCGACTTCCCGAAGTCGACATGACTACTTGCCGGGATCAATCATCCCTAAGTCGACTTCAACGAATTCTAGATGACGACTTGTCGAGATGAATGTTCTCGCTAAATCGACTTCCCGAAGTTGACATGACAACTTGTGGAGAAGTGTTAACCCGCCAAGTTGACTTACGGAAATCGAGAAGACGACTGCCGAGATAAATTATTTTGAGTTTCACCTCGAAAACTAAATTTGCTTTTCAATTGATCTTTTTTTAGCAATATGAAACTTATTCACTTTTGGATGAGACATCGGTCTCAATATCACTGTGACGTTATTCTGATGTCATCAAGTGTGAAATTACAAGCGATTTTAGATCCCAAATCGACCTAAATCGCTAATGCTGAGAAAATCCCTCGGGAAGAATAAAATACATTTTCTCAAACATTTATGCAACTTCCCAAGAACCTAAACCGCGTCCCCATTATTAAGTTTAAGAAACTTTCCTCCTCGACGATAGAAACCGGAAAAAAACAAAATGTTAAAAAGAAAGTAATTATTTTGTTGTGACTAGGGTTAAACCAAATTCTGGTGGGCCGGTGGGTGAGGGGGGGGGGGCACCTGGGTGCACATAATTTTCAATGGAGCGCGGAAGGCAAATGACATATTTTTGTTCATTTTAAGATTTTCAATGGGGACGCGCGCCGGGGGGGGGGGGGGGTAACAGACATTCGTTGTTGAAAAGGTCCACTGTGTGGTGAAAAGGTCCACTTCATGGTAAAAAGTACTTTTTTCCACCAGGCCTTATCGCCATTTTGTTGTTGCAGAACAGTGTCCCCAAAAAACCTCTCTTGCTGTGGTTAACATGTTGAAATGGTAACCGCAGAATCTGAATCTTACGTACACAGAAGTAAGATCGTGTAACATTTCATTTGACTCCAAAGATATTAATTGATCTACCAGAAAGCAAAATAAAATATGCACGTGGCACTTAATCGGATTGCTCTAATTTTTGTCACGTTTTTTGGACTTCGAATTGTGTTTGTTTGTTGTTTGTATTTTGATGACATCATACTGATGTAAAAAAAATAGTCAGATGACTCATTTTGAGTTAAAATGGAAATCTGCATATAGTGGCAATAAAGAAAGACAAGGCAAGCCTAGCCAAGCTTTTCCCAAATCACACAAACAAAATTATATTCGACCGGTTCCAAATGGCTATTCACTGTAGGCCTGTGTGTGCCTCTGTGTACACAATAGCCCATTCATGTGGCGTTAAAGGGGAATCCTATACAATAGCACTGCCCAGCCCATCAGTGACAGTCAATGAGTCCGTGAGTCTATCCTCTCTGGGTCCAAATGGTTAGGTTTCTGAGTTGATTTCTTTGTAGATTGTGTTTATCCAGCTTACAAACTCATGGGGCATCGAACCGGGGACATCTGTGATTTCGAGTAAACACAAACAAAGACATGTAAAAGTAGGCCTACATGTAAACAGGTTTATTGAATGTTAATACGTTTGTGATATATTTTGAAACGTGTAAATTATTTTCGCAAACTGACTTGATACAGTGTATATCTAAATTATTGAATAGCATTGCTGGAAACTAATACCCGACTCCGAGACTGAAAATGATATCAAAATGCGGCGCGCAGAGGCAATTAACGGTTGTGTCTCTTTTGTTGATGTTCATAAAATATGCAAAACGTCTGTTCGTCTATTTCCTGTCCACACCTGAAGCGGTACACAAAAGGATGATTAATGATGTCATCTGAGTTGTTTTCAATGAAAAGATATTGTTGCTTTGATCACCAACGGAGACGCTGTTAAAAAGCTTGACGAACATGCAGCGAGTGATTATATAGTTTTTGGAATTTGAAAGATCAAATGTTCTTTTCCGAACGAAGTTTAAAGGAATATAATGTCCTGCAACAAATAAATTTGCTTGTTTATTTTTGCAGGCCTTTATACAGCTTTAAAAAATGGTTTTAAATGGCGCGCTCCTGTTCAGAAATTGCGCACACTATTCAGAACAAATTAGGAGCATCCGGCTCTTAATTCAAAAGTTGAAATCAATTAATTAATTTGTTGTAGTGGGCCGTTTAGCTAGAAAATTATCCATTCAATTTGAAAACCAATTTTTCAAGGTGCCACACCCAAAAAGCACGTAAACACCAACTTTAAGCAGGGTGGCCTCATCAATAATAACAACTTAAAATTTTTAAAAACGGTTCGTACCATGTCTCTTCGGCCACATTTTCGGCATTTGAAAAAGAGAGAAAGTCCGACAACAAGATACCAAAACGTTTCCTTTGCGCAACTGCCAGACAGATGTGATAAAATATTTTGTGTAGAGTAAGCCGGTAATGCTGTGAAAGGCCATCGTGATATTTGCACTTCATGGTGATAAATGAAGGATATAACAAAATGTTGACAATTTTTTCTTCTTCTTGTTTTTAAAGCCTTCTACACTCGTGGTCTTCATTTCTTGAAAAAGGAAGGTATCACAGACAGTGTACCAAGTAAACAAATTACACTCTTTTGACGTGTTATGGTTTTTTCCTGGTTTCTATCATCAGGAAGGAAGCTACATGTACCTTTAATTTAATAATGGGAACAGAAAAAAGGTTTGGTATGAAGCCCGGGAAGGGACATGGTGGATTTTTTTTTGGAATTTCCTATTTCGTTCGCACGAATTACTAATTCGTTCGCACGAATTACTAATTCGTTCGCACGAATTACTAATTCGTTCGCACGAATTGCTAATTCGTTCGCACGAATTCCTAATTCGTTCGCACTGTAATTTCATACTTGATGACATCAGAATAACGTCACAGTGATATTGAGACCGATGTCTCATCCAAAAGTGAATAAGTTTTATATTGCGAGGAAAAGATCAATTGAAAAGCAAATTTAGTTTCGAGGTGAAACTCAAAATAGTTTATCTCGGCAAGTCGTCATCTCGATTTCCGTAAGTCAACTTGGCGAGTTATCACTTCTCCACAAGTTGTCATGTCAACTTCAGGTAGTTGACTTGGCGACATGATTTGTCTGGACAAGCCGACATCTTAATGGAGGAAGTCGATTTAGCGAGAGCATTCATCTCGACAAGTCGTCATCTAGAATTCGTTAAGTCGACTTGGCGAGATGATTTATCCCGGCAAGTCGTCATGTCGACTCCGGGAAGTCGACTTGGCTAGATAATTCATCTTGACAAGTCGTCATATCGACTTCTGGGAGTCGACTTGGCTAGATAATTTATCTCGACAAGTCGTCATTTCGACTTCTGGAAGTCGACTTGGCTAGATAATTTATCTCGACAAGTCGTCATCTCGACTTCGGGAAGTCGACTTGACGAGATAATGTATGTAATTAAGTCGCCTTTCTTTCCGCTATATGTCAACATGGCGTGATAAATTATCTCAGTATATAAATAAGTTGATGGCACTCATGGAGCGCCGTAGCATAGAGCTACATAGGGTTTTAGCTCTATGCTCCGTGGACGCGTAATTTTTTTTTTCCTAGGAGGGTTAGGGGCAATGTCATGAATAATTCAGTTTTTCCTTTGAATCATTGCAAGACTTAGGTTCTCGTTCTATTTTCCCCTTAATTTAAAATTATCTCAGTGATAAATTTGGAGAAGTAAAATAGCTGATGAAAATGAGCAGCGACGACGTGGATTCGAACCAGGGATCTTTGTATCCATAGCTCATCTCGCTATCCGCTAGGCTTCTGTGTGGTAGCTCGACGACAACCGTTCTTTAAAAATGCTTTAATGTATTGTAACTAGTTGAGTAACTAACAACAATGCTGTTGATGTCATTGTCCGTTCTCATGGATAAACATGAATTATTCATTACATTGCCCCCGACCCTCCTAGGAATAAAAATTACGCGTTTCGGACACGGCCTGAGGCGCCCGCCGAAGGCGTTGCATGGTTTTATGGGATACTTACCCAAGTAACCGGCTCGGCGAGTCGGTCACTTGGGCCAGGCTCGAGTAAGCGCGAGAAGTCACGTGAGAGGTCGACCGGGTAAATCGAACGCTGTCGTGCTTGCACGAGTAAGCGCGGGGGAAGTAATCGAACCCACTGTAATGTGAGTGTCTCACCGACCACAAGATCTGTAAAATTAATGAATGGCCATTTAAAATCGACATGGTCCACTGTCAAACCAAATTATCTGAAATAAAACGTAAACAACTCCTCTTCATTATTTCTACATGCATCTTTATTATACAGATCTCTCAATTGATACGGTTTTTCAACATACATGGAATAATAGACATGGGACTGCATACACATTTTACTGCGGCTTAAACCGAAACATACAAAACCAGAATCTGTAACATTTTTCTGAGTTGTTGTACTTGTTCAGTTCTGAATAGTGCAGAGTGACGTGCACCTACGACTGTATGGGCTTGGTGTAGACCCTTCATATAAAAATTCATCAACGAAAATATAAAAGAATTTCAACATAATGATTGATAAAATAAATAACATGAGGCAAGTAACGATAAAAGATGAATGAACAGCAGGCATAAACCTCATTTTTTTTGTTCCGGTGGCCCAGTGAATCCATTTTCCCGCCACGTCACCAGATGGCAAGTTCAGCATGCAGCTGCTAAGCACCGAATTGTGCTAAGCCTAAATGAAAAAAAACCCCAGTTTTTCGAATCAAGGGTATCAGTTTCAATTATAATTTTGCGATGTACATTTCTAGTGACTGGTACTCATTTTTTTTCGCTGAGCGGTATTTTCTGGTAAGCATCTTCACGAAATTGGGTCTTGGTTTTGTTTTTGCATTTGGGCAAAAACAATTACCAGAGTTCAGCTTCTGGAATCTGTTTTTTTCTTTTTGCAAAACAGACAATATACAATCTTCCTTAAAAAAAATAAAATCATGCAAATCACAAATAACTGATCATTATGGCCAGAGTTTTAAACATAAATTCTGACAGTAAAGATAGCAACACTGTTTCCGTATGTTATTTTTTAGTTTGTGCAAAAAAAAAAATCTGGGCAGAAATTCATCATCCAATGTATGGCTTTCAATGATCTTCATGGCGGCCGGGGAGGGGGGTTCAGGTGGGATTGGGGGTCGGGGATAAGGTTGAGAGGGTGGGTGGGGGTGATTGGGTGGTGGTACGGGTGTGAAGTGGGATTGGGGTGGAGTGGGGACCTGGGTAGGACATGGTAGGGATGGGGGTACACTGGAACTTTGTAAGAGATTTTAGGGAGGATCTCAACGTACAAGCAGTGGTAGTTACCTACTATACTTGACTTTACCTAACAGTTGTGTTTGGCATAAATTGCCGTATCTCACTAAAATCGTTCGATAAGTGCGGAGGCAAGAGGAGCCTTTTCAAGTTGTTCAGTCTACTCCAGTCAGAGGGTGTGCAGCCGCAAAGGTCATTGCCAGAGAGGTCTAACGTTCTAAGACAGGGCAAAGTGCTCAATGACTCAACAATGTGGGGTATGTCTTGTCGCGTCAAGGAGCATTTGCACAACTCCAGCTTCTTGACGTGCCTTAGTTTCTGCAAATCGGGTGCCCAGATTTCCGCGCATCCTCCCAAGGAGTTATTGTCATTAAGAGTCAGCGTAGCCAGAGTGGGCATATCACCGACCGCCGCAGCGATGTGTTTTATGTCTGCACCTTGCAACTTAAACTTGCTCAGGCTCAATGCTCGCACTTGCTTTAAAGTCTTTACTTTAGGGGCCCATAGCTGTACTTCTGCGGTGCTGGTTCCACTGCCGGTTAAGTGAACTTTGACTATGTCGCCCCTGCCTCCCACTGACTCAAACATTTCAGCCAGATCATCGCCCGCCAGCGCCAATGAACATCTATTTAAAGAAAGGGATGTGTCGTTATACTCGTTCCTGATCATATGCATAGATCGAGTATGATCAGTTGCCAAACACTTATCAAGCTTTTGCATTTTACCACACGCCGTCGTCAGGCTTATTACATCTCGACCATCTAGACTGCAATCCTCAATTTCCAGTGTTTTCAGGTTTTTCAAGAGTTGCAAATGAGGTGCCCACGACGTTAACGAACCACTCAAAGCCTGGTTGTTGAAAAGTGTAAGTCGAGTCAAATTTCCAAGGTGTTTGAACGATCGGGCAATCACATTCATACTGCTTCCAGTTAAAGAGGTGTTAACCAGATCGATACCTCGAAGTTTGGTCATTTCGCACAAACCACATCGTAACTCATCGTCATACCTCTGCAGACTCCAATCATTTATACTTAGTTCTTGTACACTGGTAAGATAAGACGTGCTGCCGTCATCAGCAACTCGTTTCAAAAGCCAAAAAAAGGAATGACTAAATCTAATCATATCTCTTATAAAGTTAATCGAATTGCAGAAAACTGATGCAACAACATCCTCAAATAACAATGTATTTGCCTGACATTCAAAGTAATAGTTGAGGGCATAATGAACGTTTTCCCGAAAAATATTCAGAATTTTACCGGTACAACTTGGATGATCACCGCAACTAAATCTTAAGAGGTACTCAAAATCGTTGGGATTCTTAGTGACTTTTCTATCGATTTCATTTAAGATCTTCTGAAATTTCTCATAATCGGCTTCTAACAAGTGCTGCAGATATTTGGCTCCACAGAATTCCTGCAAAGTTTTATGTATGAACTGAACAGTGTTGTGTTCGTCAAAGACTTTTAAGACTCTCTGTTTTGTCAGCAGACCAACTTTCAAGGCCTCATACAGCAAAGTCCCCTCAAATGCCTTTTCCTGAAACGAGAGCATCTGCTGTGGATCAAGCAGACCTTCCAATGCAATCTTTCCTAGTTGGATCAAGATTTGTGATATCTCATTGTCCGACCAATCTTTACATTTTCTTCGGAATATGTATCTCAGTGCTTTCTCATAAAGGCGGGTCAGTGTGTCTGGGAGTTTCGAATCGTCTCTCCACAGTAAGCACATGAGAAGCACCAGCATGGGACTCTTCGCCAATTCAAACAAAACGTCAGTAGACTGAATGGTGTTAAAAAGCTCATGTGCCTCATCGGTATTTTCCGAGTAAAACTTGTTCACATACTTTTGAACACTTTCTTCGTTGAATCCCAAAACAGTCACATGGGTGAACGGTCTTTCAATCAAGGATCTGCTCACCAGTTTGTGGAAGTGAGAGGGGCGAGTGGTGACAACAGCGCAACACTCTCTATTCACTTTTCGATTGAGCATTTTCAGGATAGATCCGAATGAGGTCTCAACGAGGTCGGTGGTTAAAAATTCATCAAAACCATCCAAAAGTATCAGCAACTTGTCAGGGTTGCTGTTGATGAAAGATTTCAGATTGGATTTATTTACCGGTGTGTCTTCATCCAACAACTGATCAAAGATTGCATCGACAAGGTCGGAATGCTGTTGCAGTGCCCCCATTTTCAAAACAATCACAAGATCATATTTCAGAAGTGCTTGGACGGAGCCGACCGCCCAGTCATATGCAATTTTATCAAGGAGGGTAGATTTTCCATACCCAGGCTGGCCCTTACAAATTATCCGTTTGATTGGATGTCCCTTTTTTGTTTTACGGTGTAGGATATCCTCATAAGATTCCACTTTTTCTTTCTTGCCATCAGTGTTTTCTAACTCTAGGTCTGTATAAATGTCCATTATATGCATTTTGTCGTCATCGGCCCACGGGATCAGTTGAACAAAGCTACCTGTAGTGGTGTACAATGTTTTCAGCGCCTCTTTACACAGGCGTGCAGCTGCTGTGGCAGAACTTGACTGATTTCTTCGTCCTGAAAAAATGAAAACAAAGACTGTAGGCAAGTCTAAAAGACCTGGTCCCAGGCCAGTCTAAGTCACAAGAGAAGGTCAAAACTTTTTTAAGGCAATCCCTCAGGCCTGTTTATGGTACAATTTAATATTCAATGTTTTTGTATTATAGTTTCTTGTATCTGAACCTATTGTAGTTTGTCCTTTTGATTTTCACCTTTGTTGTGACGTGTAATTTTTATGAAATAACTTTTAAAAACTGTTATATGTTTATATATTTGTATTGTCTTTTACTTTGCCTGAGAAATTTTCTAATAAATAATAACTAAATAATAAATACCTAAAATCAACGATTACCGAACATTCAAGAGCAATAAACTCGGAAAGTTTAACTCAATCAATACACAATTAATGAAATGAAACAAAAACTCACAGAGACTTTGTTGTCAAAAATAAAGTCTGAAGATGCTTTTTCATATTTCAGTTAACATTTAGTTAAACTTCAAAATTTACCAGACAATGACCATTACTAGGGCATAATTGCCGCCTTACTTGGTATGGGTTGTTCGACATTTTCTGGGCCCTCAGACGGGCTGGTCTGTTGCTGCAGACTTGGTAAACCATTTCCTGATTCAAAATTTGAAATATAAACATTTGGTTTATGAAATGACTGATTTGTGAAAAGACAAAAATACAACTTAGGTCCAAAAAGAGAAGAATGTTTTTGTTCCATATGAAATCCAGCGATGTTATTGTAATAGTACCAAAATAATGTTACATTCAATCTACTTATTTCGGATAGTAACACATTCTCACCTCTGCATCTATTTTTCAGGAACTTCATTGCAATCGAGGTACCTGTTGGCCAAAACGATAAACCAGGTCACTTTTTATCGTTAACAAAACTGAACAAGTGAAAATCGGTATTTATGTTGTTTTGTTTATGTTTTGGCGGGGGGGGGGGGGAAGAATTATTTAATGAAGAGTTAACTTGCAATTTGGCACCACTTTGTGTATCTGTTCTGTTGCGTGACCTGGGGTCAAATTATCCGAATGATCCATGCATACATATTCTTGCACAACACAGAGTTCCAACCTTGCAATAACCTACAGGATGCACTTCAAGCAAACCAATCTACCCCGAAGAAACAATGACTACATTTTCAAATGTTTGATTTTATTGGGTGACCTACAAATGAGTGTTGTACTAAATCTGTAATCTAATGCAAAGGTGATTCGGTTTACTTTATTGGAGGATCGTAAATAGATAAATGATTTACAGTATTACATATTAATTTTGGAAAAAAATCTGGTTGCTTACAATAAACTCAAACTAAGAAAGTTGTGGATTAAAAATGAAGCCACTAATCAAAGCCTTCACTTACAACATGCCGAAATGAAAAATATCAATCCTTGCAATCCGTTCGACGCGTCAGCCAGTGCAGACAGTGCGGACAACGAGGCAGTCAGATTTCTTCCAACTTCCATCACTGCTGTGTTGCTGTTCATCAGGACTGCAGAGAATGTTGGATAACAGTTATTTGAAGTTTTCTAACTCCCTGTTCAAAGTTATCCCACTAGAATGCTTTAAAAAGGTTGACAGAAAATAAACCGACTGAGAGAAAAGGCTAAGATAGAATTGCATGCTTATGCACTGTGTGGCCACCTATTTCTTTTTGCAATGCAGTTTTTGCAATGTGAATATAAGCCTTTAAACGAAAAATCTGATTGAATTTATTTTCATGGAACGACAAGTATTGACATAACATAATGTCTATACTATATTAAACGGAAATGTATGAAAATGTTGGATATAAAGTAGGATATAATTTTGTTTACGTGTAAATGTATTCTGAGAGGTTAAAGTGCTGAAGAGAACAGCTCTGAAAGCGAGAATGAGTTTGGCAATGAAATCTCCTAAAAATATAGCGTCTTAATAATAATACAGAATTAATCCAATACTTACAAATTGCCCCTAAAACACCCAGAAAGCCTATGACTGCTGAAACCCCCATTGCTGTCGGTGATATTTCCTTCTTTGACTGAAAAATGAAAACAGATTAGGCCCAAGTCCATTACTGAAATTGTTCAAAGACTTGGAAAGAAATGGCAATCCCATCAGGATTATAAAATCTGAGAATTGAAGAGCGCTCCAACATTGTACAGGAGAACAAAGAGACTGGAAAATGATATGTGCTTGTCCGCTCTTAACTTGCTTGTCGCACTCGTACTCATACCCGTTGTGTTAATCTGAGCCTAATATCGGCTAAAATAATTAAGCCTAATGAATGAATCATAAAACACATTTGGACATATACTGCTCGCGATTCACCCAAAATCAATACATGTATGTTAACACTTTGAAGATGTCGAAGTCCATGTCTAAGCTGACTCAGGCAGTGAATATTAAATTAGACTACAATCATACTGAAACAAAATGACGACTTGAAGGATAAAATAGGTCAACATTATGAACATACGAGCACATACCTTATACAAGTCAAGTTGAAATCGAAGATGATTTTGCAAAATATTGAGTAACAAGTGAAATCTAATGCCTATCTTCACGTTTAATGTCGCTTTGGTGCACATGTAATATGCTTTAATGTATATATAAAAAAAGCGGGTTCAAATTCCACTTCCTTAAAATAAAAACGCCCATAGATTGTTTGACGTCATCTACGGAGGTCTAGAGCTGACATCCGAAATGTTTAGATGTCGATTTTTTTTTAAACTTCCGATGTCGTCAGAAGTCAGGCTGTATAACAACTGACGCATGCGCATGATGACTAGTGACGAAGTATTTGCAGCCTGCTGAGTCGACAATAAGGTTCGATAATTCGAATCGACAGTAAGGTTCGAAAGTCTGAATAGATGATAAGGTTCGATAATCCGAATATACGGTAGGGTTCGATAGTCCGAATCGACAATAAGGTTCAATAGTCCGACCTGAAAACAAGGTTCGATAGTCCGAATGGACAATACGGTTCGTCAGTGTGACACTTCGGACTATCGGACCTTATTGTCGATTAGGACCATTGGACCCGATAGTCTTTTCGGACTATCGAACCTTATTGTCAATAGGGAATAATGAACCTTCGGACTATTGAACCTTATTTTTGTTTCGGACTATTGAACCTTCGGACTAATTAACCTTATTCTAAATTCGGACTACCGAACCTTCGGATAAATGAACCTTCGGATTATCGGACCTTCGGACTAATGAACCTTAGGACTATTGCATCAAATGCTCGTATTAACGAATCTGAATTTCATTTTCGGACTGACGAACCCCCTCTTATGGGAATTTTGTGCATTCGGACTATCGAACCTTCGGACTATCGAACCTTCGGACTAAAGAACCTTCGGACGATCGAAACCTTGGGACTATCGGGCGGATCCCATTGTAATTGTGCTACTAATGTACAACGGCTGTGATTTTTTTGACCAATATGGGGGTGGAGGGGGAGGTGGGGGACTAGCAACTTGAAAGTTCGAAAACCGGAGTAGAGAGGGGTGGACTTCTGGTGGAACACCATCTGATAATTTAGAATCGTCGCATTCGTTCGTTTCATAATTCAAAGCGATTTCATCAACCTTGTCACTGCATTTTGTATTAATAGTTCTGGCATGCAATTTCGTTCCCCCCAGACATCCTATCGGAAATTAAAACTGCTCAATTTATTTGAGATAAACACTCATCGTTGGAATTATAGACACCAGAGTGTCTCTATAATAGGAATACGCAGTTCACGTTTCTGATCTTTTATTTTCGCTTTCCGGCACAGATTTTCGCACGTTACGAGTATGTTATTGTTAAATTAATTTCTTTAATTGCTTTGTCTTTCTTTTATTTTTTCCAACGTTGGGGGGGGGGGGGGGGGCGTTTTTCGTTTGCCCTAGGGGGCAGTGAAGCACAACGCGTTTGAGGCGAAGGCATATAGCATGCCAAACCAAAATGAATTTGAGTGACCTTTATGTATTCAATAAGTGAGGGATGATTCCGTTTTAGCATTGCAATAATTTTAGATGGTCTTAATTTTGCTTAATAAGACTCTCTTGTATATAGCGCCCCTGTCGGGGCTACTGATGCTAAATAATACAAGAAGTTCAGTGGCGCAGCACGGTCATTTTTATTGGGGGGGTATATTTTTTTTGGAAAAGGGCACTTGCACATCCGTGGTGAAAAGTAGACAGGTTCTTTTCCCCGGACACTTGACCTCCGTAAAATCAAAAAGCGGGGTGGAGGGGGGGGGGGGGGCAGGTACCATCTGTCGGTGGCGGCGCTATTCAAAACCGACGATTATGCACACCAACGGCCAAAATATGGTGCGTTTCAGGGCGATACATGTGCACAATTCAGAAAAAGGCACCCAAAGCGGCATATGCCACAAAAAGGGCAACACTTATTTTCAAAAAAGGCTCTTGTTAAGAAAAAAAGGGCACTACTTAAAAAATGGGCACTCTTTACAAATTATTGGGGGGGGGGGAACCCGTTAAAAAAAAGGGCATTTGAATAGAAAAAGGCAATCTTTACAAAATATTAGGGGGGTAAATACCCCCTTACCCCCCCCCCCCCCCCCACCGCTGGCTACGCCTATGAAGTTGACTTTAAACTGTAGTTATAACAATAAGCGACAGAAAGCCGTCCATCGACGCTTTTTTGGGGGAAATTATGGTGAAAATCTCACTCAGTTTAATCGTCAATCTTCCAAGCTGTGCTTGTTCACTACATCAATTTCCTACGCGTGGAGGTAGGTTATCGATGAATGACATTTGATTTTTGATTGCCTGATTTGTAAGTTAAAAGGAAGTCCATTTCTAGACACAGTTTATTTGTTAGCCGATACGAACAGAAATTCTGTGGATTGACATGAACATCTTGCGATTGTTTTCACACTGTTACATTAATGTTCGGCCGTTGTTCCGGCTGCTGCATTTCGTTGACGCAAGTGAGGATTTGTTTTCTGCTGGTCCAAAGGGCAAGACTAGTGTTCTCCTTGCACCTGACTGACCGACCGACCGACCGACTGACTGACTGACTGACCGTCACTTGTGAACGAGGCAGTGCTATTGTACAGGATTACCCCATAACGCCAATAAAAGGCCTATTAAATTCGAACCACTTTGCAGACCAGATGTGTAAAATGTCATTCTGAATCAATTGAATAATAGATTGGCGCTCTGGGACCAGCTTTACTTGTCTTGTTCGTCCCCCCTAATACTGGTGCAAGGTTAGTCACCCACACTTGTTTAATTTGTTTGTATTTCATCCATTAACTCCACCTTAATATCATTATTATCATTATATGCATCATGTGTCTTTCCGACCACAAGATCTGTAAAATTAATGAATGGTCATTTAAATCCGGTATGGTTCACTGTCAAACCAAATTATCTGAAATAAAACGTAAAGAACTCTTATTCGTTATTTGTACATGTATCTTTATTATACAGATCTCTCAATCGATATGGTCTTTCAATATACATGGAATACAAACATGGGATTATATTTACATTTAACTGCGACTTAAAGGTAAAATACAACATCTGCAAACATCGAAATGATCAAATTATCACGAAAAACCTTACTGGATTGTTAGGGAATGACAGTCTAAAAATCCTGTAAAGTCGTGGCTCCTGGTGTCCTGACATTTTCAAGAACAATTGTATTTTTCCAACGCTGGTCGGCCGACCAGCGTTGGAGAAAGCTGGCTTTTATCAATAACTGCATCTCATTTTTCATATTTAGTTATTCCGCATTTTGTTTGCAATTGATTGCACACTTGTGAAGGGGTACAAGCCTGTTAGACTGATTCTCACAGTAATCCCCAAAGTCTATAACTTGCTCCGTTTCATCTTAAGTGGGGTCAGGGAACCAGGCTACAAGAACATAATTAATTTTCTTGGTTTTTCCAGCATCCAAAACGTGAAACAAGTCAGTTTAACAATATTTGCTATAACGTAGTAATCCTCCAAATCCATTTATTTCTGAAAATTGCATCAAAAGCAAATGTTGTACATTCCATTTAAACAGAAATATATAAAACCAGAATCTAACATTTTCAGCTATATTTTCTGAGGTGTAACTGTTCAGTGCCGTTACTGCAAAGTTACGTACACTTATGACTGTATGGGCTTGCTGGCCTTTGATTGAAAAATTCATCAATGAATATATGGACAATTTCAAAATATTGATTGATGAAAAAAATTACGTCATGCAAGTAACGATAAAAGAAGAATGACCAGCAAGCATAAATCGCATTTGCTTTTGTTCCTTGCCAAAAAATCATGAAAATAAGAAAGAACTGTTCATTATGATCAAAGTTTCAAAAATAAATCCTGAAAGTGAAGATATATAGCGAAAGGGCTTAAATTGGTTAAGTTAATTAATTTGTTATAAACACGATGGCAAAAACTCTTCGTTCTGTTTTTTTTCCAATGGCTTTCAATGATCGTCATTGGGGTGGGGTTGGGCGTTGGGTGGGGTGGATTTAGGTGGGATGGGGGTTTGGGCAGGGTTGATATGGTTTGGTTGGGTACAACAGAATTTTGTGACATATTTTATGTTGGTTCTCAAGGTACGAATTGTGGCATTTACCTCCTAATCGCTGGAGGTAACACATGTGTTTGGCATATGTCGCTGTATCTCACTAACATCGGTTCTTAAGTTCCAAGGCAAGATGAGCATTTTCAGGTTGGTAAGTCTGCTCCAGTCAATGAGTGTGCAGCCGCGAAGGTCATTGTCGTGGACGTCTAACGTTTCAAGACAGGGCAAAGTGCTCAATGACTCAACAATGTGGGGTATGTCTTGTCGCGTCAGGGAACAATCACTCAACTCAAGCATCTTGACGAACCTTAATTTCTGTAAATCGGTTGCCCACAATTTCACGCATCCTCCCAAGGATTTATTGGCGTTGAGAATCAGCGTAGCCAGAGTGGGCAAATCACCGACCGCTGAAGAGATGTGTTTCATGTCTGCACTTTGCAAGTTCAAATTTGTCAGGCTCAATTGTCGCACTTGCTTTAAAGTCTTTAAGTTAGGAGCCCATAGCTGTGTGTCTGCGGTGGCGTCTCCATTGTCCATAAAAAGAACTTCAACTATGTCGCCCCTGCCACCCAATGACTCAAACATTTCAACCAGAGCATCACCCGCCAATGGACATCCTTGCAACATAAGCGATTTGTCGTTAGGACTGTCCGTATCCGACAACATTTTCATCGATTTTACAATATGATAATCTGGGCCAGTGTTTGCCGTACACAAATCGATGTTTCGCATTTTCCCACATATTGTCGCCATGCTTATTACATCTCGACCATCCAAACCGCAATTTTTAAATGTAAGTGTCCTAAGGTTTTTCAAGACTTGTAAATCAGGTGTCCATGCCGTAAATGACCCACGCAAAGCCGGGTTGTAATCAATATGAAGTCGAGTCAAATTTCCAAGGTGTTTGAACGATTGAGCAATCACATTCATATTGCTTCCAGTTAAGGAATTATATTCCAGATGGAGACCTTGAAGTTGAGTTAGTTTGCGCAAACCACATCGTAACTCATCAGCATACCTGTGCACATCCCAATCCATTATACTTAGATCTTGTACATTGGTAAGGTAAGACGTGCTGCCGTCATCAGCAACTCGTTTCAAAAGCCAAAAAAAGGAATGACAAAGTCTTTTCATTTTCGGTCTAAGCAATATACATTTTCGAAAAACTGAAGCAATGAAATCCTCAAATAACAATGTGTTTGCCTGACACTCAAAGCAATAGTTAAGTGCATGATAAGCGTTTTCCCGAAAAATATTCAGAATTTCACCTGTACAACTCGCATGATCACCACAACCAAATCTTAAAAGGTAATCAAAATCTTCGGGATTCTCAGTGACTTTGCTTTGGATTTCCTTTAAGATCTTCTGAAATTCCTTATAATCGACTTTTAACAAGTGCTGCAGATATTTCGCCCCACAGAACTCCTGGAAAGTTTTATGTATGAACTGAACAGTGTTGTGTGCGTCAAACACTTTTAAGACTCTCTGTTTTGTCAGGAGGCCAACTTTTAAGGCCACATCGAGCAAAACCCCCTCAAATGCCCTTTCCCGAAACGATAGCATCTGCTTTGGATAAAGCAGACCTTCCAATGCAATCTTTCCGAGTTGGACCACGGTTTGTGATATCTCGTTGTCCGACAAATCTTTAGATTTTCTTCGGAATATGTATCTCAGTGCTTTCTCATAAAGGCGGGTCAGTGTGTCTGGGAGTTTCGAATCGTCTCTCCACAGTAAGCACATGAGAAGCACCAACATGGGACTCCTCGCCAATTCATACAAAACATCAGTAGACTGAATGGTGTTTAATAGCTCATGTGCATCATCGGGATTTTCCGAGTAAAACTTGTTCGCATACTTTTGGACACTTTCGTTGTTGAACCCCAAAACATTTACATGGGTGAAAGGGTTTTCAATCAAGGATCTGCTCACCAATTTGTGGAAGTGAGAGGGGCGAGTGGTGACAACAGCGCAACACTCTCTTGTCTCTTTCCGATTGAGCATTTTCAGGATAGATCCGAAAGAGGTCTCAACGAGGTCGATGGTTAAAAATTCGTCAAAACCATCCAAAAGTATCAGCAACTTGTCAGGGTTGCTGTTAATAAAAGATTTTAGAGCAGATCTATTTACAGGTGTGTCTTCATCCAGCAACTGATCAAAGATTGCATCGACAAGGTCGGAATGCTGTTGCAGTGCCCCCATTTTCAAAACAATCACAAGTTCGTATTTCAGAAGTGCTTGGACGGAGCCGACCGCCCAGTCATATGCAATTTTGTCCAGAAGTGTAGATTTTCCGTACCCAGGCAGACCCTTACAAATTATCCGTTTGATTGGATCTCCTTCTTTTGTTTTACGGTGAAGGATATCCTCATAAGAATCCACCATTTCTTTCTTGCCATAAGTGCTTTCTAACTCTAGGTCGGTGTAAATGTCCATTATATGCTTCTTGTCATCATCGGCCCACGGGATCAGTTGAACAAAACTACCTGTGGTTTTGTACAATGTTTTCAACGCCTCTTTGCACAGCTGAGCAGCTTCTTTGGCGGTGCTTGATCGTCCTGAAAAAAAAAAGGAATCAATCCGTGGTACAAATATTTCATTAGATTTAAGAGTGGTTTTCCAAACGTAAAGTCTTAATGCCATCATCTTATCTTCATGATAATAATTCAATATCGTACTCCTTTAACAAAATTTAACTCCATAACAAGATAATGCATTTGATAAAGGTCCCGCTAAGAATTGCAATGTGCGGCCTTATAATTGAGTATATGCATTTGCAGCAATTTTATTCAGTTTCAAAATTTTGAGAAAAAGGACTATACTCGAGGCTTGTAGTCACAAGTGAAAGTCAAAATCAACTTATTACCAAACATTTAAGAGCAATAACTGTGGAAAGTTTACATAACGAAATTAAACGAAAATTTGAACTCAAGGAGGCTTTGTTGTCAAAACACAGAGGATGCTTCTTCCTCTGGTTGGCATATTTTATTTTAAACCATTGCTATGACGTCACACTATTGTTAAAAGTGTGGATTCGGATCTACGAATCTCTTTCACTGGTCACAAAGTGTGAATTCGGAACTACGAATCTTTAGTAAAGTGTGGATTCGGAATTACGAATCCACACTTTGAACATCGGACAATTATTGTCTCCATAATGAGCATGAAAAGGGCCGTCTGCGCGCAAATTTGCTTTCCGAAAATTACCAATGCATCTTCACAGTCAGATCTTAGCCGTCACTGCAAAAACTGCTTTTAGTCAGAAAGAAATCGTCGTCTGAACTATCCATTTTGACTTAAGAAGCCTGTACACACAAAATGACTTGGTTGTACGGGTGTGGCGAAAACTGTTGCAACCTGACGCCACTTCTGCGCTTGTGTAGAAAGTCTATAGAGTGTCATTTCAAGTATTTCCTAACAAAATTGGAAAACATTTCTCAGTCCCAGATTCATGACTTATCATCATTTTTGCAACGAATGACTTTCCTTGAGATGATGTATGCAGAAAAAAGTGGCGTCACTGCAGGTTGCAACATTCTTTCCAATACTTCTGTTGACGCAATGGTTTAAGTCGAAGAATACACCCGCAAGTGTGGATTCTTAATTTACGAATTCACTCGGCGCTTCGCGCCTCGTGAATTCTTAAATTACGAATCCACACTTTCTCGTGTATTCTCCTTAACATAACTATTCAAAATTTACCAGACAATGACCAATACTAGGGCATAATTGCCTACTTACTTGGTATGGGTTGTTCGACATTTTCTGGGCCTTCAGACGGTCTGGTCTGTTGCTGCGGACTTGGTAAACCATTTCCTGATTCAAATATAAACATTTAGTTTAAGAAATGAATGATTTGTGAAGCGTGAAATACAACTTAGGTCCCAAGGCAAAGAAAATTTTGTTCCATAGGAAATACAGCGATGTTATTGCAATAATGGAAATACAGCGATGTTATTGCAATAATACAAAATAGTTTTTAGATTCAATTCACTTATTTCGGATAGTAACAAATTCTTACCTCTGCATCTATTTTTCAGGCTCTTTGTCACAATCGAGGTACCTGTTCAGCAAAAAGAAAAACCAGGTCACCTTTTATCGTTCAAAATTAAATAATTGAAAATCATTCCTATGGTGTTTTTGTTTGGGGTGGGGAGGGTAGGGAGGGGTAACAAACACTTATTGACAAGTTAACTTGCAGTTTGGCATCAATTTGTCCGCTTTTCTGTTATCTGACCTGGGGTAAACATTCTCCGAATGATCCATACATATTCTTCCAAAACGGAAACTGTTTTCTTTTCTTGTAATAATCTACAGGATGCACTTCTACAAACCGCCCCCGCAAAAACAACTAAAAAACAAAAAATCGACTGCACGTTTTCAGCAGTTGAATTTTATTGCGTGACATTATTATTGTTGTAAAACTACAATCCAATGTGAAAGTTAATCGGTTAACATTATTGGGGGGGGGGGAGTCGTAATAGATCAATGATGTACAATAACTGTTAACAGGAAGTAGAGAAACGTTATACAACAATTTTGATATAATCTGGTGACAATAAACACAAATTGAGGAACTTGTTGATAGGAAATCAATAATCAAAGAATTGACTTACAACATGCCAAACTGAAAATGATAATGTATATCAATCCTTGGAATCCGTTCGACGTGTCAGCCAGCGCAGACAGTGTGGGCCATGAGGCAGTCAGGTTTCTTGCAAATTCAATCACTGCTGTGTTGCTGTTCATCAGGACTGCAGAGAATGTTGGATAATAATAATTTGAATTTCACTTACAGTATGAGAGAAGCTTCCAAGCAAAGTAAATTATGCATGTCTTTACACTACACTGTGCGGGTATACCATTGGTACCTATAGGACCACGGGTATAATACGGTACATGCAGGTAGTTTTTGCAATATGAATAAGCAGTCAAATGAACAACCATTGGCACCTATGTAGGACCACAGGTCCTATAAAGTTACATACAGGTAATCTACACCAACGCGGTCTTTGTGATGAAAATAAGCAAGTTTTGTCGAACCCCGCTCCAGTCAATTTCTTTATTCAACTTTCAAAATAATGATAATTCACCTAGATAGTTCCCTTTGTGGTTTCCTTGGAAATTTGTAACAAAAAGCCTTGCGAATCCTCTCTAAGTGATCCCGCTTGCTATTTTCCAGGTGTGCAGCATTTCTAATGTTGCTAGCATCGTGACTTTGGGAGCGACTCTTGATCAAAGACATTGACAAAGCAGGGAACCGCCAAAATCAGGCTGGATAGCTCAGTTGGTAGAGCACCGGAACGGCAAGGGGAAATCTAGAAATATTAATCATTAATTCACTTACACATGGCCACTAAACCACCGATAAATCCGATGATAACTGCAAGCCCCATAGCTGCTGCTGTTTTGGCCTTTGACTGAAAGAAAAATAGATTAAGTGCAACTGTGAAACTTGTCCAGAAACGTCGCCTTCTTCGGAAGTGTAATGAACCACTTTTCTGCATCGGCGCTGTGTAGGGCCAACTCGACTTGGACCAACTCGACCGTTTACCAACTCGACCGTTGTGCGTTAAACTGTAAAAGACAACTCGACTGTTTACCAACTCGTCCGTTGTCCAACTCGACCTTGCAACCATTTTGGAAATGGAATTACAAATGAAGTTAAAATTCTAACGAAGCAATAATTCGAAGAAGTTGCATAGGAAATGTTACTTACTAGTACAGACTGTAATGGATGTACTGATTTATTGAGCGTGACAAAATCGTCTCGAAAAGCCGGGACGAACTCGTAAGAGAAGTATGCACACTAAAAGTCAAATCACGCAACCCAAGGTTTATGTTGAGTTGGCAAATATTCGAGTTGACTCGAAAGTAAAGTCAAGTTGGTCTACGGACAAGTTGGTTCAAGTCGAGTTGGCAAACGGTCGAGTTAAGTGCAATCCCTCAACGTGTAACGTACATTGACTGAAAACAATAGGAAAAACGTAAACCAAGCGTACTCCGTCATGTCCGATGTAAACAACCGAATTTTTGTCTTTTATGGGGAACGGTAAGACATTAGGTTGGTTTTCTTTCAACCAGATGTTTGAAGTAGGATAAATAAACAATCCAAAACATGGAATTTTCGAGGATTTCAGGACTTAGCCTAGTGCCCCGTTTAGGGCGGGAATTCCCCAATGCCATAAGCGTCATGGCCTTTGCAAAGCCATAATATTATGGATTTTTACCATCGTGCTAATAAAGACTAGAATGAAAGAAGGAAAATAGGTCAACAATATGAGCATAAGGATTACCAACAGTCTCAACACATACATTGTACCTTATTCAACTCACGTATACGACTAGAAATAAAGCCTGGTGCCTGCCTTCAAGAGAAGCGTCGATGTTATTTCTCAAACGCCACAGGTCGAACAGAAGGATCCGAACAAAGATACTATAGGTTCTATATCGCTTGAGGACACTGTTCTTTTTGTGTATAGTATTAAACTTGCATAGGTGCGTTGATAAGTGTAATCCATACACGTTCTCGATAATTTTCTACTCGAAGACGATTGATGGTTGCCGACCTGTTGACTTCCATAGTGAAAAAAGGCCCCAAAACATCCGCGCTCGTCATTAAAATATTAAAAATACTTCCAACTATTCCATCAAATTAAAGCTTGCGTGACGCACATAAACCATCTCAAACGCCACAGGTCGATTTAGCCTGTCCAAAAAAACCCACACATACATGCATGTCATCTCATGATCTCAAAAAGCCACAGTTCAACCTTCACAGATGTATATTGCATGCAATATTGCTTAATTAAAATTTATGCCACTTATGTACCTAGAAATAGAAATTAAAGTGCGATAATTTTTGAGTCGAAAATCACTTGGAAACATTACAAAAATGTAGTCACATGGAAAACACAAAGAATCCACAACAATAACAACAAACAGTATAACCACCACGGGGCAACATTATCAAACGTAAGTCATTGAATGACTTGATCAAGTCTAATCCTGCCTCTCATGGCGCCCTCGTGAGATACACAATTCACTTTTCTTCGGATCTTTCTGCTGATGCGGCGTTCGACCTGTGCCGTTTGAGAAATAACATCGGCGGCGTCCTAATTGTTGAAAATTTCCGGGTTCAAAGATCACAGACTGCACAAAATCTACGGAAGTCTAAAGCTGCCATCCGCAATTTTCAGATCTCGACTTTTGACACTTCGATACGCCGACCAACACCCTACTTAATTTATTTTGGGTTTTTGCATCCAGTTGTAGTTTATCCCGTGATGATGACATTGTTAAAGTAACTGAGAGTTGAAATATTCACTAATAGTGGGCGTACCTGCAGTGTTTGGAAGATTTCTGCTGCATTTATCTGCAAAACTCTAGATATAGGCTCGATCGGCAACCAAGCAATGACCATGAAGCGCACACGTCAGTAGGTAACAGAATATTTTTCGGACTTAACTTTTCTATACAAAAAATGATACAGAGCCATGAATCAGAAAAAAGGGACTTTTTTTCAAAGATCATGTAGGAGTTGATTAAACACAATTCAGGAAATAAAATTCTGGGTAGAAAAAGACACATGGACATTCCTGGGACTGGAACCCTCGCACCCTGCAGCATTGTGCAACCCCCGTAACCCTTCCTCTGATACCTTCCCACTTACAGGCTTTTGAAATTTCTTTTTTTTAATTCTCGTACTAATAGGAGCAGTTTGTCACTCTTCCAAGTATACCAGGAAAGAAACTTGAAGAGTATTTCAGTTTAGCGGCCACGGTGCCAGGGTTACGGGGATGGGGGGGGGGGGGGGGGGGGGGGGGGATGGGGGGATGGGGGGGGGGTAGTCCGAGTAGTGGTCCGTTATCCACGGAGCCAAGTCTCCTGTATAACGTCTGATATATCTAAGCATGCGTGACGTCATTTCATTCCGAAATCAGGACTAAGATTGTGATTGGTCAATTTCGATGCCGCGTTTTTGTAATACCATAACCTGTACAAAAATACTACTCGAATTACGCGGGTATATAGAAGGCGCCTGCTGATTGGTCAGTTTCTCGAGGTCATACGCAGTCCAGTTGCATATTTAATTGCCGAATCTGTTAAAGAATCATAGACCATGGTCGGCTTCGCTAGGGCCAAGCGTATAATGATGTCCCCTCCGCTTTCGATTTTCCGCGGCCGATGATGTCTTAAGTGTTGCCCCTAAGTTATTTCTTTGCCCGGTTTATTGCCCCTCACAACCCGGCCAAAGTTCGTTCGCGCGAGCCGTGAGATATGGACCTATTTCCTCCCCCTTGTCCGATGAATGTGAACTTTCTTTAATTGTATTCCATCAATAAAAACCCTCATTTCATTCGGGTTATACGTTTCACCTTTTCTTTCCAACTCATGTCTCGGGATATTTTTGTTGAACCACTGTGACTCCGTTATCAACTAACGCATGCGCATTATGGCCAATGACTATACTTCGTCGTACTCGTAAACAAAGTAATAGCCTGGCTAGCGGTGCATGCAAAGCCATCCCCAAATGCGAAAAGGATTCGCTTTCCTCATCAAGAGTTCTAACACGACAGAACTTTGGAAAGCCATGTTGGGTTTCCTGGAAAATGATAGAATTTATAGATATCGTCATTTGGCTATACGAATAAAATGATAAGTATATCTACACTTTTTAAACAATATGGTCTAGTTGGGGAGGGGGAGAGTTCCCTCGTAACCACCTTATTCGTCCACAGTTATGCAAGGGAAAGAAATTTGAATTCAGAGTACTTCATTGTACCAGTCCTTGAAACACAAATGGGGATGAGAAGTGGCAGCAATAAATGGAGTAGAGGATGCATAATATGGTCGGTCTCGGCTATATAGCCGCTTATACGTTTGCTTTCTCGAAACAATAAGATCATAATTCATGATGATGCATGGTCCACGGGGTTCCGAGGGTAACCCGCCACATGTGACCCTTGAATGATGGGGTTTATTTATGCGCTCACTGGGTCACAAAATCACTTCCACGCTTCTGGACCGCCGAGCGGCGCAGGAGGGGGGGGGGGGAGTTCGGCGCAGCTGCTGAAAACAAAACAAAGCTAGAGCCTACGTAAAAACTGCGTTTACGTGTTATCCATTTTTTTTTTGGCGGCACTGGAAAAGATTTCTAACTCACCAAGATTCCGGATGGCTGAAAGTTGGCCAACATTATGTCAGAGACAACTTTGTTCGAAATTTCGAACTCTTGTATTTTTACGTCTTTGAAAATAGCCTATTCAATTCCTTGTTGCATGGTTTCAAACTTATAGGCCCATTGGTCCCTCGATCGTATAGTGTGTAAAATTGTGATTTCAGAATGTTGACTTGCGAACAGCTGAATTATTTAATACACCTTGTTTAATGTTTTCAACCCATCCTGTCCGATTTCTGGATCCACCCTTGAGGCTTGCGCTTTGTAGTATTTTCCGACGCTCTCGGAAATTAATTAAGCAGATGGAGAAGCTCGACACAATACCGGTAATATATTTTCATTTCCCTAAATGGATTTTAGATCGTTCACATTAAACCTGCAACGGTACACCAGATTATGTTTAATTTTCATATTTGTTGGCTTGAAATTAAGGTAGATAAGATAGCGCTGGGAAGCAAGACAGCCGCTTGTAACTGTACAAGTGCACACACGAACATTTTGCCCTCTGAACAAATAGCCATATACTTGTCTCTTAAAAATTAAATACAATTAAGCCTGTTAGCATTTTCTTCTAGGGAGGGCTGGGAGGAAGGCATTTCAAGTGTCAAAGTTCACGTAACACTGACACAAAGATTGCGATGATCACAATCACGCTAAATTACTTCGTGTAAAAACTCAATTTGTTTTCTGTGAAAACGTGTTTTCTCGAGTTCCTTCCTCTGCAAAGTAACCCGATTGTCTCGCTTTACCAAACAAATCCTGGTGCCACACCGCGTCCTGCTCGAGCAAGTGGTCTCCTAGCAACTCAAATGTAGCGAATGTCGCATAGACGGAACCTTAGCAGTTGTTGTTCAAATGCGCGAGGGTGGGTCTTGGAACCAGACTGACTGAAAGTAAGCACGTAATTGAACCCCGTTGGAGCAAGGGCAGCAGGTTACCTTAAAGAGAAAGTTTGCACTAACATCATTCGGTATTTAGTTTTTTCTTGTTCGATTCAACAGTCCGATTCAACATGCATAAACAAAAATACAATTACTGTCAGGCCTACGTTTTGCAGACCCGTCAAATGGGGTTCCAGTAGCGGGTTCAGTAGCGGCTCAACAGGTGGCAACCTGTTGAGCCGTTTTTAAAAATAATACTATATAGTAAAATGGGACAAAAAAAGGGACCAAAAAAGAATACATTTTGATTTAAAGTTCCCAATGTATTCTCACATTGCCTTAAA